ACACACACACACACACACACTATTGCAAGTCACTCAAGTTTTTGTACGCTTTAAAAATTGTTATTGCACATTTAAAGGCGTCATTATTAGCGCTACATGGTCCCACTAATAATTGTTTGAAATAGAATCGCACTAATTGGGGCAAGAGGCACGGAGGAGCCAGCCAGCTAGCCAGCCAGGTAGCCTGTCAGGCCAGTGAGCCAGTCAGTGGATTGACTAGCCAGTCATTTTTTTCGCGTTTTTTCTGCTCGTCGCCTTTAGTTGTATTACTATTGCTGTTGTTTTTGTTGTTGTCTAGTATGTCGGCGTGTCATAAAATTTGCCGTTGCCTTTTTGCTTGGCCACGCACTGGCGGCCATTTGTGAATTTTTGTTATCACATAAATTGTGTGCAGAAATCTTGATCTGCAAATCATTTTCGACAACTTTACGGCCACGTTGCTGTGCTCTGTTGGTGCGTTAGTTCGATTGATATATACTTGTACTGCCGAACGGCTGTTCGATTTCAACAACAACAGCAACTATGGCAAATATCTTTGGGTCAGTTATCGCATAGTTCGATCTAGTTAATGGCCATACACATATGCAGTCAGTCAGTCCGTCCAGCAGTCGGATAGTCCGACAGGCTGGCCGTCTAGCAGTCCAGCAGTCAGGCCGAGTCATGCATTTCCTGCCTTGGATTGAAAAAGGTAAAAATATCAACTGGGTTGTTCCTACGTTGAATTATTTACGCAGCTAACTAAGCTGACATTTAATTTAAGTTCCAACACCAGGCGGCATACCGAGCAACCAGCCAACTTAGTTGCACGTTGCAACGAAGTGCAAAAGGCAGCAGAGTGACAGCTGCGATGACGACGCTACAGGCCTTAAGCCCAAATGTGATCAGACCAGCCGCCAGATCCCAGATCCCAGAGTCAAGAGTCTAGAGAGCTGTCTGCGTGTTCAAATTAAATTTATCTAACTAACTTGTGATGTGGCAGCCACAAATGAAATTTATGCATTTATGCTGAGAGAAGAAAAATATGTTGCTGTTGTTGTTGCCACCAACGCCATGGTCCATGTTAATGTCCATCAAGGTATAACAAGAGCTAGCTGTCAATTCAATTGTTGGACATGTCGCAGTCAGTTGCATAGAAATCAATTTGCAATTAGTTGAGCTCACAACGCGGATATGGTTGGATATGGTTAGAAATAACGAAGGGAGGGGAGAAGCTCTCGAATAATCGTTACAAAACCCTATCCTTTGGTTCCCGTGAGAAATTTCAATTATTTTAATTAGCGTTACGTTTAGCTGCGACGACATCGTCTTGCTCTGTATATAGACCTTTTTCGCGACAAGACAAAACTTCGACTTCGACTGCGATTGCGACTTCGACTTGGTTTCGTTGCCGTTGCCATTGCCGTTGCGCCCGTTCGCACTCGACGGCGTCTGTGCGGAGTCTGTGACCAATTTCCGTTGCTCGTACGCAACAAGGCAGGAAGGCAACATCGGTTCAGGCCGGGGCTGTGGCAGCGCAGTCGCAGCCGCACAATCTCTGGCTTGGAATGCCGCTGCAGTTGATAGCACACTGAGGCTGATGCTGATGCTGCTGCTGCTCAGAACAGGATTCTAGACCGCCTAATGACATGTTTTGGATAATGATGAAACTGCCGAGACGACAGACGACACATCTCGTGTGCTCTCTGGCTAAGGCATGTGTGGCGATAATGCCTGAAACTTAATTTAAATTGATGACACTGTAGTGGGGCTCGGCTCGCCATGGCCACCAGTTGGTCAAGTCATCGTTGCAGTCATTTGGAAAATTGCCTACAACGCTCAACGCTTGTACTTGTAATTTTTCAGCATGTTGGCGAGCAAATCAATCTGCATGCCAACTGTTGCAACTACCACATATCTTTGTCAGTTGTCAGCAGCGCTCTGCATGGAATAGACCACCCAAAATGGCAGACGCCGTAGATGTGGATGCTTTCTAGCGTTAGTGAAAGCCAATTTAATTGGCCGCCATGGTGTCAATTGTTGGGCTGCAATTAATTGCATCGCTCAATTAAATCCAGCTGCCTACGCCACCGCATGCGGTCAACTGCATAGCTAGACTCCCCCGGGAGCTGGCCAATGTGACTTGCTACCACAAAAATGCCCGCTGTGTATGAAAGGCTATTATGGCAGTGATGGCTGGTGCTGCGGCGATTTCAACAATTAACAACCATAACAATAAAGACACGAAACCGAACCAAAAATGTACAAAGGAAGCAGAAAAAAAAAATGGTGGCAGCCTACAAGAGATGTGAGTCTTTGATATCGTGAATGATGGTTCGCGACATGTGTGTGTGTAGTAGCAACAGCTCTGGCAGCTTAGATGCAATGCCCAGATACAGATACTCCCAGCAAGTCACACATGCAGCGCCAGATTAGACCGCTGCGTGTTTTGCTTGCTTAACTTGACTGCGACAGCGACGACTACGACGACGACTACGACGGCGACTGTGGTGACACAATCTGGTCGACTCACATGGCTGCCTGACTAGCTAACTGACTGGCTATATGTTAATTTTCATGCTGTGGCAGTGGACGACGCCATTTTGTGTCCGACTACTGGCAGGGCTAGAAAATGTAAAAGCCACAAAGGCCAGGCAGTCAAATCATTAATCAAAAGAACACAAACACATGACTACATCTTGTATTGCTTATTGTTAATCTTAAACACATTGTTAAGCATATTAATATTGTACAATTATTGCGGAAAACAAGAGCTGCTCAATTACTCCACATAAATGATATGCCGCCCCAGAGGTGGTTGCCCTTTGACTGTGAGAGTTGTTGCACGATTATTCCAAGGTGTTATGGTTAAGTGTTAAACGGACTAATACGAAACTCTCAGTAGTTCAACGACACCAAAACTCTCTGACTGACTGACGGACTGACAGCTGACGCAGAGGCGCTCCAATAATAAATATTTCAAGTTGAAAGTGTCTAAACTGTGTATTATTTTATGTATTGTTTTGAATCTTACAATCATGCCTGACCTTCATTCAAATATATTTTTGGCCGTATTAATACTCTTACGTTCGACTAGTACCTGGAAAAATGAATGGCCGTTTTGATAAAGATATTGAAAAAAATACAGTCAAAAGCCGAAGACCAAAGAAAGAAACAATAATTGAGAACTGTACAATTAAAATAATAAAACTCCATTATTTTTATGTTCAACAAATTTCTGTATCATTTTAAGACCTGTTCCCGCTCCCGAATTTTATTAAATTGAGCACGCAATGTTCCCATATCCAAAAAAGGAAAGACTGAGTCATCGTGTTTTGAATTCATTAATTTGATTGAAATGAACACATGCCCTTTAACCATATACAAGTATGTAATTTAATAGAAATGGGAAATGAAACGGGTGCATGCTTGAATATACATTCCTTCAAATGTTTATTCAGATGGACGTATAAAAATATTATACAATTATTATAATTAAAATTGCGTAACAAATCCACTTTAAATGCTAACAAAAATTATTATAATATATTTATTAAAAATTGAAATGATATTTAATGTTTGCTGTTGTTCATATATATATTATATATGTGGCTATATTTTGTTGGATACGAAAACGGTTTACGTAAAATGAATATTTTTTTTCAGATACTTCAGGGAAAAATTTCAAGTAAAAATGTTACATACTTACCTATATTTCAGAAGATGCCATCAAAGAAGTCAATAAATTAAAGGCACTAAGTCCCATTACTTTCAATTAAGATGTTATTATGGGAAGTCCTTGCTGTAATAACGCCAAACAAGCACCTGCAAAACAAAATGACAATAATTAATACCTGTTATTATACAAATATGAGCAATTATATAAGTTGTTTATTAGCTAAACAACAGAATGTTCATAGCTAGGTATCATTATGACATGATTACAAGGGCATACCGTCTTCGGCGCGTTGAAAACATTGATTTTTGTTTATTTTTGTATGACTTTTTATGGTTGAGATACATGCATGTACACACACCTGTGTATTGTAGATGCTGAACTGGTTAGCGCTGTTGAAGCTTGATTGAAATTTGATTCCAAAAATTTGTTGAATGTAGCTCGAACATTAAGCCTAAGGGCGCATGCTTAGTCGGCAGCTCAATCAACTATTTATTTCCGTGAGGTTAGACCAGATCAGACCATTGTTGACCCAATCGTAATGAAAGCTCCAACAAAGACCCAACGGCACCAATTCACACTCATACATACCATAAAAATGTATTACAAATGCACCCAGCACAGAATTCGGAAACAGACACGTTCGCCACATAAACAAGTTTAATTATTACACAACACGAGCATTGAAATTAAAAATTGAAGAATGAAGACGTTGAATCAGCTACTTCACTGAATTATTTGCCTGCTCTTCTTATCATAAGTACACATGCGATGGCTGTCTCACAAGCGGCTTCCATGAATCGCAAAAACCAAATTAGAATATCAACTCCGCTGACGATGGAGATGCCGATGATAGCGGCAGCGACGCAGTCGCAGAAGCGAGCAGTGCATTGGTTGTTGTTGTTGTATGCCAAATAATCGTTACTCGTTTGTCTACGCTAAAAAATCATCCGCCTGTCGTCGTTGGTTTGTCAGAAGTTGGTGGATTTTCTTTACAAATGTATAACAACATGGCAAGCAAAATTTTGAAAAAATATAACAGCGAAAAATATACACTAAACCAAAAAATAAAATATATACAAGTATAAACTAATATTTTAGCACGTTGATCGTCGACTGCAGAACTTGAACGCGTTTCACAGCCCCAAAGGCGATTCGGTAACACGGCCGAAGACCACACGTTGCGCTGTTCGTGCTGTGCCCCAAACAACGATCGTGTCAGTGGGCTTTCGCTTTCAGTTGCTACTCGTTGCTCGTTGTGCACGATTCGTGTGCTTTTGTATGCTCTGCTTGGCTTCTAAGTTCTGCTATCTTTAACGGTTAAATCGTCGACGTCGCCTATGTGCTGCGTTTGCGCGTCAGGTGCCAACGGTAATTTGAAATCACAAAACAAAATTCAAAACAAAGAAACATTGCAGAGCGCAAAAATCATTGCAAATTTATAAAAATTGCTGGACTGTTGCGCTAGTGAAGTGAAAAGTGAAACATTTTAATTATTTTAAATATATTATAATGTTGTAAAAAAACTAGGGTCCTTACAAACAATATGGAAAATATGGATTTAAATGCGCCTGACAACCATCGGGGTTCGGTGTCTTCGACCAGATCCCTTGAAGTACCTGTCACACCGTCGCGTTCGCCCAAAAAAGTCTCATTCTCAGATGAGCTACCCATTAATACCACCACAACAACAACAGCAGCAACAACAAAAATTGAGCCACAAAATGCAGGTCGTGAAGAGCACGGCGCCGTGAGTCACGTGCTGCAGCAAGCGGCCCATTATCTCGAGAGATTACATGGGGCGCGTGACTACGCGGAATCATCCTCAGATGACGATGATAGGCCATCGTTTCGTAGTGTGGAAAATCCGCCAAAAAGTGTGCCATATAACACCGCAGTCGATGAGCCTAATAATGCGCCCGCCGTACTACAACTGGATGAGGTTGATCCCAGCCCAATGGCAGTTCAGAAGAGTGTCGTTGCGCTTAATGCTGCGTCACCGAGCATTCTGATTGCTAGTGGCAAGCAGGAAGTGAATAAACTTCAATCGAATTTGTACATGGAACGACACAACCTCAATTTAGATAAAAACTGCAGCTCTATGGAGTTGGAGGCGCGGCGGGAGAAACAGCGTTGGCTATTGATATCTGAATGCAGTGCACTCTTCGATGAGGGGAAACACACACGTGAAGCGTTTCGCAAATTATTTCTTGATGAGGTAAGTTGGTGGTTCGATAGTTCCCGTGTAGCCAAGTTAATTATATCAGTTGGTTTCATTAGTGGCTCATGCAAATTCCACGTCGACGCTGAAGCTCGCATTCTGGGCCAACCACAAATTATTGACCTTGTGCTACATATTTGTGTTCCAGCATGTATTGGTCCTTTACCCGATCTGAAATTTAAAAAAAAACTCGTTTCGATTTGTTTTCATTTTTTTAAGCGTATGTTTTGTTGGTTTTTTTGGGCTACAAGAAAGTTGTTCGACCAGTCGCAGCCCAACTCATCCGATAAATAAAATATGCACATTTTGTTTTTTTTTTAATTTATTTTTTATTATTACTATTATCAATGTTGTTGTTTTCATTGTTGCTTAGCTGCATCTAAAGTAAGCATGCACATATGTATGCAGACAATATGATCGTGAGATTGATTGCCAATAAAATTATAATTATTAATTAGCTATTATATATTCTAACCCGTGTTGCATAGTTCATCGCTTGGGTTGGTCCAAGCTATTCAAATATTTTGTAATGAGTTAGTATAAATTTATTCATGGTATTTCTTCCTCATAGTTGGTTAACATTAAAAATGCGCGCTGAATAACTGAAATAATTCTGCAAAGTCTGCTTAATCGGGAGGCAGAGTGTTATTAAAGATATCTATTTTACATACTGACTACTAACCTGAATGGGTTTATTGCTTTATTCGTTATGTTTACATGTCTTGAATGTCATTGGGCTTTAAAAATAATTAGCCAGACAATTTGTGAATAAGAGTTGATGAGTCAGGCGCAAATGTTCAATTATTTATTAACTTCAAATTCTTTGAATTTAAAACCTCGATTGCTTGAAAATTTTGCAAATTCTCGATATAGAAATATTAGTCTTATTTATTTCACATACTTTATCAATAATGTCTAAATAAGTAAACGAAACTGTTCGCCATTAATTTCCATTTTTTATCAAAGTAGAATTCAGCCATAGTGTGTTTTACAATCATAAACAATCGCCCACATAGTACATATTTCTTCAATTGAGCGTTAGCCTTTTAACGGGTAATAAACCAATCGAATGTATAAACAATGGGCGCATTATAAATAACTTAGCACAATGAAGCACGCGGCTAAGTGTTAATTTGAATTCTCAAGTGGACAACCCTTGAAAACCGGACATAAATCACAATCTACACTATTGAGCAAGGTACAACTAGTGCGGCTGCAGTACTTTATTTTGCGGAAATATTGGAAATTTTGTTTGTGCCTCTAAAGCTTAGAAGGTTTTCCTGGGTAGGATATGTTCCAAAAGAGTATAATTCGAGCTTAATGTCGTTTAAAGCAGAAACTTACTTGTACTCAACGACCAATGCGCTTGATCCTTAGATTTGAGAAATATTATATATACAAGTAATAGGAAAAATGAGTGGAAAACATAATGGAATGAATTAATATAACTTTCGAATTCATACCTCTGTTTATTTATCAGCTATGATAATAAATATGAAAGCTAAAGTCCCGAAATTTGTATTTGCAAGTTCTTTTACATAAATAACAAGTTAAGAATATCACTCTACTTTATTTATTTATTTTCGGGCAAACAGTGTTAGTCGAGCGGTAAGGCCGTTATGTTATATTTATTGATTAGGGTATGTAAATTATACAAGTATATTACAAGTATGATCTCCCTATCTCCATGACCTCTGAAATCATATAAATATTATCGTTATTAACTTAATTTTACCTTTATTCTTACAGGAATTTCAGCAGAAGCTATTTCAGCTTTTTGATCTTGAACAAAATGGTTATCTGTTGCAAGATCGCTGGATTGAACATCTCAAGGGGCGTCTAACGTAAGTGGAAAATCGAATTCTATTTCCTTCTCTTATCCCATAATTAGCAAGCTTTGGTGGCTGTCAGCACGATGTTCGGTTTTTTGTGGCTTTTCATTTGCCTTTTAAAGCAGTGCCAAAACAATTAGCCCGTAACCAGCAAAAAGCTGTCTTGGCACTTTGATTGCGGCTGCAGTCAGCGTGTTGCCATTGCCGTTTCGGTTTCCCGCCACCTTCCTGCCTGGTGCACGCACCTACCTAACGACCTGCCTTCCTACTTAGCTGGCTACCTACCTGGTGTGTACGATATCGGCGGCTTGTTGCTGGTGGCTGGTTAGAGGAGGCGCGCTCCAGACATTCCAGATGGCGTCGCATCTGTGGCAGCCACTGCAAATGCCTATTACCGCCTTTGGCTGAAAGAATTGAAATGCCAGTGCTAGCTAGACTTTCTTGGCGATTTTTATCGCTGTTGTATGTTAACATATACTACAGCTTACATAGTCCGCATGCCTGGCCAACGCGCTTGGCGTAATGAAGTCATTGAAATACACATGCAGAGCGAAACATTTTCTATGTCTCTGTAAGGGTTTTTCAGCAGTTAGTTAATGGCTTGTCCGGATCTGTTTGCAGCGACGACAGACAAATGGATTTTGCGGAGCAAATTGAGTCTGTGGCCTATGTGATCTGTGGTGAGAACAGCGAAGTGACCTTTAAAAACTTTTGTGATATTTGGCACACCCGCGGCGTAAGTAGACCATATGTTATAGCCAATGATAAAATGATAATATCACTATTCTATGCAGGTATTGGATAAGCTCTATCGTCTTATAGATACAGATGGCGCAAGTTTAGTGTCCACAAATCAAGTTATGGAATTTATATCGCATTTAACCAACTCAAGGTAAGATTTAATCCAACACTTTATGTTTTGTTCAAACCTAAGACTTTCAACGCAGACCACGTACAGGCTTTGACAAAAGCTCTCTGGCTAGACTCGAGCAACTATTTCGAAACACTGTGGGGAATGAGCAGGAAATTCGACGGGAGGAGTTTAACAAAATTGTGACCTCAAAAAACGTAAGCCTAGTATATTCTTCTTTCTTGAACAACCATGACAACCATTTTTTGCAGCCTTTTTTTACGGAACGTGTTTTTCAAATATTCGATAAGGACAATTCAGGCTCAATATCATTACAAGAATTTATAGATGCCATACATCAGTTCTCTGGACAGTCGGCTGATGATAAAATACGATTTCTCTTTAAAGTTTATGATATTGATGGTAAATACTCTTCTTCTGGCCTATTTTTTCAATAGTTATTCATCCTTCTAAATTCTAATAAGGTGATGGTCTCATACAGCACAAGGAGCTGCATGATGTCATACGACATTGTATTATGGAAAATGGCATGGAATTCTCAGAGGATCAGGTCAGTTTCGATTGTATAAGCTTATGTTTTAAAGTTTATATATGTTTCTTTAGATTGAAGATCTCACCACTGCCATGTTTGAGGATGCCGATCCTCATAATAGCGGTGAAATAACTTACGAAGCTTTAAAGAATCAACTTAATAAGCACGGCGGTCTGCTGGAAAACCTGAGCATTACGTAAGTTTACAAAATGAGGGACCCTAAATCAATAAATTGTGAAATCAAATTATCTACAAAGCATCGATCGCTGGCTTGTGCCCATCGGCGAGGATCCAAATGCGGCAGCTAAGAAGTCTAAGTCTAAATTGTGGAACTCCATACCCATACCTCATCAGCTGACATTTGCTTACATGAAGAACAACCAAGTGTTTGTCACGTATCTCTTCTTTTACATTGCTGTGAATATTTGCCTATTTATCTCCCGTGCCATACAATATCGTGCCAGCAATGGCTTCGTCATCTTAGCCAGGGCCTGTGGTAAGAATGATAGATTAAACGAAACTACTGAATATTTTTTTACTGCTTTGTCCACCTGTAATTGTAGGCCAATGCTTAAACTTCAACTGCGCCTGGGTACTGGTTCTGATGCTACGACACACTCTTACCTATTTGCGTTCTCGAGGGCTTTCTTCGTATCTGCCGCTGGATCATCATGTCTACCTGCACAAGCTTACCGGCATCACCATTTCAGTTCTCAGTCTGGTCCACACGATCATGCATTTATTTAACTTCTCCATCATTGTTATTAATGATCCGAATATTAATGCCGGCCACTACACGATAAGCGAGTGGCTCTTAACCGATCGGCCAGGACTTTTTGGCCTTATTCCAGGATGTGCGAATCCCACAGGAGTCGCGCTTTTCGTCATACTGTTCATCATGTTTATTTGCTCGCAGCCCTTTGTTCGCCGAAAAGGCTCGTTTGAGGTATTCTACTGGACGCATTTGTTGTATGTGCCCTTCTGGATATTGACGCTCTTCCACGGACCCAACTTCTGGAAGTGGTTTTTGTTGCCGGGACTAGTCTATATTATCGAACGTATACTGCGCTACGTGTGGATGCGTGGAGAGCACGGCAAGACGTACATCAGCTCCGGTCTTCTGTTACCCTCAAAGGTTATACATTTGGTCATAAAACGACCGTTTCATTTCAATTTTCGACCCGGGGACTATGTGTTCGTCAACATACCGGCCATTGCCAACTACGAGTGGCATCCATTTACCATCAGCTCGGCACCAGAACAAGAGGACTACATGTGGCTACACATACGTACCGTAGGCGAATGGACAAACCGTCTATACCATTACTTCGAACGGGAGCAGCAGAGACTGCACAAGGGCGAGGTGATTCCCCAGCACATGCATGCCATTCCCACACCTAGCTTCATGCTGCTTAATGAAGTGCGCAATCCAGCGATTGGTGAGGGTGCCAGGACCACCACAAGGAACGGGATTGGGGGTTCGACATCGACGCCGCAAACTGATTTTCTATCTCGCAACATATCCAGCATAGAGTATTCGAGGGTCAACCCGTTGACGCATACGCCACCCGTTCGTCCGCCTCGACAAAATAGAGGCATAAGCAAATTGGCGACAGAAAGTCCAAGTACCACTTCAGCTTCCAGTGGTACAGGGGTGGATCGTATTCGAAGCATTAAGAAGACGTTGCAGCGCACGTTCTCCCGGAAAGAAGCAGATGTTAAGACCAAGGCTGGCATAACAAACAACAGTTTTGTTAACGATCGCGATGATTCGGTTGGCCAACGGCAAGATAAAAGACAGAAACCTCTAGAGAAAAGCATGTCACTGCCCGATATCAGTGGGAAGAGCAAAAAGCGCAGCAGACTCAAAACGTATGTCCAACTAACCAAAACCACCTATAGCTACCTCTTTTATAAATATCTCTTTCTTTCTTCAGCCTGCGCGCCCTGGGTCGCTCCGAATCGGAACGCTCGTTTGATGATAAACGCGTGCGTCGCACGCGCCTTCACAGCGTGGGATTGGCCTACCTCAGTCCACAAAATAAGTCGTTAGCCCAAAGTTTTCGCTATATGCGTAACAAGCCTACAATCATTGCCTTCAAGACACCCAGCTTGGACAACAACGATGAGGAATTTACGAACCACACCGCCGAGTCGGCCACCTATACAACAAGCGATGCAGAGCAGGGACGAATGCCCAAAGGTAAGAAGGTTAATGGCGCAGCCTATGAAAGGGCTTCTTCAAATAAATTAAGTGGCACGACAGATGAGTCTATGGATAAAATGCAGCTGACTAAACTCAGCGTTGAGGAACAAGATTTTGCCGTTTCCAAGCCCCTAGAGGTACGTCTCATAAATTATTTAACTAAGTAGTAACACATTTTGTTGACAGAACTCTTAATTGGAGAAGACGAAAAATAAACTATGTATGTATTTTCATAGAAGACTTGACATATCCAAAGTATAAAAGGCTATACTAGCTAAGTGCGATTGTAATTGTTTTCGGTGCACACCCACTCCTCCACTATGAGCTCTCATAATTCTTGAAAAATGTATTCCAATTTTTTGGTTTTTAGTATCTAAAAATAAATTTTTTTTACCTCCTGTTTGGCAGTTTTTTTATAAACTAGAAACCTCCATTTGGATCAATAGTCTTTACTTTGGGCAAAAAAATGTAATTCTCTTTAAATTAAACTTACTATTAATAAATACCCACTAGTTCTGTCAGCAATTTATTTGTAAACTGATGCTTTAGCTGTAACTTTGGGTCGGACAGGCAAATAATTTGCACACAAAGTTTTTAAATTTTGCAAACGTAATTTTAGCAAATTGTAATTTTAAGCTAACATATAGCAATTCTCACGTAAAATAGCACAAATTTATGTGCAAATTATTTGAAAATGATGGTCTGACCATTTTAATCTTGCTTAGCTTTGTCTAACACTTTAGTAATGTACCTTACCCATTTACCCATCTATCTATAAAATATTCTTTTGCTGAAGGATACACAAACAGGCAGTAGAAAAGCGCGTAGGCGGCAGCCTACATTTTTGCGCACATTGTCCACATCCATAACAAATCGTGGCAGCAATGGCGACAGCAGTTCCACATCTAACAGCGGTGGCAAGGTCACACTCGATGCTGGTGTAATGGAGGTTTGGGTCACAAACACATACATACATAAACACATATGCACACACTCACACACTGGGCAGTTGTGCAATACTAACTCGTTTGAAATCTCTATATATCTTTACTTGCCGATTCAAGATTTTTATTGATGGCCCCTATGGCGCACCATCGAGTCACATCTTTGGGGCACAGCATGCCGTCCTCATTGGCACGGGCATTGGCGTCACGCCCTTTGCCTCCATACTGCAATCGATCATGCATAGGTATTGGAAGGTGCGACACAGTTGTCCTCGATGCCATTTCGAGTGGGCCAGCGAGATACCGAAGAGTGTCATGAATCTGCGGAAAGTTGATTTCTTCTGGATTAATCGCGACCAGCGCTCCTTCGAGTGGTTCGTCAACTTGCTCTCACAGCTGGAGATCGAGCAGGCTGAATTAGGCGGCGCCATGGAACGGTACGTAGCTTGAGTAGATAATTATTATACCCTCTAGCGTGTAACGGGCAGAAGTAGGTGTGGCAGATTCCATGTCATCCGCAAATACCATATTTGATTGGCATGGCGAGAAAAACTGTTATAGACATGTTCATTTGTCCGTTTGTCGTAGCGTTAAGTCATAAATGATTTTTCTCATCCATTCCAAAACGATGTTTTTTACAATTCATATAAAAGAATGATCTACCATAGCACCGATCGCTGATAAATATTATTTGTTATAGAATAATTTTTTGGTTCAATGCAATATTAAGCGCAGTTTCTTTAATGCCTTTTCATCACCAAAGATTTATTAAAATCGGTGTAATAGTACATATTTCATATTTTCGCTTAGTATAAAAAGTATATAAGTGGTATAAAAAACATTGTATGTTATTAACCAATTGTGGTGTCTATAAGTACTTTATAATACCGCAACATAATCTGCAGTTTAATTAAAATTGGTGTACTATATCATTTTGTTGCCATAGGACGACAATTATTTTAGTTGTAGGACTATGTATGAGGAAGAAAAGCACGCGTACAGAGTACACAAGAGTCGGATTGGCCCGACTTTAACGTTCTTCTCGTATATTACTAATACCATCTCATACAATTGATTAGCTTTCTAGACATGCACATGTACATTACCAGTGCCTTACAGCGCACAGACATGAAAGCTGTTGGTCTTCAGCTAGCGCTGGACTTGCTACACGAAAAGGTAAATGAAACATCTAGTGTAAAATAATCAAGTCGTTAACAATGCATATTTTTAGGGGAAACGTGATCTTATCACGGGCCTTAAGACACGTACCAATGCTGGCCGCCCCAATTGGGATAAGGTATTTAAGCAGCTGCAGGCGCAGAAAAAGGGCAAAGTTACTGTCTTCTATTGTGGTCCACCCCAATTGGCAAAGACGCTGCGCTACAAATGCGATCAGTATGGATTTGCTTTCCGTAAGGAGTGTTTCTGATCGATCGAGCAATCTCACTTTTTCTCATTGTGAACTTAGTTAATGCTACATCCCTAGTTAAGCAACGGGTTTTGGTATTAGTCGTAGACAACTTTGTGCGACGTTTGGATTGCTATTTATTTTTGTCATGTCATGTGTTTTGTTTAATCATATATTTTGGAAATATTTTTGTCCAGTTGTGTGTAAGTATTTATACAAAGCGTTTGCACATGCTCGTATTCTGTAAATACATATTTATAATAAAGTTGTTGCATATGTATGTATGTAGTTACATATTACATATATAAGAGACTATCATTTGCCATAAACATAGTAGTAATGATATGTGTTGTCCCTTATTTATAGTTGAATTTGCTTAGTAAATCTATGCACATTTTCAGGTGGCTCAGAGTTCTACATATAATATCATCGATGAAGCGTTCTTATTGACGGGATTTACACAACTATATAAAATTCATGCATATGTCAATTATAAAATTAAAAACAATACATACGTCTTATTATAATTATTTAGCAGCCTCCCCTGATCCAGTTCAAGTTTAATGATTCAGCCAAGTACTAAAGTTAATGCTTCTGGGCATAGATTTACGTTGTATGGTAATTGTCTCATCGTCAATATTGTCCACATTGTAAAATTCGCGCAGCTCAGCTATGGCAGTCTCCTCGATTTGTGTATGCGCCAGGGATTTATTCCGCATGCGCTCGTAGGAGCTTCGCTGTTTGCGCTCATCGGCAAGAATTTTGGAGAAACTGTTGCTACACTCTGTGGTAGCCGGCGATACTTGGCTTGTTGGCAGTGAGCTACGCATCATATTAGCAAATGAGCCAGGATCGCCAATGCTGCCGGTTGGAGGTGAGTGGAAGGGTTCCGTAAACGAATTTGATGGTGACGTTGGTATGCCCCAGGCATTAGGCACAGCAACCGGAGTCGTGGGCTGTTCTACCAGAGCTGGCTCAGCACGCCAACTTGTCGACGTACCACTCTTTGTCTCCGATGACAGACGTTTGCGTTGTTTTTGTGAGAGCTTTTGGGTTTGAGGTGTCAGAGAAGTGAGATCGAGATCATAGCCCTTGCTTAATGGCGTCGATGGTTCCATAGATGTATTTTTTTCGAACAATTCAATTGAAGTAGGGGTGGTCTCTTTGATGGGAGTCTTGTCTGACATTACTACAAAGTTTGGGGCTGGTTGTTCCTCTTGTTGTAAAGTATTGTTCAGTTTCAATGCGGTTTCAGCTAACTTGCGTTTCATCTCCTTTTTGTCTATAACGCGTGACCAGTTCTTGGAGTCATTGAGTGAACAAGTTTGGGCAGGATCTCCTAAATCTTGTTGAGCAGTATTTACGGCAAAGCTCAAGGACTTCATCATACTAGATATAGCTTGTTGCTCATAATGACGCGAGCCGAGCTTTTGTTTAAGCTCCTTATGTTTATGCGTGCCTGCCTCTTTTGAAATACTCTCCTGTACAAATTGATACAAATTTGATAAATTACATAAAATAAGTTAAAAGTTAACGGAGGATTATATAACGAACCTGATCTATTCGGTAGTCCAAATCTACCTCATGACCATCCACAAAACTAAGCAATAATTCATCTTCAATAGCTTCTGAAAAGGGTGTAATATGTCGATAGTCAAACACTTTATGAAACATCTGGCGATAGTGATCATTTAGGCATTTCAATGTGCTCGACTCGCACTGTTCAATGCTACGATAGCATAACACTCGAGCCAAATTTTGACATATGAAATCCAAACAGCCTTGTTTTAACAATTTGCAATTGTACATTGCAGCAAAGTCAAGCATTTCGCCACATTTGCGTATGCTTATCTTATCAAGTATGAGAGATTCGCATACATATTGCAATGATTCTATGAAGTACTGATCGCAAATGGTAGTCATGTTGTACAGAAATGTTTCCGTGTAATTCTGCTTGCAAAAACTTTCGATATCCGCACTATATAGATAGTCCAAAATGGGCTCCATATACTCTTTGGGTACAGCTGAAAAATCAACAGTCGTGCGCTCGGCCCACGAGTGCATAAACATCATTTCAAAATATTCCAAGCGAGCGACCAAAATGCATTTGTGTGCCTCGAGGATATCTCCACCTTCGCATTTGATTCGCAAATCATATAGCTCGGGGAAATCTGTGCGTCGCAACCGATTAAAGCGAATCCGGGGAAATGGTCTAAATACCATTTCCTTGATGTAGCTACAAACAATAGTAAAAATAATAAATAAGTATTACATTCATGGGAGTATCTAAACTGACCAATGCACATATTTAGCCAAATCAGATAATTGGAAATTGTTGAGTTGCTCATAAAACATTTGGCAAGCTGCAATGCGATTTTGGGGATTTTTGGGGCCCAAACTCAGCATTAAAATGTCAATATCTATAGGCAGAAAACACCAATAAGAACATTCTAAACGTACAATTTTTTTACTCACCCTCCTCTGTTGGGAAATAGTAGGTGTAGATGTACTTCAACATGAGCTCAAACATTTTGCATGTTAAATGCTCGATATTTAAATAAATGTCCTTATTCAAGTATGACTTAATGAGTTCTCGCAATCCTGGTGAAAAAGCATAGATGATAAACTTATGCGCTGCAAAACTTTCCCCATCGACATGAAAAACAACATCATGCACTGAATCCGAATCACTGGTATCATGGTAGAGCTTCTTGAAATTAAGCTCTTTGTGTGGTAATTTTGGCTTGCGAAAATACTTCATATTAGCCTCTTGTAATACAGCAAATGAAGCAAAGCCTTCATCACAAAATATATCTACGGCGCGATCTATATTAGGTACACGATGTAACTCGATCCGTATCATATGGTCCCGTGATAGTTCTGTGCGATTCTGATCATTATTTTGCCAGACATCCCTGTTGGGCTTTGACATTTCATTTAAATCGGATGATAATGCTATTTGACTGCTTTTGCCTCGATACACGCAGCCGTCTTGGGATAATACCAGCAACTGGTTGGACTTGAACAGGATTTTGTTGATTTCAGGCAATCGTATTGGCGAAAAATTACACCTTTAAAGGTACAATATTAAAATGTGAATAAATATTAAATATATTTAATATTTCAATTCATTACCTGTAAAAAAGCTGTGTCTGTTCATACCACAAAAACAACACATTTGTTTCTGTTAGCATCATAAGCTTCAGAGCAGCGGCGGATCCCTTCGTACAACTTTTTATGTTACCGCCCGCTATTGATATACTTTTCAGGCCTTCATAACTAAAGAATGTTTATAAATGTTTTAATATAAATCATATTTTTACACAGAATGCAGAATTAACTTACTTTGGTGTTTTTATTGTACGAGATTTATCATTGTAGAACAAGATAATGAGTTTTGTTTCTACATACACTACTGTAGCTGAGTTATTGGCTTCCACAAATCGTATTGTCATGCGGTCGGGTATTTTCATCTATGATTGTGTAAAATATTATTCGAAAATAAAAAAATCGAATAATTTACCACTCACTAATGTTGGAATCGAAACTGTTTTAGTATTTGGGCTGATGCCGAATTGTCCATGGTTGGCGCCCCAAACGTAAATACTTTTTGTACTGTAGGCAATAGAATGTTGGTCGCAGGCTATCACGCTCAGTAGACTTGTTACGCCTTTGTCTCGCAAGGCGACAACTTCCTTAAATTGTGTTAAGTTTTCACCGGCATCGCGTACTCCTAGCTGGTGATCAGTATTTACTCCACAGGCGAATACTATTGAGTGGCTAGTGAGCAACAACGAATGTTGACGGGATGCACTTATGCAAATTATGCGTTCATCACTATTTTTTAATGGCACTCGCACGCGCTTTGGAGCTAGTAAGCTGTTCTCCATGCCAATGCCCAGCCGGCCACCTTTGCCGTGCCCTACTGCATACAGGTGGCCTTTCTTGTCCAAAAATAGACTGTGATATGCGCCTAGCGCAATTTTTTCTATCCAAATCTTGGCTTTGCGAAAGAAATCCACCGCCTGCGGTGCGTGTGTGTTTTGGTCGTTGCCAATACCTATGTTATAATTCTTATTGGATCCCCATACTAGCGCTTCATTTCTACACAAAAATTATTGGGTTAGATCAGGAACGGTTTCCATTGGTTGTGACTCACTGTGAATCGGTGGTGAAATCAACATCACTTTTGCGACAGATTGCTTGCAAGGGGCACCGTGTGTCCTCGTCCAAAAGCTCTAGACTAGCACCGTACCGCATCAATAACACCGCACAGTCAATAGACCCGTAATAAAGGGCTCTGTGTAGCGGACTGCTGCCAGATTCGAAGTCTTTTCCGTTAATAAATGCGCCTTGGTTTATCAGCCATTCCAGTATTAAATACCGTCCTACGGACGCAGACATATGTACGGCAGATCGCCCCTGCAAAAAAAAAGAACCAATGCCACCATTTACCACTCAATACACTTTTATTTTTACTCAACTCATACCAGGTCATCCAATATGTTGCAGAAATTACAGCAAGTTCTGGCCAGAAAAGTTGCTAATTTGTTATCATTTATTGAGCGTTTTGTAAGTGCCGCTGTTATGGTGTTTCCATGATGATGCAGATGGCACTTAGCAGTGCAATCATATTCATATGCTTTTAGAGACATATTTTGTATTAAGATCAGATTCACTAACTCTAATTTCTTATTTATTGTACTTTTATGTCCTTATTTAGTCAGTGGCAACGCCAAATTAGCGATTAGCCGGCAAGTGTTGCCATATAGATAAGAAATAACTTATCGAGTATTAGGTTGTTTGATATCGAATCATTACTATCAGCAAGTAGTTTTGCTTTTGCATTTGGATTGTAATAGTCGCGCGCACAGCGTCCGAGTTTCGTGCTTTGCTACGTAAGCAGAAAGTGTTAATTTATTGATAATAAATGATAGAATATTATGTAAATACGTAAAGATATGGGTTATTATTTATAAAAGGTTTGAAGTGACTGTTGAGCAATATTCATCTTTGAATGACACACGCGCGTGTTTGTTAGTGTTCCAGTGCTTCCGCCCTAGTCACTCCAAAAACAATTGAGTCATAAGCGAGAACAAACCGTCATGTGTTAAAATTTGTACGACCACAATATTTTGTTTGCTTACACGTTTTAATTCAATTAGAAGCCCCACAAATTGAATAAGTACATAAAGCTATACATATTCATTTCGCTGAAATAGTGACTGGAACCACATTCTATGTGCGAAATGGCGTAATTGAAACAGATTGTATTTAATGCTTGTTGTTGGTTGTTGGAGTCGTGGGAACAAGTGCCACTTGTTAATTAATTAATTACTTGACCTGCACACTCTCATTGTGTGTTTTATCTTCTAAAGATACATATTGAGGCAATAATTATCAATCAAGTGGCCGCAAAAGTGCTTCTTATAGCCAAATATGAACAAAAGCAATATGAATATGTACATACATACGTAAAAGGCAAAAGCGATACGTGAGCTCCTCAGTTTAGTTTACGTTACGTGAGCATGTATGTATGTAAATAGTATCACTAGTGTGAGTGCTGCATGTGCAAGTGTGCGTGTTGTGTTTCTGTGTTTGTGCTTGTGTGTCTTAGCATAGTTTCTCTCGGTAGCCTGCTCATTCACTTTAATTTCTTTTTATTTACTTTTGACTCATGAAAAGCAGGTTTTCCAACCACAAAGTAAAACGGATTCGTTGCTGCAGTTGCAGTTTAAAAACGTTTTTACGTCGTCGTTTTACGTCTCCTTTCTAACCACTCTATTCTGAGGTACAAAAGAGAACAAGTGTTAGTAACAGTAACAGAGTAGCAGGTTGCACGCCTGACCACATTTACGAAAAACGCATCCGGAAATGCCAATAGAAGTAAAGTAGAACATTTATGTCGCGCGAGCCCGATGCTGGTATACCCTATATCCGCAGCATTCTAGTAAGAAAGATTTTATTCTACCGATCGCAGCTATATAAAATATATAGAAACATACATTTGTATATTTTATTCCTGTAGCGTTTAGATAACGTAGCATACCCTTTTACCCTTCGGGTACATGACACAAAAAATAGCCTAGATAAAGCGTAATTGTGGCACACTGCAATATAAAGAGAGAGAGAGAGAGAGAGAGAGTATAAAATTAATGCCCCATTATTCTTCACTCCACTTCAGCTGCAACTAGAAGCAGCTAATCTTTGGCAAACATACTGAATGGTATAATTATGTGATGGGCTCGTGTACGCGGCGACACTTTGTGCTGTCAATATGCTTTTTGCAAATGGTGAGTGCAATAAATAATGAAAGCAAAAGTTCCCTTTTGCTAAAAAAAACAGTGCGCGATTGTGTCTAATTTGCGCGCTTTCCCCGTTTTTACAGATAACGATAATCGAGCGGCAGGTATTCGATTTTCTCGGATACATGTGGGCGCCCATATTGGTGAATTTCTTTCACATGCTCTTTGTTATTTTCGGATTCTATGGCGCATATCACTTTCGAGTTAAATACATTGTAACTGTGAGTATCGTACATGCCCTCATATTATCATAATCAAGATAACCCAATTCAATGTTTATTTTTGTAGTACCTAATATGGAATTTTGTATGGATTGGTTGGAATGCTTTTCTGATATGCTTCTATTTAAATGTAGGCGAACTAGATAGGGTGAGTTTCATTTATTATCAGATAAACAAATGCGCGTACTCATCCAAACCGTTTTGTTTCAATATGTGCTGAAAGCAGGACGGCGATCTCCTCAATATGGGCACTGGCAGTGTTTCCTGGTTCGAAGTGAACGGCTTTGGCTGTAATCCCACTTATTCGATGAACATTACAGAGGACCCATTTCGGCCCACACGCCCGGAGCGTGTGGATGGCTGTTTATTAGATTATGCATTAGTTGAAGTTGTACATTCGGTTGTGCAATGCAGCCTAGCGGTAAGAATGCATTACACACGTTTCTAAATTAATGCGAATTTGTTTTGATGGCTAACTTTTCTTTTAGTTACTTGGCATATTTGGCGCTATTTTCATCAGCTGCATATTTCTCGATGAAGATGATCGATGTGAGTACCTACGCGAATGTCCACACGAACATTCTTTGTAAATGTTTGTTTTGCACACACATCCATACACACACATCTACTATCATATCATAGCTAATTTACTTACTAACCGGGTTATAGGTCATAGCATTAGGTCATAGCATAACCATTTCTAGAGGGTATTTATTTCATCAACACATTCTAACACACCGTATGATACATACTTGCACTGTAGAGTTACTTTTCTTTGATCAACTCGACTAAAACTACTAAATATTTATCAACAAAATTTAAATAAGAGCGAAATCGTGTACCCACACATATGACAAATTTTATAAAACATTTTTATTTGATGACCAATATATTTTGTTGTCTGTCATGTGAATGCTTTGTATATAAAACTGAATACACAAGGAATCATTTGAAATCACCAAAAATGCATTCTATATATGTTAATGAATATTGTAATTTAAATTAACAAAGTGCCGTGTATAACTTATGTATTTTATCAATTGTGCTACTGTGAGAACAGAATATGTCTGTGAAGTGTTTTTGTTGTGTATGTCGTCTGATAGATAGATAGTACATACCATAATACCTATATAAATATAAATGCATTACATAATCCATGTTATGTTTAAGCGCAATCACTCATGCTACTCATAAAAACCAACCAATCAACAAAAATATCAACCACAAGAAAATATAAATGGCAACATGTTGTGAATGCCTTTGCAATATACCAATACAGTCTTTATACTCGTATAATATATATATTTATATATGTAAATTTATATGTATGTGTAATGTTAAAGAATATAATTAATTTCTGGTTTACAGTCGATTTCATGAACGGCGATGCGAAGAGTCCACAGCACACAGTGGTCCATCCCATGTACGTGAGCTATTCAAGTATACCAACATCCGCAAGCGCAACAATGCAATCAAACAAGCATCTGCAACATCAACAGCAACAAAACTCACTGCAATTTTATCATCAACACCAACACCCAAACAAACAGAACAGCAAAAACAACAACAGCAATAATAATACACTAAATACTGTTCACCAGCAAGATGCAAATAACCATAACACATACCTAACGCACACCAGTGTCAAAAGCGATCATAACAGCAGCAGCAACAACAGCTTGATTCGCCATAAGTCGCAAACTCGTAATAGGAGTGACAACAACAGCACAAACAGCATGAGGCGCACGCGACCCTACCAGTCTAAGAATTCAACTGCCAGTCCAATATCCCCACATAGCAATACCACAGCCTCCTTGTCCTATGCCTCGCTGCAGAATTCAAACTTGTATTTGAGTGGGGGAAACGGCGGAGGTGTCTCCAATTCGCTGAGCAACAGCAATTATAGCATTTTTAATGCCGGTACCTCGAACGGCAATCAAAGCGCTGATACCACTACCAGTAGTGGCCACTTTGCGCGCATCCATCACAAGCCAAAGGCGCCCAAATCCCTGGCAACCTCTGCCTCTGGCAACTTTGTCCGCCCCGAAGTCAAGTATACAGAGGTGAAACTTCAGCGTCTGTCACACAATCTCGAGGAAGATGAGGACAACTTTTCGTTGCAAAATTTGCCGGCCAGCGACAATGGTGTCACTTATGTTCCATTCAAGAGTCCAACGCCAAATAGTTTATTTGTGGGTGAAAATAACAATGCTCCCCACATTATATTCAATAACTACCAACCCTCCACACCGCTCAGCCACCACTCGTCCAGTTCTAGTCCCAACAATAACCACAACCATAATAGCAGCAATAGTCGTGTTGTTTATCCCTATGAGCAAAATGGCCTGCCTGAGCTGGGTGTCACCTACTCGCCCAAACCGTTGCGCCTAACCAAGCAACCCACTCGGCCCACCCACATACCGTTGCCCACAGTTCCTGTTCACAGTTGTGATGAGAGGGGTGCTGCGGCGACAACGACAGTGTTGTCTCCATCGGCAGTAACGCCACCGCCGCCCCCTGCGCAGCGTCCACACATCTTCCAACAGCGTCTCGGGCATGCGCATTACCCCGATCTGTCGCCTGAGACCACAGAGAAATATTCCATGCCGTCACAACACGTGCCCGGCTCACCAATGGTCCGGCGTATTCAGCGCCGCCAGCGTCAACAGCCGGCTCAGGCGAATTTCTGCGATCAAATACGAGCTGCCCCACCTGGGTACGTTGACATTGGCATTGGTGGTCACAACATTGTGCGGGCGAGGAGTGACGATCGTCTGGTGGAGCAGACCCCCCCTCAGTTGGCCGCCAATGCGGCGCCACATGTGAATCGGCGCAGCGGTCGCCGGGAGGGCAAATCTCGACCTCGATCCTACTGCAATTCAATTATAGGGGTGCAGGCATAAAACAGAAAGAAATTGAAGCCCTCCTTTTTTTCTCCCCGCCACATTCCCACACTTTCCATTGTGTTGATGCAAGCTCTCAAAATATCGTTCTCATATTGACCAAATTTCTTTTTTTAGACTTATAGACAGCTGACGAATTGACCTTTTTTGATTTTCGCTGTTGTTGCATACCAAAAAGAAAAATATTCACAAACAAACAGAAATCGTTGAAGACGCTGCTGCTTTCTATGTATGTATAAGACAGACCATTGGCAAAATGCAGGTCAGCTCTCTAAGGTATGGTCTGGCGGGCGAGCTAAAGTAAAGTAATTTTGTCGAAATTCAGAAGTATGCCATGTATAAATAGAATAAAATTCTAATGAAAATAGAAACAATAAGAAATCTATACTGAAACATAGTTTTCTTTTTGTGGATTACTGTTTAAAGTCTACTTCTGAAATATTTTGATGTCAGACCATACCTCTATTTACATACTATTTAATAAGTTAAGCTTAGCCTCTCTGCCTACACGTTACCGCACACTTGTTACTACTAACTAAACCTATACCTGCATACATAATGTGTATTACATATTAGAGTTGTGTTCTTATATCAGTCCAAAATACTAGACATCCGAGAGTAGAAGACCAATATAAGAACAATACTTGATCTTCAATTGAATGTACTGCGTGTTGTCGTTTTCTGTTGCTAACAACAAACGCACTTTGGTGTTATAGATATAGTGTTGAGATTTAACAAGAAGATAATAATAAAATAAAAAAAAAACGTTGACATGCCACACATTACATACAAAGGTGGTACTTAAGGTGTGTTCAGATTGGCAAATAATTTGCACACAAAATTGTTCAATAGAATAAAATGTTACTACATTCGAAGACAAGGAGAAATATATTCTTTTATAAGAGGGCAAATTTGTGTGCAAACTATTTGCATGTCTGACCGTTGCTTTAGGCATACATATATTTTCTGGCATTCCAAATTGTTGGCCAGTTTAACACTGAACTGCATAGTTTTTAAGCTTATTTAATGTTGCGACTTTAATTCCTGTTGTTGCCTTGATGAATGCCATGCAAAGTATATTTTAAATATTTTTATAGCAACATACATACACACACATACATGTAATCGCACACACATACACATATATACATACATACGTACATAAGAACATAAAGAACTCACAAAATGAGACTTTCCTTAATGGCTGCTTCAATGAATTGTGATAGAAATTGTTACAAACTATAGGAGAATCAAAAGCGTTTTGGCAAATGCTGCATGCGGAAAGTCCAATGCATACAAAAACTTTTACGTTAAACTGTGATAATACATAAATCTACATATACGCGAGATGTCACATGATTTATCTAAATTATCACATATAGAGACAAACTTGTTGAAATTGACAAAGAAAAAAACGCACATGCAATGAATTGTTCAAAAACGAAAACGAAAAACAAAAAACAAACTTGAATCAGCATAATGCTGCTAATGCCAATGCAACCGAATGCCTTTGAAATTAGAGAGAACCGCAGCAGCCCAGCTCTAGAATGCAACGGTCTCGTTATCTTTAACTACATAGTTGCCTTTTGCATTGTGTTATTTTGATGAGAATCAAAAAAAAAAAAAGAAAAATAAAATTAAATACATGAATAAATATACAAAGAGTAATAATCAAAAGTTATATATTCAGTTTCAATGACAAAGTTCTAGAGTTTAAGATTTCTAAATTATGCTATATAGTACATACAAACTTATAATTATACAAATAGTTAAACATAACGTTAAAGCTATACGAACTTATCGAAACGAAGCGGATCTATATAGTTATGTATTTCGATTATACATACGTATTTTACATATGATCTAGACTTCTTCTTTGAAACGCTGGCAATTCTTTAAAGCTCTGAATGTTATCAATAAAAAACAAATCTTCATTTACAAAAATTTGTTGCCTTTAACTTAATACCATCTAATTCGTACTCTGGTAACTGGCTTTATCTAATGGTTCTTAAGCTGTTGTTGTTCACTTTTATATTTGTTGTATTCTTTGTTGTGTAGATCACCAGTTCTAACCCCAGCCCCGTCCTCCTATCACGCGTGCTAATTACTTTACGCTCCAAATCTTTTAGTGAATTGTAGCTAAAAAGTTTGTACCTTTAACTGTACATATAACTGCTCCACATATATCTCTATCTAACCTCAAGTCCAGGTAATTGATGCTGCCAATTTAAGCCCCAGAATCGTACAAATTTTAATCTAATCGAGTCTATACATTGTATCTCTGCCCGCCCACAGTGCAGCATATTAACAAGAAGTCCAAGCACCGTCAGTCCCTGTACTCCATCGAGTTCGGGGCTAGTAGCGACACCATACGGAGTCGCGCCGACACGATGCTCAGCTACGGCGACCCCGATAACGACAACGACGGTGGCGAGCTGAGTCCGAAACCCATGACTCCGCGCCGTGTAAAGCGACGTTCCATTATGGCTCGTGGCTCTCATGGCCGCCACTCAACCGGCAGGCGCTCACATCACACGGGCAGCAGTGGCTCAGTGCGGTCCAAGCATGGCAGTGGGGGTGGCGGTGGTGGCGGCGGCGACAGTAGTAGCGGCACTTATTCACGCAGCAGCATGCGACACTCCCGTCGCAAATACCAGCAGAATCCAGTCACTAAGTTGCTAGATCAGCAGCAACAACAACTGCAGTATCAGCAGCAGAGCGCGAAACAACAATTGGGATCGTTCCATCGCATTGACAACTTAACGCTGACGGCATCGAATCTGCAATCGCTTAACGATGATATAACCAACAATACGAACCATGTTAGCCAACTTGGCAATACGAGCAAGACGAACAATGTTTACTACAACTATCGCAAGAATATACCGCTGGATCCCATTTATTATAATACGAATGGTGCGGGTCTGTTGTACGATAAGCAAGCATTGGACGAGCCCAGCTCCCCTACATTGCCGCCACCGCCGCCGCCGACGGGTTTGCATGGTGGCCACTACAATCACAGCTATCAGCACTCGACCACCAATTTGAATGATGTGGGCACTAGCGGCCATGCGGATGAGCTTTACAATAATCGGCCGCCATCAGTGCGTTCCAGTTATTCAAATTTTCATGGTTCTAGACCGCTCTCCACGGGCTATATGCCAAATGGTAACAGCAGCACCACAACGGAGAATGTCTTTGCTGGCCTGAGTGGTGTGAACACCATGCGGATGAGTCCGCCAGAGCCGCCCTGCACCCCGCCACTCTATCAGCAACATCCGCTGCATCAGCAACAACAGCAACAATATCTAGCTTCGCAGTCTGCGCCATCGACACAGCCCTTTGTGCCGGACCCGGCGCCCAATTATGTCACCACTCAGCCAAACCACTCAGGTAACATGGCGTTTGGAAAGCGGACTGCGTCGAGAGAAAGCATACGTTCCATGGCCTTCCTCAACAATGGGCCACCGGCCTATAATCTAAACTATCATACGCCACCGGACTCCGAGACGACTATGTAGTGCGAATAGCTTTAGCCATCTTAGCCGTCCATTTAGTTGTACAGCCAGCTGTCGTAATTTAAGAGCTACACTCTTCATCACGAGCACACATCATCATCGCATAACTATTGTATTTTCATTTAAGATCTCGGCAGCGACGCAATTTTTGGGTGCCCCCTCATTAGCATGACAATAATTTTGTTCGATACTTATGTAACAAGCCAGTGCTAGCCAGTGGCCAATGGAGAAATTTCAATCCATGCTTCCACCTCGACGACACAACCACATCAACATACATAATTTAATTCATATATACGTATTTAAAATAATGGATATTTAAGTAGACCTAAGCCTTTTGTCGTTTTTACCAAAGTGCCTTTGTAAATATATAAACGATTCTTTTGTATACAAACAAACACTGGGGTGATATAAATTAGAGCGATGCTAGACATATGAATTCACCAAAATTCACGATTTCACAAAACAAGACAAATGAGGAAAAGTGGAATTAGAAAAAATGTTACGGAAATTAGGGAACCACAGAAATTATTAATATATTAAAAAAATAGTTGAAAATAGTTGTGTGTGAGATTTTATGAAATTACGATTTACAATTCACGAGTTTTCAAAAACTCGCATCACGAAAATTCTCAACAAGAAAAAGAGAAACTTGCGCGAAGATTTGACAATTAGATGCATAGTCTTTAAACAATGAACATTTGCTGATTAAACATTTTTTATGAACAATACTTGAACACATCGGAATTGAAAAAACTTTGAGAAACAGCGTTAGTTTAAATTCACTTTTAATTTCATTAGATCTCCATTTTCCATGATGATAAACCGTAATATATAACTTTAGCATTCTTTGAAGACAATTAGGAAACATGTTAAATATATTGCATATAAGTATGTTGTATATAGTATATTATTTGAGAACCAATAATTTTATATTTTGGATTAATCGTTGCGGCACACTGAGGATCAAAACAAAATTCAAATAGAGTGTGAAACAAATGAAAGGAGGAAAAACACATTACTTACTTGTACTCGAGTCCCAGCCAGGCTCAAGGTCTAGTCGCTTATTCTCCTCCTTAAGCCAGGTGAATAGGGGTCCAAAGTATTCCAAAATGCCACGACCGCTAAGCTTACGTTCGCCAGTAGCTATTTCCATAATATCCCGCCAGTGCTTTGTGGCACCCAGTTGCATCATTTCGCTACGAAAATATACACAAGACTAGAATTTTAAATATCGAAAAATCAAATATGTTTTGTCGTACCGCAGCATTTTTCCTGCTTCAGTGCTGCCGTAGAAATCACAATTGTGTAGGGGATATTCTGGATTACCCGGCTGATATTGTCCGCTGGCTAGGCAAAAAGCGCGATAGAATTGGAAACCAAGAACTTCCGATATAAACTTCCTAGGATGACCAAGCATGCAAGTTTATATATTCTATTCTATATTGTATTCGTATTCGTTCTTACATGGTACTCGACCGCTCTGGACTTAAGCCGCGGTAGAACTTAAAGTCTGGATCAAAACTTTTTTCGTTTCTCATCTTTGGCGGCGCTACGCCGGCATACTTGTTCTGTAGGCGCCAATAGGCGCAGTTATAGTCCTGGACATTAATACGACCATCCATGACATCAACGAGGAACTTATCGTTGATAAAGTACTGCGGCACGGCCAGCAGGGTGTGAACGCCCTAATGTGTCGAATACGATTTAAAATGATCTCTCCAAGCTCCATTAATGTACAGCCCTTACCATGCGGAACAGTCGATTCATCGACTGATCGTGATTTAAGCTCTCATTGAGTAAAATGTGCAGTCGATGCAGATGTCGGGGCGTGCCGGAGGCAATAATAGCCGCCTCACCCATCGCGCTCCCAAAGCCGGGACAGGGCTCGGTGTCCAGGCCAAATGGCAATTCCTTTTTGTATATATTGTATTGCAGATCCGACATGGTGGCGTGCATTTGCATCATCTTCTTGTAGTCCAGTTTGGGGCAATAGCGTAGTGCCACCTCAGGTGGGAAATAGTATACAACGGACTTGCAATCGGTGCTGAGTTCATCGTCGTTCATTCGACGCGAATATTTTTCATAGAAGCCACTGTTTTTGAAACAAAGCATTAAACATAGATCATGGGGGTACCCCATTTTCCAGGGGTCCCTAAATTCTTATGTAACTCGATAGTCTTTCCCAATTCTTGAGCGTATAAAAAATGAGATCAGTTATTTAAACAAGCTAGAAATGGCTAAACAAATGATAATGTTATGAAAACCATGAAACTATGACAAATAAATGCTACAAACGTAAAACCCAGTTGGGTCAGATCTAAATTAATACTAATATGTACCTATACATACATAAAGGGCTTATTAAATCTACGATATATATTCCAGTGCGATCCAATATCTTTAAGTTCCAGGGTAGTAGTAATGATTTGGAACATATATTTTAGCCATTAAGGTAGTGGTGATCAACACTAAAACCCTTCCACCAAAGTTACAAACTCTGAGAGGTTTTTCAAATGAGGCTTAGCAACTTACTCGGACATGTGATTAAGACCGAGGGACTCGAAGAACTCTGCCGCCTTTTTATTGATCTTCAATGATGTGACGAGCACCTGCTCCAGACGTTGGTGCACCGATGGAAGCTGACTGTTTGGAAAAGGCACACGAAAGATTGGATGGGGATACCAGGCCTGACCAATCATTTGGTCCAGAACTGGCGCCGATATCGAACCGTCTTCTTCATAGTTCCGATGCGGGTATGTAAGAATGGCCTGTTTGCGTAGATACGCGTGAAGCTCGCGATACAAAGGCATTACCTCCCAGACGACGTCCTCAAGTTCGCGTTGGAAGTTCTCCGTATCATAGTAAAGATACCAGGTGCGCGATGGTGTTACATGACCGTTATATGTAGCAGCGATTCGGAGCAAGCGTACATAGTCAATGAAGGTAGCCTTGGCCGTGTTTTTGTCATTGATGGCCATGCGCCACTTCAGCCAATAGTATTCCAATTCCTCCACTCGCTGGCTGCGTACCGCTTGATTCATGATGTGAGGATACATGGCCAGCGACTGCTGGCAATCGTCCTGATGATGGGCATGACACACGGAACGACCACTGATGAAGGTTTGCATTGTGTGCAGCAGTTCCCTGGACTGGTCGAAGTCCGAGCGACGTAGTCCGTGAAGTTGAAGCTTGGACAGGCGCTGCACTCGACGTCGCAGGAGAGGATCCTGTAGTTGCCGCACAGGCACAACACTCAGGTTGGCTGCCAACTCATATGCCAGGCGATAGTTGTCGAGCTCAATTTCCTGCTTGAGTGGGGCCTGATTCACCGCGCTATATGGCCGACCCTTCACAGTTAGCGATAGAAATATGTCGCGACGTCTACTCCAAATATTGCGCATTCGCTGCGTAGCGAACTCCAATGTGTTCTTCGCGTACTCCTCATAGTTCTTGGCAGCCATGGCAGCCCCACGCGTTAGGTTCCTGGGCGGAGACCCAGCTGCTAAAGTCAAGGAGCCGGCCACCACCAGCAACCGTAGCAGAACAGATCCGTGCCACTGCAACCACATGGTTATAAATTGTGTGGAATCTTGGTTCTAAGACCTTAGCTAACTATGCTTCCGCTGTGAATTGCACGCCCTTATCGCCAGTATGAAAAAAAATAAAAATAAACACAATTGTGCGCACAATCTGCTTTAATTTTTATTATTGCTCCGAGCGCTTTAGCATCTCAGCGTACACTGGGACCCTTTGCTTAGTTTTGTTGCATATTTGAATTAAAACTGTTTTATTTGTTGCTGTTGTTTTCTGTTATTGTTGAGCTCCGGCATTAGCTTATCAGTTTCGCAACATTATTTCTAAGCCAGGGACGCGAAGCTCTCTTTATTTTGTTTTGTTTTCATCGGAACTCTGCTCTAATACGCATTGGCTGCCGTGATGTTCAAGGGAACAGCATTGCCCTTACACTCTGTGGAAGAAGAAAATGAATTATAAGATGTATTCAACCACTAAATGAACAAGCCCAATAATTCTTGTCTGCTCAGATCTAGGAATCTCCAATAGATAGACGGTTCAAGCTCTGAGTTCAATTTAAAGTCAAGGTCATTTCTTTTCATTAAAAATCCATTTCATATTTGAAAAGAAATAAACAGTCGCAATATAGCACCACCTTCCTAATATACTCAATCAGAAAACATTATAGATATGTTCTTAGCTTGTTATTCCTACTAACCTAAACATTCATTTGGTTTTATGTTCGTCCCTTAGGGGTATCTCAGTTTAGAGAACCAATCAAAAATTCGTTAACAAATGTTGCCTAGCTTAGATTAAGTTTTATAGAATATACTATGAAATGAATTCACACTTACTGTCAGATTCCATCCAGCCAACACGGAGCTGTTTGCTTAGATTATCCTCCGTTAGCCACTGATTGAGTGTATCAAAGTATTCGAGAAAGGATGTGGCGGATATACGGGTTAGTTGGACTGTGGTTAAGGGCTTAATAACGTCCCGCCAGGGCTTGATAGAGCCGCTCACCATTATTTCTCTGTTGACAATAATAATAATTAACACAATTATAGTAATGTTAACTAACTTACTTTAAAAGTTTGCCAGCATGACGATTGTTGGCAAAATCACAATTGTCCAGCGTTTTGTAGGCATTGCCGCGTTCGAATTCCCGCGTTATCAGGCACACTGCCCGATATATCTGATAACCAAGGAACTCCCCGAAAATTTTTCTGAAATCAGTAGAAGTTTGAGTAAGGTTTTTAATTTAGAGAGCGGGCATTTGTGCAGACCTGGTACTGCGGTATTCGTCCACAATGCCCTCGTAGAATTTGTAGGGCATATCATAGGCAGCCGTATTGGTCTGGGCGGGTGCCTCAACGCCCATATATTTCTGCATGAGATTCCAGTAATGACAGTTGTACTCACTGGGCGTGACACGTCCATCTATCATGTCCACCCACAACTTCTCGTGCACAAAGTACACCGGGATGGTGAGTAATGTGTGGACTGCCATTCGATAGAGTCGATTCAGATTTAGCAAATCATCATATTCGTAGTCCTGGAGGAGCCGCAAACGCTGCTGCAGATGCTTGGGCGTCGAGGCTGAAAGTATGACGGCTTCGCCAATGGCATTGCCAAAACCAGGACTGGCTTCCTGGTTCAAGCCCACGGCCAAATTGTTCTTAGCCAGGGCATATTGAACACGGGCCATGTCGCCATGGGTTTGCAGCAGCTTCTTATAATAGACCTTGGGACAGTAATGCATCTCGATGGTGCCAAAGTCGAAAATTCGGGACTTGCAGTCGGGTCCACCACTGCCTGGCTCCATAGCCTTAAAGTGCTCATCCAAAAAGGCGCTACACATAAGACGGGAGCGGTTTAAAAACGGAAATATTAGCGAAAGATTATGTTTAATTTACTCTGTCAAATTCTCGAAGCCAATTGATGAGAAGAAACGCGCACTAATGTTGACCAAATCGAATGGCAGCAAACCGACATCATCTAACTCCGCCTGCAAGTTGGGCAGCTTGCGTTGTGGGAAGGGATTGCGCAGCACTGAGTCCTTCTTCCAGGCCTGGTAGGTGACCTGCTCCAGCAAGTGGTGTGGTATAAGGCCCGTGGGCGGTATAACACTATCGCCATACTTCACACGCAACACGTGACGCATGTGCGCGTGAAGTTCGCGGTAGAAAGGCTGGATGGAATCCATGAGGCTCTCCAACTCAGCCATGAAATTGGCATCCTCATACTCGGCATACCAAACAGACGAGGCATTGCGCGTAGGCGTGCTTAGGTTCTGATAATAGCCGATGTAGTAGTGGAGCGCCTCCTTCACACTATCCGGCAGTTTGTTGCGCCACTCCTGCCAATAGTACTTGATCTCGTCCAGATCGTCACTGTTCGTGAAAATAGTCTTGATATTATGCACAAAAGCCAAGTTACATTTTCCGCCTCCATTGCGCGGACACGCCCACTTTTGTCGCGACATCGATTTAAGTGTACGCGTCGCTCGCTTAAAATCATAACCGATGGGCGGGTGCACAGCCCCACGCAATATGACCTCGAACTGGCGACGCAGCAGCGGATCCTTGAAGTTCTGCCAATCGTATTTCTGCAAAGCCTCATAGTAGGGCTGCAGCTTCTGTCTCAGCAATATTTCAGCACTCAATGTGTCATCGGAGAACTTCCGATATGCCTCCACACTCTGCCAGTAGGCCACGTTAATAAGCTCCAGCTGTTGCAGAGCGGCCAACTCATCGTTCGAGTGAGCGTAGCTGACATTCTGGCATCGGCCAATGCTGACATAACCGCACACCTATTAAACATTTGACAATGATTATTCGGTAATTAATTAATAATGCGACGCTGTTATCAGCATAAACCTATGTTTCATTTAATTCAAAAGTTTCTATAAATACACGTACATTATATGTTTCTATTATCTATTAAAAAAGAAGACCCGTATTCCTATATGATACTGTGTACATGAAATAATCAACAAATCTAGCATTCTTTTTTTTATAAAAAGCTTATTTTTTTATTTAATTAAATGTAGGATTTTATTCTAAAGACAGCTGAGTGCCGCATTTAAATTAATTATCTGAGCTCAAGATTTGAGGGCAGATGAGTAGATGCCAGTTGCTATGTTGCTCGTGTTCCGGTTATTGAGTTTATCAATTAGTTAATTAATTGCGTTCTACTACACTTTTCAGCAACGTATTGACCCTTCATCCATAAACAGAAGTTTAATAGAAAGTTTTTACTTTGAGGAATAAATACTTTCTTAAGGTATACTTATAAAATTAATATTGCTTATATAAATATAATTAGCTACACTAGTCTTATAAACTAAGAAGATTAGTAGCTAAAAATATATGAACACTCTGGATTATCACTTATATTTTTGTATTTTCAAAACTCGCAACGAATTATATTTTAATAGATCAGATTTTAACCCCGTGATTTATTCGCAAATATTGCGTATATTTGTGCTTTTACATTGAACATAGTACATTATTTATTGTATTTGTGTTTTTGTAATTAAAATTTAGTTCACTTTCTGTCAACTATGACTTTGCATGTGTTTTTATAAAGCTTGTATAATTTTAGATCAGTTTTGTTTTTATTACGTATACGTCATGATTTCATTTCTGTCATTGGGCTATACATTGAGTATGCGCCATGTCTTACTCAAGCTATCTATTTGTGTTTGGTTCCCTGGGGCACATTAAGTATTCGCCATGTAGTGTTTACTTTCACCTACGTACTTTGTTTGTGTGTTATGTGTGTGTCTGTGTTGATATGAGTTATAGGCTACTCGTATGAAATGCCTTACCACAATCACCGCCACCAACCAGCAGTGTTTAGAAAACATCATCACTGCACTGCACAACTCAACAAATCAGAATAAACTAATGCGGCTTAAGACAAGAGGCAGCGTCTTACCCAAAACTGTACGACAATGCAGAGATAACCGATTGAACTCAACAGATAGTGGCTGTGGGTCGGGCACAATTGATAATAGATTTCGTGCACTTTCTGCACTTTGACGTTGAGGAGAGCAGATGATGATGATGATGGTGAGCTGAGATTGTGGAACTGACCTAAGCCGCATTTAATTGGACTTATCTACCGGCGCACGACAGTCCTTACAACTAGCCATTATAGCTGTTGGTAGCTGTGCCAATTTTTTCCGTTAGCTGACTACAGTTCTTGCACATGCACTCGTCGCACGTCGTCGCTGAAACTGAGACTGCTTCAATTCTTTTGTTAGCCAGTGGCCCATATTTGAGCTTTATATTTTTTGACATTTTTAGGCATCCTTGGGGCCCGAGGTGCAACAGCAACGGCCGAATATGGGGAAATTTTTTATCTCTGTCGTGCCTTTTGTGTTGATTGTGCTTTTGCATTTGTTTATGCCGGCGGATGTGCGCACTTAGAGCGTCGCGTCTGCCATTGTTGCAGCCTCAATTAAATATAGACATTGAGTAGTAGTCGTTGGCCCCATACCCCGCACCTACTCTACTAAAAAAAAAAATAATAAAAAATTATAATTCGAAAGAGAAAACAGAATAAATGTGTGCCACACTCAATGTTTACGGTCGCATTGCTTTTCAACATCAACTAACGCCTGCCGCCCCTTTCACCCCAACACTAGCACCCCCTGGCCATGCATTCGACACGTTGCTTTTGACATTTTGGCCAAAACACAGCAGTGGGTCGTGGCTGGCTCGCACGCTAAGGCCTGTGGGCTGAGGACCAACCAAACAGTCCAGCACGCACACATGCGAAGAGTTGGGAGAGGAAATCCTGGCTGGCGCAATAATGGGAAATGCGCTGAAGGAAATTTGAGTGGCACTCTGCAGATTACGTCAAAAGGAAAACCCGTTTGCTCAGTCACAAACGAACCTTAGAACCAAACAGTCGCCATGCAACGCACGCGTTTTCGTAGTTAACTGTAATACCAAATACCAAAGGACAACAACAAAAAATCACAAGAGATTACAACAAAAAAATAAAAATCAAAATAAAAGGAGCAACAAAGAGCAAACAACACACACATTCACACACACACGCACTCACACACACTCACACACACACACACGCGCGCGCATTCTCACATACAGTTGAAAGTTTTTGTATTCGCTTTTGGCCAAAAATAGAGTGTTCGTTGAGAGTGTGGCAGGATAAAAAGGAAACTAACCTACATTTTCGCGCTCTTTCACACGTTTCCACGCACACACTCACACGCTCACACGCACACACACACACACATGCTGCTTGCAGCAGGTTAGTTCGTTCGTCACAGACTCGTCGTCGCTCCGTCACTCGGTCGTCAGTGGCTCGTCCGTTTACTCGCGCTTCCTCGCGGCTTCCTCGCACAAGTTTTTTACACACAACACACACTTGCATACACACTATCCACACACACACACACACACACACACACACACACACAAACAAAGCAAAAAGAAATCAACAATAAATTGTAATAACACTTTTGAGCTTAAGGTGTGTGTGCGTGCGCCTACGTCGTCCTACTCAGTGCTTTTCCCCCGCCCCGTCTCACTGAAACGCGTGTCTGTGCCTCTGGCTGTGTGTGTACGTACACGTATGCGTGTATATGTATGTGTATGTGAACGTGTATGTGTGTCAAACAATGTGCGTGCTAACGCTTTTGCGAATATTGTTGCATACGATGACAAAATAAAAATGTAATTAATGTAAAATACATATAATATATGTATGCACGTATATATATACACAAAATAAAAATACAAATACAAATAACAAAAATAGAGTAGAGTGTCCAAGTTGGCTAATTGAGGCATGTCTGTATAAATCTGGAGCTGCTGAGAGGAGAGAAATGCCCGCCCAGTGAAAAAGTGTGTAAATGTAAGCGACTACTACAGTAAAGGAAATATTAGAAGAAAAGCCAAGTGAAAATCAAATGCAAATTTAAATGCACAGCAACATATGTACATACATACAACATACATACATACATACATGCGAATGCATACATATGTGTATTATACATAGTATGTGTGTGTAGTATAAAAATAGTAAGTAGTGCAAAAAGAGTGGCCGACATCTAATATTGTAATACATAGTTATATATAGATTTACATATGCATGGATGTTTGAATGTATATATTCAGTTTTGCATACGAATGTTGGTATGTGTGTGTGTGCTTATAGTCCTGTGCGACCGAAAACATCGTGCTACATTTTTTTTTTTTTTTTTTTTTGAAACGCGCCACTTTTTAGTGATTACATAAAAATAAAAAGTCATACTGCCGCTGTTCTGCAACAATTGAAAGTGCGAAAAGGTAAAGGGCCAAGGGACAAGAAAATCCAAAAACAAATCTGACAAATCTAGCATTTAATTAGGTTGGCTTCTTTAAATGCCGCACGCCATCAACAGCAACAAAAAAAAAAGCAAAGCTCAAAAGCAGCGATTCAGTCAAGAAATGTATTCATCTGGGTCGCCCTAACCCATAAATTAGCCTTTTGCCGTGCACTTACCACTCAGGCATGTTTAGGGCTGAAACTGAGACCGGGACTGGGACTGGCGTGTGACGGACGAAACGCTGCTTAAGTGGCGCACAACTTCAAGAGAACCGCAAAGCAACAAAAATCGTCGCTGTAACTTTGTTGTTGTTGCTGTTTCTGGCATAAGAATGTATGAACTTTAAAGCCGCAAAACATGGGCCGGTGGCTTCAGCGGCTGGCCACGTGCCTGGGCGCACGCGGTCACACCCAAAACCAAAAAAAAAGAAACGAGCTACGTAAGGAGCACGGCACAAGGCACACGATATAGATTAATAAAAATGTAAACCTGTAAAGCGCACTGTTAATGCGTCGCAATAAAAACATCCATACACATATAAGTATATGTACAAATACCTACATACTTACTAATGTATATGTATTTATGCAGATATACATTTATGTACATACATATATGTATGCACGAGTGTGCACTGACACCAAAAACTTGCTTTCAATTTTCAAAAGAACATAAAAGTTCATTTCTTTAAAAATGAAATTAAAGTCTTTATTCCTTTTCTTAGATATAGAAACGCGGTAATCGTTTTGCAGAAAATGAGGGTGATTTCTCATTTCTTAAATGCTGAAACTATCCATTCGTTTAAACATTTATAATGCCCATGTGGGCTTTCTTACATTGGGTTCTATGAATACGAGATATGCCTTGTACCAGTACTTATAGTCAGACAACATACACACATGAATTTTTAGGGGTATGTGGGTTTTAGAAATTTAGAAAGCATGTTATTTTTGTGTTAACCAAATTCACGTCAATGTCTTAAGATAATTAATTTCCACTTGAAAAACACGTTCTCAAAAGTAGGACTAACCTGCCTATAGTTTAAGTCCAAGGAGGATTTTCTAAATAAAAGCATGATTTCGACAATTTTTTCTGAGTGTATTTATATTTATATTTAAGTGATTTATATGCTTGGCGAACTTATCGATGAGAAGAGACGAAGACGACATCTTCTAAGCTGGGTCCGTTTCTTTATGACTGCATCTTTCATATTTACACGCGTGGGTGTATTGGTGAGAGTATGTGTGTGTGTGTGTGTGTGTTTGCGCACCTCCGGCTGATTTTTATGAAAGCCCATAAATGCAGCAGGAGCCAGCACACACTACATCCTGTACGCTAAAGCAAAGGAAGAAGGAAAATAAGCAGCAAACTTGATATTGAATATTTGATGGCGTTTCTCCTACCATTTTTGCCAAGCAACACATTCCATTTTCCATTTTGCCAGGCGCTCGCTAGCTGGCAGCAGCATTTGAAACGTGTCAAGAAGTTTGTAAAACAGAACAACAACAATATCAGGAGCACAAGACAACAGGAAGCAGCGGGCGAGGCACCACATTAGCAAAGGTAGCACAGCATCTCCGAAGCAACCATCCATGTAAACATGCCCGTTGCCCGCTTTTCGCTTTCTGTCGTCCATTTATCAATTCGTATATCTAATGTTTTTGGTGCTGTTGTTGTCGCTCCTTGTGCGTTACTGCCTAGGACCTGCTTCTGTATGCCTCATTGTGTCTGCTGCAGTTGATTCGTTTATGCTAGCCAACGAACTCAAATTCCAAATCAAGAAATTGAATTTGTCTCCTATTTTTGCCAACTGACTTTATTTCTGGATTTTTCTGCTATCTGGTATAATTAGTGCTACCATAGAGCATGCAATCAACAATAAAATAAATACAATTATACATTTGAAAATATAAAAAGAAACTGATAACAGTCAACCAAAACCCACTTCACAGTTTCTTATTTCTCTAAACTAATTTTTAAAACTAACGGAGGTCATGAAATTGTTTGAAATTTGTGGTAAGCCAAGACAAAAAGTATAAGCAAGTTGTCTGGTAGCTTGTCAAGGGAGAAGATCAAGATTTTGCGCCTATGCTGCTACTTTTGGCGCATATCTTGTAATGATTTCCAGCTTTCATGCCCCTATAAACGTAGTAGTATGTGTGCCTGTGTGTGTTGTGTGCCATAATGTTAATTAACTTTATCTTAGCAAAGCTTTAAGTCTTAAAGTGTGCACATTTTCCGGCGCTTAATAAAGCTAGAGCGCAATCTGCTCGTTTTTATCTTTTCCGTTATGCCTCAATGCCCCACTGCGGCGTATACGCAATGTACTCGTAACATGCTTGTGTGTGCGTAGGTGTTGATGTATGTATATATGTATTAGAATTCGCAATTACCGTTACATGTCGGTGGCAGCGTCGCCTAACATTAATGTAAAGTAACATACTCTACATATGTATGTACGTAGTATAACATGCATACGTATGTATATATGTATGTGTGTACGTGGTTGAGTTCCCACTACTAATAACGTTTACTCCCTTTCTCCCATTCCATCTCTTTCTATTTGCAGGCAATCACGCAGAACGCGGCCATTTTGGTTCTCCATTTTTTTTGTTGCATTGCTAACTTTGCCAGCGGCCATGCATAATGTAAAGCAATCAACAACAATAACAACAGCGTCAACAGATATAAGAACAACGCAAGAAAAACCAAACTCAAATTTTAATATAAATAAATAAATCGCCCAAAAAGCCCGGCCATGCCATTGCAAATTTTATTGAAATCTGTCGCCACATTTCTGCTGTAAGGAACCGGCGGCAAATAAAATTTGCATAGCTTAGGCACAATGAGGCGCTGCTGGGCGCACAAATTCAACAAAAAAACGTGAGCCGCACAGCAAGCAAACCAAAAGCAGCAGCACCAACAACAGCAACATTCATAACAACAGCAACAATAATAACAAGAGCAACAACAGTAGCGACAATATTAACATTAACCAAAACGATTTGCAAACATAATAAAGCAATACTACATACATACTTGAATGTATATGAAAGGCACGCTCAACATTCTTCAGCAACAGGATTAGGTATAACTGTAACTTGTATACACGTACATACATACCTACGCAAATACAAAATAGAGTTTGAACGACAAAAAGCAGATGGGCACGAAATTGTGAAACAGCAGACGACAATAGCAAGGAAGTGGGAGTGAGAGAGGGAGATAGAGAGAAAAAGACACGCACGCTGCTTGGAAAATGCAGCCACAACAACAAAAACAGCAACTACGTGTTTAGGCAACCCTAAGCATTGAGAGGGATGCGGGCGCTGTTGGCAGTAACAGTAACTACATAAGAAACGTGCAACAAGGAAAGAAAAGACGACAATCAGTCAAGATGAGTGATGATCAAATAACGCCCAATGATGAGAAAGGTGAGTGTAACTGCCAATGTGCCGCACAATGGCATGCCGAGATTAAAGATAATTTTTTCCACTGAACTTGAGCCCAGTAATTGGGGCCAGTTGCAATCGCCAGTCATTTGGCACACCAGCCTAGGTTAGAATGAAAATCCTATACAAGAAAACATAAATTGTATATTCATTGTTGTTATAATATAATATAATATCATACAATTTGTATGCAATATATGTACATTGCAGTATACATACATATAATAACATTTTAACTATTTTGAGTTTTATATTAATATTTTTCCAACTTACGTATTATATTTGGTATTTGTTTGTCCTTGCCTATTTTTACTTCAATTTACCCAATTGAAGTGAGTTTATTCCCATGATGATTAAATGAACTTTTTAACCACTTAGCAGTTAAGATGCGCGTTTTGCGTGTAGCTCCGAGATATTTCATCTAAAAATGAATAAAATTCATTTTATTGAGATATTTATGGTACAAGAGTAAACGAATCAGAGCCCATCTATTTGCTATTTTTGCATAGTTCTGGCATATTGCGATGAGCATTTTAAAATATCCAAACTGTTAAACTGTTGCAGTGAGCCAAGGCTAAAACTCAAATTGATTTTATTTCGTTAATGTTGAGGGTATAAAGTCCTATGAAGGATATCCAAACACTTGAGATTAAAGTGTAACGAAATTAAAAAAAAATACAAACCATAGACACAAAAAGATACAGCCGAAACGTATAAGAAGCTTGCTGAATTTTTATAGCCTGTACCCAAAGGGTGAAAGGCTATACTAGTTTTGTGCGCATGTATGTAACACACAGAAGGAGGCGTGGCAGACCCCACAAAGTATATATATTCTTGATCAGGATGAGAAGCCGAGTCGATATAGCCATGTCCGTCCGTCCGTCCGTCTGTCCGTCTGTCTGTCCGTCTGTCCGTCTGTCCGTCTGTCCGTCTGTCCGTATGAACGCAAGGATCTCAGAAAGTATAAGAGCTAGAATAACCAAACTTGGTTTCCATATTCTCCTAAGACCGAGAAAGTACGAGTTTGAGTTTTTTTTCGATGCACCCCCCCACTCCCCCGCAATTCGTGTTTTTTCTTATAACTTCCGTAATTCTCGGAATTTTGAAATCAATTTTGGTAGGTACATCCAGTTAGTACTAATGTGTCCGTGTGCCAAATTTCATCATGATAGGTCAATTCTGAAGAAAGTTATAGCCATAAGTAAAATCGCTGCTCATGCGCTGCCTCTGTCGGCAGCGCTGCCCGCAGCTGTTGTTGTTGTTGCTGCTTTGGTTCAACTTTGTGCTGCATACATACACGCATATAAACACGCATAGGTACGTGATGTAAATGTATGCTGTTAAAACTAAACATAAACATATATTCTAATTTAATTTAATTAATTAATTCATTAATTTTTTTTAATAATTTAATTTTTTTTTAAAATTTTTTTTTTTAATTTTTCTTTTTTTGTGGAGAGTACAGGCTATTTTACTGTCGGGCTTGCTCGACTGTAGCGTTCTATCTTGTTATGTTTAATTTCGCGCTGTATCCCCAGTCAGCTATTTCGCTATCCCTTAGATAATCAGAATGTAGATTTGTTTGGTAATATTTTTATTTCGAGTTCTGGCCCAGAGTGCATCATAGCTGTCTTTAGGTGGCCCATAAAATCTGCGACTTCATTTATGAGCGCAACTTTCTATGGCATTCTGGGTGTGGGGCTGCATATTAAATCAGCGTTAGCGTTATCTGACCTTGCTGGACAGGCCCGGAAAAGCGAATGGCAAAAGCGACGTTTAAGTCGATGTGGACGTCGACGTCACCAACAACAAGACCGACACCTGCCCGAAGGCAAATAGAATTTGCCACGTTGCACGCAAACCACATTTATAGCTTTATGAGTGTAGCTTTGTGTGCGGTGTGGCATGAGTATGGCGGATGGGTCCGTGGGGTTCGCTGTCTATTTCTCGAAATGTAGCTCTATGTATCTGCTTATCTGAATATCAGCTAGAAAATGTGCGCGTGTGTGTATCTGTGTGTGTGTGTGCCTCTGTGTGTGTATCTGTGTGTGTGTGTGTGGTGCCTTTGTGCTGCTCATCAACATAATTAAATACCAAGCTCATTGTGCGTATTGCTGCTCGAGCTCAATAAAATTTGACTGAAATCAAATATTCCACATACAGCTAGTTAGGCCAGTTGTAAGGATACCGCAAGGACAACGACAGCAAACTGTTTTCTATTATCGGCTTTAGCACAATGCTAACTGTGTGCTGCTGATGGGGAGGAAGTAGAAAGCAATCTTACAATTTGGCCACCCGCTGTCTGTCAATGCCAGCGTTTTGTTCAAAATGCATTGTAACCCTTTTATTTTGGCCATTTTGATTACATTCCGTTGGTGTTGCTATTGGTATTGGTATTGCTGGGGTGCAAAAGGGCCAAAAGCCCATTTAAAGTCAATAAATGAAATGGCAACTAACAAATGGCCTTAGCTCCATTGATGACTGGCCATAAGTTACGCAATAGCTGAACCGCCTTTGCCAGTGCTTTATTCTACTACATCATGCATCAAATATGTATACGTATGTACATATGTATGTATATATATGTATATATATATATATATTAAAGTTGATCTCTGTATGTGAGGTTGGCCATGCCCATGCATGACAATTAACTTGCCAACATAATGCCAATTGTTAAACGCCATAAAGCGCACACTGGAATGGTTGGATGCAAGTTCGGCCCAATGGGAGGCAACTAGCGCTGACTGTGAACAATGCACAAAAGCCAAATGGGAGCACTGTCGACGAGGGAATGCCCAAGTGAGAGAGAGAGACAACGGATTAAAAATATGAACGGAAACGGAAACTAATTAAATATGTAGAGCAATTTCTTTTTTTCTCCCTCCCCCTTTCTTGTTGTTTTCGTATTGTGTATTGGAATTGAGTGCAGTTTACCTTGCGCTGGATTTGTGCCTTTCTTGTGTCTCGCACGAAAGGCATTTTCATTTGCATTCGCACTCAGATTTGGATTCGGACTCAGATTCGCTTTGAAGCTTGGGCTATTGTGTGTCATGGCTGGGGGACGACGCAGTGCAGCACGAATTAAATTTGACTTACGTTGGCCATAAACCACTTGCTGGTATTTTTAATGTTTTTTCGGGCCAGGAAGCTAGCGCGCCAAAAGAAACGAAAGTGCATGGCAATTATCCATGTCACCATTGAACTTGTGCAAAGGTCTGCCTCTGTCTCTGTCTCTGTCTCTGTCCGCCCGTCCGCCCGTCCGCCCGTTCGCTTAGTGACTAGTTGTAGTGGTTTTGGTTTTGGTTGTGGCTGTGGCTGTGGCGTTTGCCTTCCAATGGCTTAGAGCATCTCGACTGGTTTTTGAAGTGGCGCTGATCGTGAAATCATGTTGCTGTGTCTGTATGCTACTGAATATATATGTACCTTTCTGCCTCCCTCTTTATGTGTGCGCGAACAGCCGCGTGGGCTTTCGGAAAAGCGAACTGCACAAAACAGTGAACGTGATAAGTATTTTGACTTGCCTCCAATGTTTATTTACTTTTGCAAGTGAAAGTAATTGTAGGCATTCAATTCAAAAATCGTACACTTCTTAAACATACGACAATCATGAGAATCGCAACGTATTTAAAAATAGCTTTCTTATTTATGATCTGAAACCAACTAACGAGCTGTCGACTATTTTGTTTACTGTTGAAGTTATGCTAAAATGTTTTTGGCGCACCCATCGAAACGACAGATACTCGTAGCAGCAAATGAAACGAAAGAGAAATGAATCGAAATACATAAAGCAAAGCGAATAAATAAAACAATAACTTAAATTTTATTTGCAAACGATAACAATATTTTAATGTATCATGTATATGTGTAAGATACTATGCTCATTCCGAAGTAAAAAGTAACAACAACCCACCATGTCAGATTAAAGAAATTATATAGTTAGAAAATAGTTGATTTATAAAAAAGAATGTTGTAGGCATATCTATTTTAGGCATTTTCCATTAATTGTGGGTCTCGAAATGGTGACCATGGACGACTCTGAAATGCCCTATAAACAAAATAAAATCTTGCCCTGTCTCGGACGCAAAACAAACCAAGATTGGTCAATCCAGCTCTTATACTTTCCGAGATCCGAGCACACGGAAAGACGCATATGGCTATATTGAAACATTAGAGAGTATTTTAAGAAGATGAATAGGTGTTCATGAAATATTAAATGCATTCAATATTAGGTCGGCTTGAACGTCCCTCAAAAAATCGAACAACAACAGTCCCGAACTCAGAAAACCATCGAAACATAAATGGCTTACGATGATGTTTAATCATTAAAAGTCGATGCGAGTAAATCGACATACTATTGAAATTATAATTAACAGAAACATGACACAAAAACTCCCGATTTCTTTTTCAAACATCAATACAAGTACACGATGAAACTTATATTTATTTAATGCATGTTTACGACCACTTGATTCTGGTCCCAATGCATCGTTAAGCTCAAATCCCTTCATGGGTAATAAAAATACAAATGGTGTTAACCCCACAAATAGTGTAATTTACGAGACCTGGTTGTAGCTAAGAAAGCAGAGAGGGCGAAATGCATATATGAGAGCAAGGTGAATTGAAATTGGTTCAGAATTTTCCTTCACTGAATGCGTTAGTCTTTCTTCTACAAGTCCTCACACCTATACCGCAAGTAATTCGCATAAATTCTTTAAATTTAAATTCTTTTCTTCACATTATGAGCTTTATAAGGATCTGACTTGCACCATGTTTTAACAATATTAATTTCTACTGGTTAAAAGAGTCTGAATACGAACTGTTTTGACCCTGGCTCTTTAGCTTAGTACCTTCCGTAATACTAACTTTAGGGCAGTGAGACAATTATAGTCTATACCTCCATTTAAAATCTGAGAATTGAATCTGAATTGAACTTTTCTCACTTTCTAATCTCAGTACACATTTGCCTTTGTCAAAATATTTTTGTCAGATACTGTACGCGTGCGGATGGTTGCAATATCTGTCTCGTCTCGGTGTGGATTTTCCTTTTTGTTTTTGGCGCTTTGAGAATAATTTTGCTTCCGCATGAAGATGTTACAATCAAGTTTTTCCTTTGGCTGGCTCATCGCAGCTCAGCTCCAGCTCGTAGTCGGTCCGCATATTATGTAATACAGGGAAGATGGTGCGTCAATTGCAATTCATGTAGGCAGCAGAGACAGCGACCCGCCGCCAACCGGTTGGCCCCCGTAGCCAAAGTCGGTATTAGCTGAGTCGGCATTAGCAGAGTCTTTAGGGCCTCATCTGACAGTTAATCAATGCCTTGTACGAACTTGATTTTCACCGCTAGTTAATGACGTATACTTAAAATATGAAATGCATTTAAAATTTCTTAACCCATTACGGCCATTATGGTCTTATCGTCGCATCGCGTGCGCTACAAATTTCATTGTGTTTCAATCGCTGGCCACGCGCTGGCCACATTTGATAACCAGCGACTTGAACTTGTTAGCGCTGCTCTTTTGAGATGTTAAAGTAGCGTTGAAGCTTTATGTAACCCGGCAATCTGGCAATCTTTGTTATTTTTCGTAGTAGCCATTTCACCTCGTTTTGTTTACATTTCGGGTAAATTTAAATTTTATTAATTGATTTTGTAATGCGACTGTAGCTGAATCTATATCTGTAACTTTACCAAAAGCGCGGACTCATTTGTGGGCCTTTGGACCTTGCACAATGGAAATGATAATCAAGTCATCTACATTCATGGGCTTAAATAACAGGGGAATATGTTTGCCCCCCCTAGATTCCGAATGAAATACATGTACGTGTATGTGTTATAAAATCTTCAGTTTTCAAATATTATTATCAAAATTATTGCTTAGAGGACTATTCTGATTTCTGCCAGAACTGATCCAAAAAAAATGGGAGACATTTGAAACCATCTTCTTTGATGAACTTCGTTTCTTCATAATTTTCAAGTCAACGAAATTTGTTTATTTTCAGTTTCGAATGTACAAGTATTTCGCTCCTTAATTTTTGTTATTGATTTATTTTGAATGAAAATGAATGACATATAAATTCACTTTTAAAACATTCACTACGTGCTTTCCAAAATTATACACAAATGGTCGGTGCCAAGAAATTTGTCCGACTAATAATGGGGAATTTATTTGTTTTTTATTGTGTTGTTTGCATTTTCGCAAGTTTAATTTTATCGGCGTTTTACAATAACACACTGCCCCTAATCGAAAAATGTGATTACCATAAAAATAATGCGATTATGTAGTGTTTAAGAGCGCATAAAAATCTTGACCCCCCGAGATCTGATTTTAGTAACGCCTATGCCTTTGTTAAGCATTAATACTGCTGCCCGTTGGTAGCTGCCCAACCGCATCCACATTAGCCGTTAGAAATGTAAAATTGTAACAGTGGTGGTTAATTAAAATGGCACATTCTGTTCAATGCCAATGAAAACTGTGGGTAATCAGCAGCGAAAGCTGCGCATCAACAACATCACCAGCTACAACCGAACAATGACAAATGAGGGGAGCCCGCTATGATGGCCATGACCTCGTCATCGCCACTGATGTAAGAATGGAAATGAGAAGCGAATAAACAAAACCCACGCTCCATTTTTAAAAATGCAACAGCATGACAAGATATACTACTCGTACACTCGTCGTATACTGCTTTACTTTCCCCCTCTTTTCCAATTTAATGCTGCAGCGTCCAGGCTTAAGACCCTTCGCGTGCCTGCCGCGAACTGGCGCAGCTGTAACTGACCCAGCAATAAGCCGTAGTCATGCCCAAAAATCCAAACGACCGTTATGCAAGCTTATGCTGGGCGCCAATATTTATTGTATAATAATACTGCAACCAGCCCCAAGTCGGCCAGCCAGCCAGCCAGGCTTAAACAATAACAATTTGACAGTTTAAGCGGTTTTTTTTTTTTTGTTTTTTGGGGCATAAGGAATCACCGATAGGAAGTAATCAAAATAACGGGCGTCCAGCAAACACGTTTGGTGGCAACACCAAAAATAAAAATAAAAAATGATGCAGTCATGGGCTAACTTTTATGTTAATTTATTACGATTTTAAGTTGTTACCAAGTTTTTGGCATTGAAGTAAAACGATCACCGATCAGCGGCCAGCGATCAACGAACGGCGACGTTTGCCGTGCTAATGAAGTTAAAGACCATCATGGCCCGATGCATACTATATGCTGCCCCTCGGCTCTCGTAACTCTCGGCCAGCTGATGAAAGTGGAGCAGAAATGAGCGGAAGAGTAGAGTAGCTGGCAGCGAACGGGTTCGAAATTTTGGCAAAAAGGGCGACATACAGGTGTTAAAAGGTCAACAACACAGACACACACTCCTCTTGCCGAGCCGAGCAGTCTAGGACGGGACCGGAGTTGAGTGGCGTTGAGGGGAGAGAGGGGGGAACGAGGTGTGTGGCCCAAAGCCCGCCTACCCAGCGGGCGCAAAAGTTGCAACACGGCCACGGCCACTTGTTTTGGCCAAAAACAACTCTCGCGCTCTGTCTTTCTCTTTGTCTGCAGCAGCAGCAGCAGCGGCAGCAATGGCAGCCGCCGAAGCTGGAAATCAAACGCTCGCTTCATTTCCATGGCGATGCGATCGCTCAGCTTACATAATCCGGCGCTGGATGTTTTTTCGTGTATAAAACGCTGAGCTGCGCCACTTGCCGAATCATTTACGGTTTTGTCATTGCCCCATTGCCAGCAAGCAAGAGGGCCGAAGTGAGATAGAGACGATTTAACAAGTCCTGACAACAGCCGTGACAATGGCAAAGTGTTTCATAGTGCGTATACTGATTGACGTTGGTTGACTGACTGTTCATTGTGATTGATTGATCTGATCTAACGGTTCCTTCTTTTCCGTGTGTAGTTAACCGTATTATTGCTAGCGAGCCCCGCAGCCTGGAGTAAGCCAACCTTTGGCAAGGAGCACGTTCACATTCGTATACATTTGCCAGAGGAGGGCGGCCATCACGGCGGAGGAGGCGGTGGCGACTATGGTGGCTATAGTGGTGGAGGCGGCTACGAGATTCACGGAGACGGTGGAGGTGGTGGAGGCGGTTACGAAATTCATGGAGGTGGCGGCGGCCACGGCGGCGGAGGTGGCCATGTAAATACCTACGCTGTGATAACCGAAAGCCACGGGGCCTCCGGCGGTGGACATTATGGCGGAGGTGGTGGTGGTGGTCACTATGGCGGCGGCGGTGGTCATGATTCAGGTCATGATGACGCCAAGATTGCAGCTATAGCGGCGGCAGCTGGTAGCTCGGATCATGGAGATCATGGACATGGTGGTTATAGCGGAGGCGGTGGTTCGCATGGTGGTTATGGCGGAGGCGGTGGTTCGCATGGTGGTCATGAAGTGGTTGCCACAATTGCCGCAACTTCAGATCATGGCAGCAGCGGCTACGGAGGCTATAGCGGTGGTGGAGGAGGTGGCTACAGCAGCGGTGGTGGCTCACATGATCATGGTGTGGCCAACATTGCAGCAATTGCCGCCACTTCAGATCATGGCAGTAGTGGATACGGTGGCTATAGCGGCGGCGGTGGTGGAGGTGGCTACAGCAGCGGCGGTGGCTCACATGATCATGGTGTGGCCCACATTGCAGCAATTGCCGCCACTTCAGATCACGGCAGCAGTGGATACGGTGGCTATAGCGGCGGCGGTGGAGGTGGTTACAGCGGTGGTGGTGGTTACAGCGGTGGCGGTGGCTCACATGGTCACGCAGAGGCTAACATTGCTGCGATTGCCGCTACTTCAGACCACGGCAGCGGCGGCTACGGTGGCTACAGCGGCGGTGGTGGAGGTGGCTACAGCGGTGGCAGCAGCTACAGTAGCGGCGGCAGCTACAGCAGCGGTGGCAGCTATAGCGGTGGTGGTGATTCTGGGTACAGTTACTCGGCACCATCGTCGGGTGGTTGGTCGGGCGCCAGCTCAAGCTGGTCCTAAACTGGAGACGCACTGAAGCACCCATCCATCCATTACCCGAAGATGCCCGGCACTTGTCGTCTAGTCCAAGCTGTAAACGTCGCTTTTGCCAACGCATTCTACCCATTCATTTGCCCATTGGATCTAGTATAAGTTATGGTTTTTCATTACGTCAAGTTTCACTTCTCGCACATCATCCACTGCGCATATTTATATAACCGTCAAAACCCCCCCTCAAAATATGTACAAAAACAAAAAATAACAAAAAAAAAAAAAAAAAAAAAAAAAAAAAAACACTTGAAAAGAAAGACAATAAATTAGTATGTAATAATTTAAATCCATTCATGGTGTATACAAATTTTCCGCCACGCACATATTATATCACTAGGCGCTGGAGGGTGAAAGTAACATATGTAGGCAATTATGTAAATCGCTCGCTTGCCATGGGGACAACCGAAAGAGTGACCTTGGGCAGATAACGGCCCACCTATAATACCATAACATTTAACATTTCTTGCTATTTAGCCGGACTAGGCCAACTGTAATCCGCATTTCTTGCGTTCTCCTTTGCCTCACGTTCTTTTAAGGGGGTTATGAAAAGCAACTTCATGGTATCATAGAACGTGAAATAGACCGCCGTCGCAAGTCCCGATTTAACCAGAGTGGGCAGCAGGCCTTTGTAAAAACCCATAATACCTTCATGCTCTAGCGTACTGACAATGCACTCCCTCAATGTTGGGCAATTTGGATTTCTGCCAAACATGTTCCGATCATGACTAAAACCACCCAATTGAATGCGTTTTTTGAGAAAATCGGCCGGATATACGATAGCCTTGGAGAGCACGCCCGCCAAAGCGCCATTGACGAAAAGTGTGGGAGGTAATAGAAGGCCATCACCAGGTCCCATTATGCGTCTTTTAAGTAATATTACCATCTTGTTGAAGTTCTTGTAGAGCAGAAAATTTAATCCAACCAATGGAAAGATTTGGGCCAATGTGAACGTTAGCCCCCGAAAGAGTCCACGCACACCCCGAAGTTTCCAAACGGTTACAAGGCCTCTCATCGTCGACATCTCACTGCTGTGGCTTTTCGGATCAGAGGCCACCACCATCGTTCGAATCAAGTCAAAAGGCTGCGAAGCAGTTACACCCAAACAGCCAGCCAATCCGCCGCTAAGGAAATACCTGAGACCATCCCGCTCTTTAAAGAAGGCATTTTTCGTGAATGCAGAACTGAATTGCTCATATGACCAGAACTGTACAAGCGCGTACGTAATGCTCGTCATCTGACCCACGTTGTGTCCTTTCCAAATTCCCCGTATGCCCTCTTCCCTATAAATCTCAGCAAGGGCATGCAAAGTGCCCCGATACTTGGAGTGATGGTGGTCAGCCACAGGCTCCACCTGCATTTGAAAGCGTATCTTGAGCACATCAAAGGGCTGCGTAATGAACCGCGTACATGCTCCCGAAAGTCCTCCAGAAACGGCCTGCATCAGTTGTACCGTGGGTGAATTGTCGCTCGTCATCTAAAATAAAAACGACAATCTATAAATAACACATGTTTCCATATATCCTCTTGAAGCACTTGAAAGCACATAAAAGCATCTACGCCAAGGTCGAAGTGAAAACCAAGATTTATGCCGTATTTTACAGATATTCTTTGGAAGGCACAAATCATTTCAATCATGATGCTTTCAATTAAATCATCAATTTCTTAGCATACAAACGTCGTAAGAATACATGTATACATAATGCAGAGGTATTAGTGAAAGTCCCTTTTGTATAACAGCGGCTTTTTAATAGAATTAGGTCACAACACCTAACACTAGAAATTGTGCTCAATTGTGCAAAAGGAAAGTAAGCAAGCAAAAAAGGAGATAAACATAAATCAACATTTTATCTTGTCAAGAGTGATTTGTATTGCTGACATGTTTTTAGATTTCAGTTGTAATGGAATTTCAATTTTTTTGTTATTAGTGTCATACATAAAACCGTTTGATTTTTAATTTCTATGCAGTGAAATCTTTTAGTTAAAATGTTATTGACTTTAATTAGAAAACAAGTAAAAAAGCTAAAGTCGGGTGTCTCGACTTTGAAATACTCTGTACATATGTTTAAAATAATTATAGAAATTAAAAAAAGTAAGAGATTTACAAAAAAAATTGTTGATCGATTTTACCTCTTTTGGTATTTGAACTCACGTAAAGGGTGTATAATTGCACATATACAAAGCAATTGTGTCTATGTGAGTGTATGTATGTATATGCTCGTATATTCGTGTCTGTGTAAACATGTTAGCAGTCAACCAAACAGCAACATCAACAGCCGCGGGTAACGCTTGGGCAGCAAGAAATATATTTGTGGCTATAATTTCTTGTTAAATCGGTCTATCATAGTGAAACTTGGCATACGGACACATAATAACCAACTGGAGGTATTTCCAAAATTTCGTTCAAAATTCCAAGAATTGCTGGAATTAGAGAAAATCTCGATTTGCATGGGAGAGGGGGGAGGAAGGGAAATTCCAAAATACACATTTTCTGCGTATTCACATAAGGCATCTGGGACTAAAATTTGGTGTCCCTAGGTCTTATAGTCTCTGAGATATAGGCGATTACAAAAATGGAAAATCGGGAAAACCCCCATAGGGGGGAAGTGGGGGGGGGGGGGGAAACTCAAAAAAATAAAACAAACTCGTATAGAATACACACATAACGCATCTTTGTGCAAAATTTGGTGTCTCTACCTCTTGTAGTCTCTGAGATCCAGGTGTTCATACGGACAGACAGACAGACAGGGCTAGATCGAATCGTCTCGTCATGCTGATCAATATATACTTTGTGGGGTCTGCCACGCCTCCTTCTGCCTGTTACATTTTCAGCTCCCGCAAACCTAATATACTCTTGTACATTTTATGTACAGAGTATAAAAAAGAAATAATAAACCAAATTCCTATATGACATTCAAAGTCATTCACAACGTTGCCGATGTTGAAAATGATTTTCTAACATAATTGTCCTTAGAATATTAGTTAAAAAAGTTTGGAATTTATGTTGGCTTTTACCAATAATTTTGAAACATTTAAAATATTAAGCGATGATTAAAATAAATATACAAGTATAGTTAAAAACAAAAGACTGCTCGAATTAAAAAGTAATTAGTTAATTACTGTTTGTCTATTTTTATTAATACAAGTATACTTTTTATTGATATATCCAACTCCATCAACTTACCTTATTTGTAAGAAAGTAAAAGTTCGTGTATTATGCGTTGCATTTGTTTCCCAAGTGTTTACTGTGAAGCCCCCTTCTGTTGACTTAGGGTCAACAGTGAAAGGCGACGACTATGCAGCAATTGAGATTCCAACGGCAGCCGAATGAAGATTATATTCATAGGGGTTTTACTTCCGGAGCTGCCAGGGAAACCTTCTCAAGGGCGTAGAAGCCAATACAAACTCTTAAGTAGCGGAAAAAGTAAGACGAATAATCAACGCAGTTAATAACCTTCATTTCCCGGGTTAATCTAGACACAGCTACGATTACGGCTCTGGCTAGTCCGCTATAGGGTTGTACTTGATTTCGCCTTTGGCGTAAGCAAAAGATTAATAAAAGGAGTTTCACAAAGAGCTATACCAAATAACTAATTAGTAATAACTAAGTTGAGTTCGAAAACTGGGACATGCTGTGGATTTTGCTGTGCTAATTGACTTGTTTTTATATTACTCTTTTATGTTCAAATTCATTAAGAATATAAATGTAAAACAATGCCCATTCAACGCAACTCAGATGAATGAAGGCTTTAATTGATTACAGTTGTGGAAAAGTTTGGCAGCAAGTGCAGGAAAAAGTTGCAAACTATCAATATTTGCCTTACACTTTTGCAACGGCCCGAAACGAAGTGCCTGGACCAAACAATTTAGAATGCAAATTGACCTTCGAACTTTTATTGCCATTGCAGTTGCCAAACAACAAGTCGTTGCCTACACCCAAAAATCGCAAGTCAAACACGAGAATCGCCACATCCAATTGGTGCGGGAGTACGGCTTTCATCCTCGCACAAAGGCCTCCGTCGAGGATGGCGATGTGCTGCCGAAAAAGTTCGAGCCGTTCCCAGAGAATATGTACGGCAAGCCCCTCGAGGAGATTGACACCTTTATATATGAAGAGGTAAGTGGAACTGGACATTTAATACACACATACATACATATACACAATATACAAGTATGTGAAGTGACGTGAAAAGTAATAGTGACCCTTGCATTAAAAACACTCAAACACTATACTGCTCCAACTGGAATAATACTTATATAATGCAATACTTTGGAATGTCAATCTATGAAAACTATTTTTGCATATATCCAGCTTTATTGTATCTGTATCAGGCTTGCCTGCGCAAGCAACAAATCTTAAATCGATTGGAAAACTCAAAGTAAAGGCAACAGCGGAAGCCATTTCCCTATGTTCGGCTTGTCATAGCAAAGGCTTTAAACAATATATAAAATCATGAAATTAGTTTCAATTTTTAGAATTTAAATAAACACAATTCCTTAAATATTCTATTCTTGGCACAGTCAAAAATTTATAAAAGTTTTGAAATACAACTTTTTCCTTAATCAGCATTGAACTTAGTTCTTTTCGGATTATTTATTTAAAAGTAAAAGCAAAAGTCTAGTTTAAAAACTCGAACTTAGTACATACATATGTACATATGTTCATATTCATTTTTTTTACCAAATAAACTTTTTTTGAATTTGCTTTTCTAAGCCTTCTTTCGTAAGTTTGAAACTCGTAAGAAATGATGGCAGACTAAATTTTATAGGTACATTTATGATGAGGAGACGAGCTCGAATGGCGATATTCATGCGTCTGTTTCAATCACTACTCCTCCCTCAGTTTTAGATATATTACGTTGAAACATTGTACCTAGGCTTTCTTTTGATGGCCACACATAATATTTCGCGCACGGCCCTGTCAGATCACCCTATCGTACATACAAGTATGTAGAAAGTAGCTGTCATAGAAACGATATGCTTTGATTTTTGTTATACCATACTTGTATGGAGCTGCATGGTCGCGATTTGTGGCCGTGGATGAGCAAATCCATAATGTGTATAAAATGAAGGACAGGGTAGAGTTTATACTACATCCACGCGATAGCAAGGTATTAGTGCTGGTATTAGTATTAGTGCTGTCGAATATAACTTATCAGCTTGTTCTCAAATATCGTATTATTATATTTCACATAACTGTAAACGTATAACTGTTCAAACGCATATTGCCGTGCCAAATGAATTGCACACGAGTGCCGAAAATTAAGGCGCAAAAGTGTATTAAACATTTGGCCCCATTACCACTAATTAAAAAGCACCAGCAAGAAGAAAATTACATGAGAGCTCTGCTCTAGTGCTGGTGTGAGTGAGCAGCTGTGCCAGATTTGTGTGCCCCGCTCCAGCTTTCCGCACTCGCGAGTCGCGACCATATGTCACAGTGTGTGCAGCAAATGGCAGCGGAAATGGAGCACACCGCCTCTGTTGCTGTTGTTGTTGATGTCGGTGCTGTTGCATTTGTACAAAAGTGCAAAATGTACGCCAACACACACACACACACACACGCACACGCACACGCACTCTCACACAAATTACAAGTAGTGCAAAGAAGGATATGGCTACACCAGCTTAAAACATACATAGTACTTATGATGCCAAGCTGAGGTTAATGGAAATGCCTAGAACAGTGCTCGTGGGTGCTCGAAATCAAAAGAAGTTTATAGCGCTCGGAAATCAAAGTAATGTGCTGTCGTTGGCAAGCTGTGTCAGGACTAAGGACTTGAAGTCAATTCGGGGACGTGAGAATAAATTTGCCAGCGAGCACGAAATGAGCGAGTTAAATAAATATATGCATGGACATACGGCTTTTGTACATACTCGTACATATATACATACATCTGTGTGTGTGTGTTTGTGGATATAAATACAAAGATTACATTCAACCAAACATCTGCACATATGTAAATACATATGCATGTATGTGTACTTGCGCCAAAATGGGTCATGCATAGTTGGCTTACCAAAAAGGCCCACAAAGTTGACAACACACTATTTACGTGACTTAAACAAACTGGCCTGGCCGGCCCTAGTCCGGACCGGACCCGACCAGAGTTTTCTACAGCAACCGCAGCCTTCGCACAGTGGCTTCTTTTGGTATTTAGGTAATCGATCTTAAGGCGAACTAGTCTGTGTTCAATATACATCTTTTTAACATACACTTATACTATATGTATAATATGTATATTAATATATAAGAAATCGAAATTAGCAAATCTGTTGAATTGAACATTTTATTTGCCTAATGTTCTACTAGAAACATTCACAAGCAGAAATAAGGTTGTCAACTTCCAAAACCTTACAGCAGAGTATTTACAATCAGTTTATATCTAAATATTTGTCAAACCTATTTACAACTAAAATTAAATCTAATGGGATTTCTTATTGGCAAAGGTTTTGACACCATTTCACAGACACTTCAAAATTTGCTGGGTAAGGTCGTAAAAAAATTATTTTAAAAAGATACCTTTTTTAAAAAAAAATTAAATTTCATTTGGAACTGTTAATAACTTTATGGAAAAGCACAAAACTTCACATATTCTGCAATAACAACGTTCAGCCGTTTACTTGGCATAAAATAATAGTTGGCAAGCTTACAAAACAGTGTTATCCAGAGTTTTAAAGAAAACATTTTAAGCGCTTTTATTCAATTTTCTTTTAAATTCCCAAGTTTGAAAAATGTTTGCTCCTTCAACTGATATTAATTAGTATTGTTTCGTTCTCTCTAAAAGTTTTAAGCATACAAATATTTTGCACTGGCAGTGTCGGTTCTGGATTATAGTATCAAAACTTTGTGTTTTGGTTACCCTTCTCGGCCAAAGGGGCCACTGTGCGTCACAGCGGTGCCGCAGTAGACAAATTATAGGCGAACATGCAAGTGTACTCAAGACTTTGCGGCGGCACTCCACACCCCCACCAACCCGCGTTCCATTCATCCATCCATACAGCGCAGTAACCACGTAAAGTGGCAAAATGTTTTCAAGTAACGGGCTCTTTTGGCCAGGCGGGCCAAAATAAACATGAATTTAAATGACCAGGAACAACAACGACAAAGCCATAGCCATAGCCGCACGCTCAGTTGGCCGTAACGTTCAAAAATGTGGCAGGACATTTACACGCATGCACATGCACACAGCAATGTGGGTAGAGGGTACATATGTATGTGTGCTTGTGTGTGACAAATACAGTTAGGCTTTTACTTGAAATACGAAATCCTAGCCATGTGCTGGAAAGCGTAACGGAAAATCAAAGTGTTTAATGGCATTTAATGGCCTACACTAGATATGCGATGTTATGAAAAAAGAAATCCTCGCACAGATTGAAGCTTATGGTTGGCTGTAGGCAACATAATGCAATCGTGTATAGCTGTAGGACTATATGCAAACGTGTTTACTTAAATCTCCGTCTTACACGGAAACTCAATCTAACCCAACACACAAATTCAAGTTTTAATTTTCTGCACTTAAAATGTCCTTAAGCTCGGTTGTACAAGACGAACGTACACAAGCAAAGCGACGAGGGCGATGAAGATTCTCGCACCCAAAAGCGGCATGTAAATTTACAAAGCACACAAAATGGTAAACTGCCACCCAATCGTAATTTCTGCTTGTTACATTAAAATTTCTGCTTACTCGACTGAACAGCGCTTATGGTTGCATTACTACGCTGAGGACAAGAAAGAGGACGGGCGGTAGGCAGACAGCGAACAAACGGACGAGGGCGACCTTCAGGCAGAAGCAAGCAGCAAGAGGCTTTTCACGTTGGCCAACCATCCTTAACCATCTGGTGGCTGGCAGGCAGGCGAGCAAGCATCTGCATATATAATTGAAGAAATCACGACGGTAATGAGAACAGTATGGGGAGAGCTGAAGAATCGATATTTCCATGTGTTCCTCCTGCCGAGCAGCGGAACGCGCCAAAAACCTGACTGCCACCTAACAAAGCACGCGTGCCTCCAAAGAAAAGTATGGGTGGGCAATAAGCTGAGACCAAGCCGTCTCCTTGTGCGTTGAATTTCATATTAGCGCTAATTTATTGGCGTGCCTTGCGGAGATGGTCAATGTTTAATGTAGTTACTTACTAATGCGATGTTTCTCAAGCGACAGGCGGCCCCTATTCGTGTTCTTGCTTCTATGTTCCAAGTAAAACAGAACTGTGCTCACAAATATCTTGCTGGAGTTTGGGATAAGTTTTTTACAGTTGACGATGACATATTAGGCAAATAAAGTGCTCGAACTTAAATGCCGCAGTTATACAAACACACAATCACGAGCTAGCTCCAATCTGCACGCATACAAGTATAGGTATGTACATCGTGTGCGTGTATGTTACACTTCGCACGAATGTGGTTATGTTGAAAAAGCACGCTTAATTATCACGTTTGCCAACAACACATTAATAACACAATTTATTGATTTAGTTTTGCGGAACCTTTATGAAATCCAGTAATTTATTAGAAGCAATTTTAACGATATTTAAAGTGAATTTCAATTCCAAAATGCACATATTTTTACGTGAGAAACTGTTTAGCAAAATTACTTCGGGCCTTTTTTGTTGCCCAGACGGCATGTTCATTTTTCTGCAGACAAAAGTTCCTGCAAAATGAAAAAGCAAGAATTAGCACAGGGCGTCACCGCCGGCGTTCGCAGCGCGTATTGTAGCGCTAGCGCTCCGCTGAGCAAAATACACTTACCATGAAAATGTGCGAACGCTGGTGCGATTACTTAGACCTTGCGCGCATCTTTCTGCGCTTACGCTTCAACCTACGCATACGCTTCTTACGCCACTGAAAAATACACAATTAAACGCTATTATTGCAATTGTATTACACAAAAACAAAACACTTTTCCTTTTACTCTAATTGGACCGTGTTTTTGAATCAGTTTTAATGTGAAAAAATAATTGAATTTACCTTAGCTCTCATACTGCTTCTGCTCTTGAAGACGGTCTGAGAACGAAAGACAGAATACAAAACGGAAGTCGGTCGGGTAGATGCGCGTGGCCCGTGTGACAGCTGAAAAGTATCGAGTACTTTCTTGACAGCTACTTGACATTCACCAGTGTTTGACAGTTGACAGCTGTTGCTTCATCAGTTGGCAGCTTTCGATAGCCGATAGTTGCGTCTTAGCTGAGTCGTTATTTTTCTCGATTAATTTTCAATTTCAATAAATAAAACCGTTTCAACTTAATAAATAATTTTAAATATCTCGGAATTTACAGACTTTTTGTGTGGTCTCGAAAAGATTTCGCAAAAACTATATACATCGGTTTACGGGCACCAAGAGCCTTTTCCTCTTTTATCCATGGAGTCAGGCACGGCGCGTTTGTGTCTACATTGCAACGAATCAATTCTTCGACTACTGCGTCATGGCGACCATTCTGTTCAATTGCATCTTCTTGGCCATGACTGAAACTGTAGAGGAAGCTGAGTAAGTTTGGATTTACTAATGCGCTTTGTGCTATTCTTATTGATTATTTTTCCTGTTTTGTTATGCAGATACATCTTCCTCGCCATTTACTCCATTGAAATGATAATCAAAATTATTGCCAAAGGCTTTCTGCTCAACAAGTATACTTATTTACGCAATCCTTGGAATTGGCTTGACTTTGTCGTTATAACCAGTGGTTATGCCACTATTGGCATGGAGGTCGGCAACTTGGCCGGTTTGCGTACATTTCGAGTGCTGCGAGCGCTGAAAACAGTTTCCATAATGCCGGGCTTGAAGACCATTATTAACGCACTGCTACATTCCTTCCGGCAGTTGGCAGAGGTCATGACATTAACTATATTCTGCCTGATGGTATTTGCCCTTTTCGCTCTACAGGTCTACATGGGCGAGCTACGCAATAAATGTGTCCGCAACGTGCCCGCTGATTGGAGCAATGTGTCTCATCTGGATTGGCAAATGTACGTTGGATGGCATTTTAACAGGTTTATTGAGCAAACATTACATAAGTTTTCATTTTGCAGTTGGGTGAACGATACGGACAACTGGCTATATGATGAAGAGGAATTGCCGATGCTATGCGGAAACTTAACCGGAGCTCGTCACTGCCCTCTTGGCTACACGTGCATTTGCGTCGGCGACAATCCCAACCATGGGTACACGAACTTCGACAATTTCTTGTGGTCCATGCTAACGACATTCCAGCTGATCACATTGGATTACTGGGAGAACGTCTACAATATGGCAAGTGATTCAATAATATTTTATTTTTTACAAGCACAAAAGAACGTCATATTTTGATTTTTACAGGTGCTTGCAACTTGTGGTCCAATGAGCGTAACATTTTTTACGGTGGTTGTGTTTTTTGGCTCATTCTATTTAATTAATTTGATGTTAGCTGTAGTTGCGTTAAGTTACGAAGAGGAAGCAGAAATAACAAACGAGGTTTGTAGTTTAATCTTAATTTTTTTTCTATATTTATACAAATTAAAATTGGTATGCCTGAAATATTTTAGGAGCGCAAGAAAGACTTATTGGATCATCGAGATGATTCTACGTTCAGCTTCGATCCATCTGTGTTGAACGTAAAAAAGCTGAATAAGAACAATAAGAAAAAGATTGACTCCCGCAAGGGTGTGCTCCTTGCTTCGTACAGCAAAAAGAAAACGCGTCGAAAAAAGGTGAAAGGCGGCAAGGACAGTGCGAGCAATAATGGTAGCAATGGAAATGAGCAAAGCAAAAACCATTCGGTTACGCCAAGCCCAGGACCAAGTCCACGAAATAGCGCAACAGAGCGTCCAACAGCGTTGGCGTTGCAGGCTCAAAAACCAATAGACCAGCAACAGTTGTCAAAATGCGGCCAAGAGGCCACACAACAGCAGAAAAGTCGCATCAGCTTTCAGGAAGCAAATGTTAAGAATCCCAACATGCTGTATCCCTCTGACTATAAGGGGCAGCTGACTATCAATAGTCGACAAACAAGCTCCAATTCGAGTGGTGTCAATCGAGAATCCTCACAGGACGATTCGGGAGTTGTCGATGACCACGAAGAGCAAGATACCGGCAACGAAATGGGCCATGTATCGACCGTGGAACTGGCTCTATCGCCACGTGAGGTGCGCATCATAAAGTGCAATGGCAATATAGCCCGTATTAAAAATCACAATGTTTATGCCCTGCATCAGGAATTCTCCTCTGAGATTGTAGTAATTGGTGAGCAAAGCAAAGCTTCTCTTCTATATAGTTTTGATTGTATGCCCCCATCTTTGTATATCTTTATTCAGCAGACGATCTCCCTGATCGCAATTGTGATCGCTGTGTTACCTGCTGTGCTGACTACGAGAGTTGGCTCCAATTCCAGAATTGTCTATATAAGGTTGTGCGGGACCCGCTTTTTGAATTGGCCATTACACTCTGCATTGTCCTGAACACAGCATTCCTGGCCATGGAGCATCATGGCATGAGTGAGAGCTTTCGCAATGCGTTGGATGTTGGCAATAAGGTAAACTGTTGTTTACTTTGGTTTCATTTTTCGATATTAATTACAAGTTGCATATAAATGTGTATTCAGGTCTTCACATCAATATTTACATTTGAGTGCATTGTGAAGCTAATGGCGCTTTCCAAAGACTTCTTTCTGTGCGGGTGGAATATATTTGATCTGATCATTGTAACGGCCAGCCTGCTGGATATTATATTTGAATTGGTTGACGGTTTGAGTGTATTGCGTGGCCTTCGTTTGGTGAGGACCCTCGAGTTTTAAAATCAATAAGCAAGTACTTATTTAAATATGCGTCTACTTTCAGTTGAGAGTTTTGAAACTCGCACAGTCTTGGACAACAATGAAAGTGCTGCTCAGTATTATTATATCGACAATTGGGGCCCTCGGTAACCTGACGCTCATTTTAGTTATAGTCATTTACATATTTGCTGTGATCGGCATGCAGTTGTTTTCGAGAGACTACACAGCCGACAAATTTTACCCAGACCCGGTGCCAAGGCAAGTCCAAAACACGATTACATTAATAAGCTGTCACCAAAAATATTCCCACGACATATGCAGGTGGAATTTTAATGACTTCTTTCACTCATTCATGATGATCTTCCGAATATTGTGTGGGGAGTGGATCGAGCCGTTGTGGGATTGTATGCGTGCCGAAGAAGAGGTGAGAATGCTAACCTACTTGAAGGTACCTTCTTGTATATTAATAATATTTGTGAATATTTGTGTGCCAAATTTATAGCAAGGTGCGTCTACGTGCTTCGCCATATTCCTACCCACATTGGTTATGGGAAACTTTATGGTTTTGAACTTGTTCTTGGCTTTGTTACTCAACAGTTTCAACTCCGAGGAGTTGAAATCGAAAAAAGAGGCAAGTAGTTTAGATTCTTATGATTTATAAAATTGCTTTAGGTGTTTCTTTTAAATACCGTTCGTGAATGTATATGTGTATGTGTGTGCAAACAAAAATTAATCTTAAAAAAAAAACTAATTAAAATCAAATTTTTAACTCAAAAGTTGTGTGGGCAAACCATGTTTGTCATAAAAACCAAACCACTAAAAAATTTTATTAATTTTCTAAAAAGTTTGATGGGCAAATCAATCTTATCTTTGATGTTTTTATTGATGTTTAAATTTAATTTTGAATTTGCATTGCACTTTTATGCGTGTTTTTGTGTGTGGGTGTGTGCTTAACTTCATGCATACATAAATAAATACAGAACCGATTCGCACGCTCATAATTAATTAATTATTACTTATGTTACTGAATTCTACACTTCATCGTGCAAAAAAGGAAAATGCATTCATTTTTTTTAAATTCATCATTTTTATACTCTTGCGATTCTGATATATTGTCTCATATTTGTGACGCCCGTAAGGAGGCGAGGCAGACCTCATCTTATGGGTACATAGGTGATTAGAACACCGATCCTTGGCCATATTGTCTTTCCCGTCTGTCTGTATTACGAGTGTTTTGGGTGAGAAGCTATAGTGCAAATAAACTCCAACTCCTTTGGGAATAACCGATCAAACTATATCGTTTAGCTGCCATAGGATCTATACGCCAATTTTGTATCAACTTCTGCGTTTCTTATGCTATATCCATCAGATTTTATTTGAACTGCTGTAGCAAACCCTCTTTGTTTTAAGTGTTACCTCAAATTTGATTTGTGGTAATTATACTTGTATATATCAGAACGAGCTTTAACCAAATTGAACCACTACATCCTATAGTTGTGTCATATCAGGCTTTAAACAAATTAAGAGTTATATTAGCAAGGGTATAAAAGCTGTACGTACTTGTACTTGATTTTCAATATCATTTCAAAATTTGCATACGCATTTTATCCATTACTTATCATGGCTTTACATAGTGTTGGATTTCTATTGTTCTTAAAATACATGTTTACCTGAATACTACTATCTGTTTCATATGAATGTCTACCTATCCACCTTTCACAAAACACCATTATAACTTGTAAGTAAAACTCCAATTGGCTTTCTGTCCACCTGCTGTCCGTTTCCAGTTGTGATTGCTATGAGCAATTCAAAAAATTTATCTATATAATTATTCAGGATAATTGTGAAGGGATAGAATTTCGGTTGAACCGAAATTTTCAATATTTATACCAATATAATATTATATATGCTTATTTCTGAATATATGTCTCAATGTATGTATGTCTTTAATGTAAAATTCTTTTAATCGCACTAAATACTCCAAATAACTAAAATCTCTGTTGTCAACTTTGCACTATGCGTTTAAATCTAAACTACACAACACTAATACACTAACAAAACAACAAAAACATATACAAATACAAATACCAATATTTAAATACACAAAACGTTAAACAGATTTTCAAGAAAAAGGTAATTTTATTAACTAAACCTTTAATACAAATCTTTTTTAAACGACTCGTTTGCTTCATTTTGTTTTAGACAAACTAAAAAAATGTTTAAATTTCAAATATGTATGTGTAAATAAATGTTAAAATTGTAATCTAGATATTGTTCTCCAATTAGGATGCATACGAGCTGTTGCTGCCTTTTTATTTCTATATACAAACGTACAAGTACTATACGTGTTTATTGTTGTTCGCCAAAGTGTGTATAATTTGTTTGCATTGGATATGTAATTGTATGCCTATGTGTTTAACCAAAAACAAATAAAAATTATGCGTTAGTACATTATTTATATTGTTTTTAGCCGTACTCTCATTTTTGCGCTTGTTTCTAATACGCAGTATTTTTTCTATATATAGGAAGTTGGCGAGGAATCGAAGCTGGCTCGCAGCATAGAACGCGTTCGCGATCTGATAAGAAAGAAGCGGCAGGAGCGAAAAGATCGCAAAGAACGCAAATATGCAGAAAAGTTCCAGCAGATTGTGCTTGAGGCTCAACAGGCGGCATCGGCGAACATAACGATTGAGAAACCCGGTGTGTTGGCCGAAACGAAATTTCATAGATTGAGCTACCAAGTAAGTGGCTAATGGTATAGAGTGCACGGATAGAAAGTCAATATATTTTTCAATTTGGTTATTTATCCATTACACAAATTATTAAGAACTTTGCATCGTTTGCGGCAATACATGAGAAAAGATGACAGTTTGAAAAGATAATAGTCTGAAAATACTATACATAGTGTATAAAGATGATAGTCTGAAACTAGTTTATGGCAAAAGATGATAATCCAAAAAGATGATGATTCCAAAAGATTACAATCCGAAAGAGATTATCGGAAAAGATGATAATTCCAAGAGAAAAGATAATAGTCTGAAAACACAATAGTCTGAAAAGATGATGAAAAAGGTCTGAAAATAAGATTGTCGCAAAAGATTATAATGAATGCCAAAAAGTCGATGATTACAATCCGAAAGTTAAAGTCCATTCAGTTGGCTTTTTTTCGGTTTATGACGCCTGCAAAGCTTTGAAGCCATTTTCAAAACGTTCTTTAACTTATTAAAGCTTCATCAAACAAACTCATTATCGGCTGATTTTTTAAAATTTAAATTGAATAAGACACGTTTGGACTAAAAAGCTAACATTTTTGAGTTGCAAATTGAATCAGAAAAAATTCCACTACTGGCGGAAATAGCTGACCAGAATTTTCTACTATGCTGCGACTTTCTATTTATTCACCAAACACTGAATATAATTGCTTGCATATTATTTACACAATTGATTTGATTGCAGGAATCTATGAACCGCCCTGTCTCAGGTTCGGACTTCGGTTTTCAGATTCCACTCAAAGATGGTCTCCACACTATTGTCGATGATCTGGAACCATCACAGCCGACTAATCAACAACAACAACAGCTGCAAACACTGAGCCAAGCCCAACAATCCTATCAGCCAACAACAGACGCACAATGTTCTGACACGGACGCATACCATTTACCACCCACATACGAAAGTGCCATGTTGACGGCCAATAACAGCCAAGACAATAACATCCGAATCGACAACAACCTGACAATATACCCTCAAGCAGAACGCAGGTTACAGCACCAGCTCTCCTCAGGTGTTGGCACACAGCAGAATGACTCACGCGATGAGGCCACATACACAGAGTCCATTGAACTGCGCCTTCTGGGTCAGTACAATTCGACAGACACCGATCCATATGCGAACGACCAACGCAGTGGATCGTTTGCGCGCGGCGACTCCTTTCAGGATAACTCCTCGCGCCGCTATGGCAGCGAAGAGCATGACGAAGCCTATTTGCAGTATCAGAAGTCTCTGCTGACGCGCTCACCAAGCTATCGGAAATCACTGGATCGCCTCTCCCAGTCCAGTGGACATTCGCAGCGTTCGCTGCTGCCGTCGCGCAGCCTCAAGTCGGAAGAAAATGTGAACTATAACGTCGATATGCGTAGACACTCCAGTGGACATTCCTTGAATTCCATATCCATTGAGCAGGATGAGCTGCTCTCCCAGCAAGGAAGTCTGCGCGAAGAATTGCTGAATTGCGACCAAAAGGAATTGTTTCAGTTCCTGCAGGAGGATGATAAGCGGATTAACTTATCAATTGAGCCAACAGGCTATGATTCGCTAGATATTGATGCAGAAGCCCTATTAGGTCACGGTAGAAGGGAGCACAAAACTTCGACCAGTAGCATTAAATCTAATCTGAGTTATATTTCCAACTCCATAATGCAAACCATTGAGTCCCGACGAAATGGCAGCCATTCTAGCAATGCCAACGATCCGCAGGACAGTGAGCCACTCGTGGAGCATTCAGAATTCGACAATATCATCCAGAGCTTTGAGAAAGAATTGGAGGAGATTAAGCGATCAACCACCTCCTTGGAACGGAAACTCTCCACCCTGTCGGAGCCATCGCCAGCGGCTGACGAAGCCACCAAAGCCATAATGGATCACATTGCCATTATTACTGGCGCCTCTGACCGTTCAGCTGCCGATGAGGTTGTGCACCCATTAAATCCGTATGACAGCTACGATCTGTCCACAGTGCCACGACGTCCTCAGTCTGTGAGTGCAGCAGCCCAACGGCAGTCTGTGAAGCTGAAACGGCGCAGCCTAGAGAAGCAACGAAAAATCGACGAAGACTTCAGTATATCGAACGAAATACGCAAAATCTGTGATCAAATACACGCGCCCTTTGTGGCAATGGAAGCCATGGCTGTTGCTGCCACCAGCACTGCTGGCGGTCAATCGCCGTTCATGCGGCGTAAGATCGATCCATTCACTGTGCAGTTTGATCGGTTCAAGCGTCTATCATTGATAGAGCGTGTGGAGGAGCTCCCGGAGGAGGACAAACCGATATCGACACTGCGCATTGAATCCGAGAAGATGCCCCGCAAGTATCTCAACAGTGACAAGCTGCGCATGGATAGTTTATCGTTGAAGAGCACTAACTCATATGAGAATCTCTTGATACAAAAGCAATTGTGCCACAGTGTGCCGAATAATGGCTCCTTGACCTGCATGTCTGCCACTGTGCCTGCCACACCGCCAACTTCCTTGAAGTCAAACATTGAACCTCCAACACTGGCGCAAATTTCATCGCTGAAAGCGACTCCCCCGCTGGCTGCCCTAACGGAACACCAGCAGCACTTTCATGCGACGAGCATACAGACCACGACAATGCACCCAACGGCTGCTGGCGTGGCCTTGCCGATGGCAAAGCGTCGTGCCGAGCATCCTCAATCGACTCTAGACAAAGCCGCTTCCTTTCAATCCGCTCGCACCGAATCGCACAGTTCTGGTGCCGCCGACACCAGCTCGGCCCTGGCACTCGGTTACACCAGCTACCTGTCCAATGGCAATCGGGAAAAGACTGAACCGCAGTCGCAGAAGACGTCGGCGTTTTCACGACTAACCGAAAAACCATGGCATTGTTTGGTTTCCTACGTAGACGATCTCACTGTCGGTGGGAGACGTAACTCGCAGGGCGCATATAATGATCCCATGACTTTTCCGAGCTTTGGACAAGAAAAACCGCCAAAAGTGCCAGATGACTGCTTCCCACAGAAGTGCTACGATCAGTAAGTAGAACCATTCAAATATGGTAATCCCTTCAATACACAAAAATTTAAGCCATTACTAATGATCCTCTGTCGTAGCTTCTATTTTCGATGTCCGTGGTTTATGTCTTGCATGGATACGAAGAGTGCAAAGCATTGGACACGTGTAAGGACGGCTGTCTTGACGGTTGTCGATACTCCAGCCTTTGAGTGGTTTGTACTAGTGCTGATCTTTGCGTCGAGTATTACGCTCTGCTTTGAGGATATATACCTGGACAGTAATAAAACATTGAAACGTATACTCTATTGGACAAACTTGACGTTCTGCCTAATATTCGTTGTTGAAATGGTACTCAAATGGTTGGCTCTGGGATTTTCCAAATATTTCACCAGTTTTTGGACAATACTCGACTTTATAATTGTGTTTGTATGTAGCTATACATTCATACAAAATATCAACTTTTCTAATCATTGAACTTTATTTTAGGTTTCTGTATTTTCTTTGCTCATTGAAGAGAACGAAAATCTTAAGGTGTTGCGCTCTCTACGCACGCTTAGAGCTTTGCGCCCGTTGAGAGCAATCTCCCGGTAAGTTTTAGACTGTTTAAGTATTACGACACACCCACCTTATCAGAAATGTTATTAATGATGATTATGCGGATATATTTGAATGAAACTAAATACTGAGCCAATCAAGCTAAAAACTCTATGTAGGGTAACAAACTTTCTTTCTATCACCTAAATCTTAACTATTGACTTTTGTTCTTCCAAATTAAATTCTTTACAAAATAATGTTAATGATAATCTTCATGAGCCGTGCAGTGTTTAATACAATCTCGTCTTCTTTATGAATTTCGAATAGAAATACTCGTACTACTCGTTTGTAGATCATAAAGCATCGTCATGCCCTTTTCTAAAACAAAAATGCTTATCTAGTACCTATTTATAATTATATGTACTTGTACTTCTACTTATAAAAAAGGTGTTTTTTTCATTAAATACTTATTTTAGTAAAGTCAATATTATGCTTATTGTATGTTTTAATAACACTTATGTATGTATGTATATACTATATAACCGTATAGCGAAATCATTATTAACAGTGTTCATGTACATATACATATATGCACCTACTCGTATGTACATATAGACCAACAACAATATCGAATATCTGCAAAAGAGCTGTGCGTTGTCGTTATCCGCCAAATCTAATCTGATATTCGTAAAGAGGCCAGCACTTGATGTCACAAAAATTCATTTTTACACAAAAATCAAACTTGTTCCGAAAATTGATCCTGATTGACTCGGCTTTACGAGAATATACATTGGGGTCTACCACGCCTCCTTCTATCTATTACATATATTCCTGGCGCTTAGACTTTCTAGTATATCCTTTCCCCCTTCGATTACAGGGAAAACAAATGCAAGCTTCGTAATTGAGTTCAAACTAAATTAAAATATTATGATATTTTATTATAAGAATTTTGACTAAACTAATGACTATATTTCTAAAAAATAATATTATAAATTGTTTAAAATTATATAGCATTATGGATAACTCCAAGAGATTTCTATCCAGCAACAATAATGTGCGTTATATTCCTTTAAATAAATTGTCAAAACAATTTGCTATTTGCTATTCTGGCAATGGAAATAAACAGCTTATAGTAGTTAGTATTCCAGAAAATGTATTACAATTCAGAATCTTCATATATATTTGACAAATTCGTGATTGGCGAAGACGTCACGCGCACAGCTCTAACATAGTTATCGTAGTGATAGTTTTAGTTTTTTTTTTTTTTGCAATAAATCGGTTAAGCTAATTTACGAAAATCGAGAAAGAAACTAATGTATTTAATGCCTACATATACCTATAAATCAGCGTATCCCAATCGATATATCTGTGCACATTATATTTGCAAATATCGGCGTCAGTGTGTTTATAAAGTAGTGATCCCGTAATTATTAGCATTTCATTCAACATTTCTATTCCAGGTGGCAGGGAATGCGGATTGTAGTAAATGCTCTCATGTATGCAATACCATCAATTTTCAATGTGCTTTTAGTTTGTTTGGTTTTTTGGTTGATTTTCTCAATAATGGGTGTGCAATTTTTTGGTGGTAAATTTTTTAAATGCGTCAATGAAATGGGAGAGTTGCTGCCAATTACTGTAAGTATGCCTTAATGGTCGTTCACTTTTTAAATTCTCCAATACTATATATAGTAGTACAAAGTATACGCTCCATATGTACCTATGTTTATATGTATGTATGTGCTTTTGTTGAAATCGACAGGAAGTCAACGATAAGTGGGATTGCTTCGAACAGAACTACACATGGATAAACTCAAAGATAACCTTCGATCATGTGGGAATGGGGTATTTGGCTCTCCTTCAAGTTGCCACTTTTGAGGGCTGGATGGAAGTGATGGCCGATGCTGTAGATGCGCGAGGCGTTGACCTCCAGCCACAGAGAGAAGCGAACTTATATGCCTATATTTATTTTGTAATATTTATTGTTTGCGGATCGTTCTTCACACTCAATCTGTTTATTGGAGTTATTATTGATAATTTCAATATGCTCAAGAAGAAGGTAAGTTACATGGTCTACCTCGATGTTGGGCTGTTCTTTAGCAACAACAACAATAACAACAAATTATTCATATCCTGTAAATATTGTGACTAAACACAAACCTTATATGTTTCAAATTGTACCAACAAAAAACCAAAACCAAAAAAAAGAGATTGTACAGTTATGCATAAATTAAAAAAACAATTACATAAGTATGTAGGAGAATCCCTCGGCTTGCTATTCGTTGCTGTTTTACGAACTCTTGAAAATTAATCGATTTGTGTTAAACATACTATGTATAAGTAGACGAAAGAATTTAAATGTTTTAAATGTAAATATCAATAAATGTTCATTTTATTCTCATCACTTTTATAGTACGAAGGAGGAGTGTTGGAAATGTTTCTCACCGAATCTCAAAAACACTATTACACCGCTATGAAAAAATTGGGACGAAAGAAACCACAGAAAGTTATTAAGCGACCTATAAATCATTTTTTAGCTATGTTTTATGATTTATCCAATTCGAGAAGGTAAACACGAAAACGGTTTTCAGCCGAAACCAACCATGAAAAAAGTTTCTTTTTTTAATTTAAAATACTAAAATAGTATTAGTTTCTTAGTTAGAGACACAGACATGTGATTGATTTGGTGATAAAAATCATTTAAACACTGGCATTCTCCGCATTTTTGGTCAGAAAGGTGTTTGCATCAACATAGAAGATATGTAAACACTTTCCAAAATGTGAGCTTATTGTAGCACATATAGAGCACATCTACTTTCCTGTACTCCTATGTCTTTGTATGTCGTCTATTCAATGATATCTACTTGTAAATGTGTTTGTACGTTGTTCAAGTGAATTGTGGGAATGATGATGTAGATATAGATAATCTTTCTCTATACTTGTACTTCTTCAGGATAGTTCTCTTAATGTTCGGTTAGTGCTCCCAGAAATCTCATAATTAGCCAGACTTTGCATGGAGATCTGTTGCCTTATCTACCAAACATTGAGAAAACTACATACTTATAGTTGCCTCCATCTAAGCATATACTACTATACTATATGTGTACATATAATAATTTACTCTGTATATTTCTAAATGGTGTGTGTGTGTGCGTGGAATGGTTTCATGTTTTCAACCCTACCGAAGAGTTTCTATTTCTAGTTGGGGGTTTCGTCTAAATGTTTTACCTAAATGTATTAAATGAGCATGTACTATATATGTATACTATAGATTAGTTGATTAGTTTTATTTTGAATGCAATGTCAAATTATGCCCTTCAAAAACACACTATCATTTAACTAGGATATGAGCATTGATATGAATTTTGAAGGGTATAGCGACTTCGGCACGCACGAAGTTTGACAAATTCCATTTCTTGTTACACAAATTAATTTCAAATTGTTATTTCTTCTTCGGTGTTCCTCCGTCATATTCCCATTTATGTACCCACCAAACCACTGACCATATCCAGATTCGAAATAGCGATCTTTGTACTGATTTTTCTAAATATGCTTACCATGGGCATAGAGCATTACGATCAACCACACGCAGTATTCTTTATACTGGAAGTAAGCAATGCATTTTTCACAACAGTCTTTGGATTGGGTAAGTACACAAAGAACACACACATAAGCCCACACACCCACTAGAGCGCATAGCTTAGAAACGTTATTTATGCCTTTCAATTATATTTGAATATACATTTATTATCCTGCAGAGGCGATCGTAAAAATAGTTGGACTACGCTATCATTACTTCACGGTGCCTTGGAATGTTTTTGATTTTTTATTGGTGCTGGCCTCCATATTTGGCATACTTATGGAGGATATTATGATTGACTTGCCGATAAGTCCAACGCTGTTGCGTGTGGTGCGCGTCTTCCGCATTGGACGCATCCTTCGATTGATCAAGGCCGCCAAGGGCATACGGAAGCTCCTTTTTGCTCTCGTCGTCTCGCTGCCCGCACTCTTCAACATCGGCGCTCTTCTGGGGCTTATAACGTTCATCTATGCCATTCTGGGCATGTCCCTGTTCGGTCACGTCAGGCTGCAAGGCGCACTGGATGATATGGTTAATTTCCAGACATTCGGACGCAGCATGCAGCTGCTGTTTCGCTTGATGACCTCGGCGGGTTGGAACGACGTTCTGGAATCGCTGATGATACAGCCACCCGACTGTGATGCCTTCTTCAATAAGCAGACGAACGGCGACTGCGGTCATCCGTTGCTGGCCATTACGTATTTCACCAGTTTTATTATAATCAATTATATGATTGTGATCAATATGTATATTGCTATTATTTTGGAGAACTTTAACCAAGCGCATCAGGAGGAGGAGATTGGAATTGTCGAGGACGACTTGGAGATGTTTTACATACGTTGGTCCAAGTAGGTTTACCTCGGAATTAATACCCCTTGATACAACGGCTAGTGCAATGCTGTGCTGTGTTTGAATCCCTCTTCTATTAAATGTATGAACGCTTACTTTATTTTCAGATACGATCCACATGCCACCCAATTTATACACTTCTCGCAACTGTCCGATTTTATTGCCTCTCTCGATCCACCATTGGGCATCTCAAAGCCTAATAATGTCGCTTTAGTGTCATTTAATTTGCCCATTTCGAAGGGTAATAAAATACACTGTCTCGACATTTTGCACGCGCTAGTTAAGCACGTGCTAGGTCATGTCGAGGAGACCGATAACTTCAAACAGTTGCAGGAACAAATGGATGTCAAGTTCAAGAAACAGTTTCCAACCCGTAAAGAATTGGAAATTGTTTCATCAACACGGATCTGGAAGCGCCAAGAGAAGGCGGCCAAGACCATTCAAATGGGCTGGAAGGACTATTTGCGGTACTGAGGAAGCTCGCAAGCTTATGTGTCCTTGGACGTGCTTTCAGAACTTTCCTCTAATTATGCTTTCAATCCGCAGGCGAAAAAGGGAAAAGGAGCGCTCCAATTCTGGCGACAGTGCCACACAAAACTCAAGTCCTGGTGGCTGGCAGTCAAAGCTATCTGCACTCAATTTCTTCCACTTGCAAGTAAGCCCATCGAACGAGCTTAACCCTACCAGTAAATACATACCTATGTACAACTGTTGCTTTTGTTTTGAACAGGTCAGCCGCCGAGGTACTGCTTGCTCGAGTCGCGCCTCATCACGCAAATCTTCGCGCGCTTCGGATGCATCTGATTTGAGTGAGCTTGCCGGCCCGTGGCTAAATCTGCCGCTGATGCTTGTCTCCGGCGCCGATGACGTGGTTAAGGATATTAAGCAGCAAAGCGACGAAATGGGCAAGCGGTATTTATCACAATTCCACTCATACACATACGAGTACACAAATAATGAATCGAAATGCAATTTTTAGACGAAAAGCTTTCACACACATTAACAGCAACATTGATAAAAATTTTAACGTTTATGTTCGACAATATATGAACTCAAGCCCTATTTTTAGCATATCCTCTTGTATCTCCCTAAACTATGAGTCCTTGCTCGCAGATATGGTTACAACCGTTTTAAGAAGTGGCTCCCAGCCTAGTGGCCTAAATTATTTAGGTAAAATGCAACAAAAGCTAGCTCGCAACAACCACTTTTTAAACTTACAACTTCGCTTTAAGTTTTCGTCTATAACTCGCCGCCGCCACATGCTCACTCACAAATCCAGTATACGTACAATTATAAACTGTATCAACTAAAAATATTGTTTCTACATATCTCAATTCAAATCATGTTTGCGCTAATCATTTTGTGAACGCAACCAGCCAACCAACCAACCAACCAACCAATTTAAAAACTAACTCTGTCAATTATTCATTGCCGCAAACGCTCTCTATATTAACTACAACTACTTGCAGTTCTAAAACATTACAGTACAAGTACATAATGAATTATAATTTGTAAGTAGTGGCTATACTTAAGCAGTACAACTCTTTGACATACTTACATATCTACGTATGTGTGTAACTCTCCAAATCCGTTGAATGCAATATTTTAGTTGATTTTCTTCTAATTTGCCTAGTGTTGCTTGCAGTTCTTTAGATGCTCAATGTATTACCGACTCTGAATCTTCTCACAATAAAATGAAATCAAAAAGTCGAGAACGATCATTAACTTGATTGTTTTGATAAAGAGTCAAGGTCGGAAATACTCATATAATATAGATGTAATAATAATTTTTGTATAACATTTTATTCTACAGCAAAAACCATACTGATTAGCATCATACTGTCATTATGTAGCTCTTTCCTATGCGAATTGTAATCCCAGCAGCTCTTTCGAAAAACGTAACCAAATATAACTAGTCCTGGGCATGTTTCTCTCAATGAGCACTTTTTCCTGTTAGGCCAACGCCCCCATCTAAGACCCTTAGTCAAAGTCTAGATATAATATTGTTACAACCTGCGTTTATACTTTTGAGCAACGCTGGGTGTGACTCTTATTCCTAGCCAGGCTATCTTAGTTGGCATGTCGGTAGAGGTTGATGCTCATAATACTACGGTCGTGGGCGCCATATTGTGGGCAACAACCAGTTACCTTAGTGGGCTGGGCATGAAACTCTTTACCTCAGGTTTGTGGGTTCGGGCCCCAAGTTGGGCGCCGTATTGTTACGACCTGCTTTTATCTCGATGGTAAATGTTGACTATCGGATACGGGCAAATTCGGCAAGCCAGAGAGCTTTACCGATACGAATAAACGGGGGTCTCAACCATGTTGAGGAGATCACATTTTTGTTTTGCTTCTTCTTTATAATTTTTTAGAAGCCATACTTTCGTCAAAAAATTGCAGTTATCAAATTTGAAAAGTGTATAATAATTGATTGTATCTATATTAAGTATATCTACGAATGATTATCAATATAATTTGTGATTATTATGTTTATTAGCGGTAGCATATTTGTGGAAGCGCCTAGAGCAAGTCGTCGCCGAAGCTTTTATAATTTCTTTTTGCGTCATCAGGATGCTGTCGATGACAGTTTAACTTCACCTTCAGTACATAGAAAAAGTAATTATTGACAAGTGCCTACTCACTGCTACTTCTTCACTCATATATGTATATTTATATGTAAATAATCTTGTATATGCATAGCAAGTATTCAGTCTGCACAAAAAAAAAAATAATAATAATAATAACTCACGTTCAACTCATTTCAAACACATGGCTTTTAACTCTCATTACAACAATAGTATACTAAGTACTTATTAAACACTCATGCAATGGCGCTTAGCTGTGTCCTCTTTATACAAACTTCATCTATGTACAGTTCTTAACGTACACACTACAAGTTTTTTAGCATTTATACATACTCTCGTATCTTCATGACAATATGCAATATCCTCAGATAACTGTTGTTCGTATCATAACATACTATATTACTTCATTTTTGTGACGGTGTGTTTGCTCTGTCTCCCCCTCTAATCACCCTCTTATCGACACACAACCCTCGTACTTGTGCTCTTCACGATTCCCAAACACTAATTCGGGCATTTCACCTACAACAGCAGCAATAAACACCAACGCCACCAACAATACCACCTCAATCTCTGCCTCAGCCTCTGCCTGCGCCACCGAAAGCGACAGACAAACCCATCAACAGGTAGTGCCAACTCCAACGCGTAAGCGCGCCTCGAGTTTTATACGCAAGAAACCACCCCTAGAAAGAGGTTTGTCAGCACAAAGCGCTTTAAGAGTTAACAAGAACGCTTTTGTCTGTATGTGTAAATCGTATTTGTGTTTCTTCTTTTGGAGCAATCCAACTACAAGAGATCTACCGTTTCGCATTTTCAGCGGATGGCCCTGCCCCAGAGGTTATAGTTACGAAGCCGTCGCCGGACCAGCAAATGCATCCACTAACTCTACGGCCGGATAATGCCACCCTGGTACATGTCCTGGTGCATCGCGAGAGTGAAGAGTACAAGGACGAGGAGGACGAGAATAGCCCCAGCACACCTATCAACGGCACACAGGAGAAGCCTCTAAAGCCTCCGCAGATACGGATTATCCAAGGCTCCATGGAAGGCATCGCAGAGATGGCCACGTGCAGAACGCCAGTTGTGCAGATAATGGTCGACAGTCCCAAGGAACCACCGCGTGGAGACTTTAGTGGGGAATATACCGCAATGACATATCCAGCTACAGCAACGCCATCACCAACGCCAGCGATTGACATCGATGCGCCCATTGATGTCAATGTACAGGGTGACACATCAAAGGTGTTCTATGACTACAATCCTGATAATAGCAATGATATAGTTGAACTAGATGCTCTCGTTAATGAATCCCAGCAACTGGACAGAGCAACAGTTGACGATGCTGAGCTCAGCGAAGATGATCCTGATGATGATCCTGATAATGATATTGATAACGATCCTGACAATGATGATGATGATAAGCAAAGATGACGTTCAGCAAATGCAGCATCCCAAGAGGAACACTCCAGCAGCAGTTCCTGGGGTTCAGGTGCCGTTTCGAGCTCTAGCACCTCAACCGAAACGGCTAATCAGTCAACAGCACCGGCTTCCACAGCCGAAGAGGCTGAGCGCAAACGCCTAAGTTGACAATCTCTAGTCTGAGTACGATTCTCATGTGCATTTTCGACATTAGTAGCATACCGTAGAAACTTGTTAAGCAAAGGCGAGGCCGAACCATCGTGTCTTTGTAATCATAATCAAGTAATCATATAATAGTCGCTTAAATATTTACAACAAACTAAGATAAATAACTTGTTTATATGTACACGTATATCATTCAACCAGCTGGAAGAATTCGAACATTATACTTTCTAAGCGTCACCAGCGGCCGGCCTGTTTGTCCAACTGGCTAAGTTCATATGAAATCAATATAAACTCTGTGTTAACAAGAACGTGCATTAATCCGTACAGTGTGTACACGTTGTAATACTCGAATGAAATCAAAAACAAAGCAAAAAAAGAAATAAGAAAAAAAACTCTTTACATACTACTTAATAGGCATTCTTTTTCCTCTAATTTAGAATGTGCAGTAGTCTGTCAAGTCATATCTGAAAATTTCAAAGATATTTTGAAGGTTGTTTTAATATACATATGTATAAGCGTAATAGATACATATGTATGTATGTGTACATAGAAACTGACATTAATCTCGCAGTTTAGATTTAGGCTTGTATTATTATTATTATTATTACATACATACATACGATTAGTAGAGTTTGATTTCTTATCTACGATTATATATTTTGTACATATGCCAAAGGAAGTATTTTAAACTAATGAGCTATATACATAAATACATATAAATTAGTTAGCAACAATTTTATAATACATACATACATACGTACGAGTACATACATACTACATACCATATGGTATATTTGTAAAATTCTTCTTTATGTTGATTATTATCCAGAACAGTTGTTTAAGTACAAGTATTAGTAGATTTGAAGCTCTCCTCTCTTATTTTCAAAACGACTAATAGTTCCAAAAATAAACAACAAATTCCAATTCCAAACACTCAACGATTTAACTTCAAGCTACCGCCATCTATTTATAATAGTGAACAAGTTCAATAATTAGCAAACTAATAGCTAACCCACTTGGGTATTAAAGAAGCGACTAGAAACTACTTGTAACTCGATCCACAACAACAAACAACAAACAGCCACTTGAACCAGAGTCCTACCTAAGCATTGTGTGTGCATTATGTACCAGTATACTTTTATTATACAATACATTTGTATGTACACACTATTCTATTAAATATTCGTACGTACTTACGATAGACCGACCTATGTACAATGTTAATCAATGTATGTATAACAAAAAACAATCTAATCGAAAAAAAAAACATTTCATGCAAGGTCTCCTATTAAATCTTCCACAAACAAATCAACTCCTTTACATAAGTACACATACATACATACAAACATTTACACAAGCTCGTACATACTCTACGATTTTAGGCTTACGTCAAGTTTCTAAGAAACATTACTTTATTATTATACATACGAGTACATCATCTTGCTTTCGGCGTTTAAACTGTGAAGAATCCTTTTTATACAATCAAATTAAGTTTAACTTATTTTATATACTTACATATTACATACGTATATATACATACATACCTACATACATACATATGTACATCGAAAAAGAGAGACAAGCACACGGCATTACTCGTATTGCATGCAACGCACACTTACTCGAAGCTTACTTTTCTAACTTAACAACAGACAATCAGACGACAGACGATTGAGAGTAAATTGAAATTACGGTACCAACTAAATCGTTTTCTCCAAAACAACAAAAACAACAAAAACAAAAATGTACACACAAAACTTACTTGTGATTTTAACTGCAATTTTTACACAACAAACACAAAAACAAAAAGGAAAAAAGTAATCATTGACTTTTAATTAGAATTGTTAACGAATAATAAATAGAAATTTATAAATAAAAGAATAAAGAAGGAAAAAAGATGAATATTCAATACAGCAGACAGAAACCAAACACTCGTCAATTAAGTGATATTTAATATTGGTACATAGCATAACAGCTACAAGGATTATAGATACATACGTACATACATACACACATAAATACATAGGTACATACATACAAGTATCCTAAGATTTACCAAAAAAAAAAAAAAAAAAATAGACACTCACAATATTCAATTGTATTGTACATAAATGAGAAGAACAACATAGCAATAGCGACTCATCAAGCAAAACAAAACAAATAAGCTTTAATTTTATTATCTTTGAAATACAAATTGTATTAGTTATTATGTAACATATAACGTTGGGCACTCTTAATTGCGAGCCACGCCACTCCTCGTCCACCCAATGGGCGCCAAACAAGGCGTTTGGCTACCGATGGGGGTGTCGGAGCTCGCAATATAAATGCAATATGAAACCAAAAGAAAAACTTGCCATTAATAAGCACGTATAGTGTGCAACACATGGTTAATTTAGAAATAGATTATAACGACAATAAAAAGAATGATGATTATTATTTATATGGGTCAACAATTAACAATTTGTTGCTAGTGTTTAATCAATCAATGTCGAAAAACAAAATACCCCACAATAGAACAGGCAGGCAGACAAAAAGCAAAACTTATATTGTATTTAGTAGATAGGTAGGTAGAGCTTTTATCCGATCAATCAATTTAACAGCCCAACAAACCAAGTACCAAACAGCAACAACCACAAAACAAGTCAACAAACCAACCAACCAAACAACAACAAAAAATGTCCTTTGCATTTACATAACACCGCAAGCGACCCAATCGGGTCATATAAGTAGTTAGCGATACAGTTGGTTTTAATAGGCATGCCTTACAGTATTAACAATTTGATTTAGTATTTTTAAGCATTGAGATAGAGTACTATATTGTACATATTGATAAATATATTGCAGCGTGGATTAAAGTTAACGTTTCATAACAGATATCGGGCGACAAAGAAATACAAATTAAATAATAAATAAATAGATATATATATATATGTATACATAACTGAATAAATTGTTTAGCATGCCCTGAAAACTAAGTCAATTATTTTGATTTGCAGCCAGCGAAAATGAGGCTTTGATATTAGAAACAGATTTTTAGTCGCCCCCAACATATTATGTATACTCGTACATAATACTCGTAGGCAATACCAATGCTAAATACCTAAGTAACTAATTAGTTTAATGTCAAAATAATAAACAATGCTAAACACGCTTAAGTCGCAACGGATCAAATCGATAGCGATTTGATAATGTTTTCCGTCATTCACCTGGGGCTCAGAAATTTGTAATTTTTTGTCCATTATCAAGCTTTACAAATTATCAAATGGTTTGCGTAAATTATGTTTTGACTGCTTCCATCGCTCTGTTTGATTAATTCGCCTTATTAGCCCTCAGCCATAAAATCCATTCACATGCAAGTCGTTAAGCCATGAAATTGATTCGATTTGATTCGCTACGCACACGGCTAATAGCGCATAATTACCATATATAGTAATAATGACCCTAAAAATCGGAGAGCGATACTGATAGAAGCAATAGGGAAGATAGTGAGAGGGGGAGAAAAGGTGAGAGAGTATTTGTAAATGCCTAGATAAATCAGTAACAATAATGTGTGAGTAAAAGTTTTGAACCGAATCATATCAAAAACTAAAAACCAAAGCATAAAACTAACAATTGCAATTAAATATTTACTCGGGTGCAAATGGTACAGTAAAAATATTAATTTATACAATATTTATTGTCTATATATATTTGAATAACCATTATATACTACTTATATACTTATCAAAGTCAAATTTATTAACTAAAATTATTAGTTTAAAGATCCTCTGATGTCAAAAATAAAACAAAAACGAAAACCAATTTTTAACTGAACATGGAAATTAATTAATCAATTTTGGATAAAAAATAATTAATGCACGCACATGCAAACGCGTTTGTGTGTGTGTGTGTTTGTGTGCGATATAATTGTAGCTGAAAGTTATAATTAAATACCAACAACTACAAGAAGAACAACAAATGTTAAATATATAGGAGAAACACGTATATTTATACTAGTACCAAGAGACGGAAACTTCAGAAATTTAATAGAAAAGTGAATACCAAGCAATTTAATATTTTTTCTTTTCATTTGCTTATATATTTTGATTGTATATAAAGACCATACATACATGTTATAAAATAACTATAGCAATAGTTAATATTAATTCAGTTTACATTAGGCGTTTTGTTATATTAATTACATTTATATATTCATACATACATATGTTAATAAAAACATTTTCTGACTATACATAAAAAAGTACAAAATAGAAATGCGTTGTTCCCCCCATACAAATTTCCAAAAAGCAGGAACCGAATTCTTCATAAAATATGAAATATTTTAACTTTTCGGATTTGTATTGGAGCTTGTCCAGCAGCAGTTTACAGATGCAGTGTGACCAAACGAACTTCGCAAATACGGTCACACTTTATGTAACAATGTTTTCTAAGCAGAAACAAATGTGGCCACTAAATTAGTTTCATTCCATTTAAAAACCAAGAAATACTTTAGTGGCATTTGTTTGTCCACTTCATAAAATGATAATTCCGTCAACTGATTTAGATTTGTAATAATTTGTTTTATCAAATCAGAACTAACACTTCTACTTAAAATATCTAGCTGCGTTCCTGCAACAACTGCAGTATTCGATCCGTTTTTTGTTCGATTATTTGCAAGCGTCTTTCGGTTTGCTGTTCAAGTTGCCTTTTCCTTTCAGCGCACGATTTCCGATCGATAACATTGAGAGCCAGTTTGGCAGTTCGATTATCAATCTCGGCACACCTGCCGGTTAGACATGAGCAGCAGCACGGTAGAATGCTTAGCGGTGGATCTAGAAGATGTCCGGTATTAGTAGGCAATGGCAGAAAGCCAACAGAGCTGTTTTGATTCCGCTCGTATGAGTTGCTCCGTGGTATGAGCACTTTGTTACCATCATTGGGCAGAATGGATATCTGTCGCACTGACATATAGTTGGGATATATGTTCATTAGACGACGACAAATACTGCGGAATGGTTCGGTATTCACAATATAGCCTGTTCGTCCTCGACCTGTCAGGACGAGTTCGTAGCGCGTCAGTAGATTGGTTCTACAAATTGCGCCATTCAGTTCAGCTTGTGCTTTGATGGCCTGCAATAAAATTTATAGATTATTTTTATATTGACTTTCTTATGACCTAACGTCATAACCGACTAAACTACTGAGGATTTATGAATCGGCTTAATAAAATCAATTCAAAAGTGGATCAGGACCATAGATCAGGAAGTATTTGATATGAAAATAATTAAAAACTACTATTAAAAATGAAATAAAATGTGCGCTAAATGGCTATAATGGTCTGTTAGAAGTAAAGTTTTAAAGCGATGGTGTGGCTTAAAATTTGTGTTCTTCATAGTGGTGCAAAATCTGGTTCATTGACTTACCTGTGTATCGCTTACAGCCAGACCGTTAAGAAGGTTGAAGAGAATGATCGTCATGAAGAAGACAAACAAGAGGAAGAGGATGTAACTGTAGAAGCTATCAAATTTAATGTCTCCGGCATCGAACTCGCCCGTCAACATGACAATCGTCTTGATTAGTGTTCCAAAAGGATTGACAAATGCGTTGAATTTCTCATCCTGCCCTTTGACGTCTGGCTTGCCAAAAAGTATGTAAAAACACAAGCTGAATGTGATCACAAGGATGGAGTAGAGGGTGAAGCTCTTCATGAAACTACTCGAGACTGCACGCAGCATGAGCATATGCGTGGATATGGAGAGCACTGGGAGCGACCCGACGAGCAGGCAAAGCTCCACAGAGACCAGCAATATGGTGAATACCGCAATGACTCGATGCATTTCATATTCGTAGGTGGACACAGTACAGTTTAAGATCGAGAGTATGATCAGAGCAATTTCCATGATGTTGGTGATAGATCGGAAGTACAAGACGGGTGCCATTGCGAATTGCAAGCACTCGCGTATTACTAAATAGGTGATACCTATCCAAGAGAACAGTCCAAATAGCAGCGTTAGGGACTCCTGCTCGCTTTGGTGTAACTTCAGCATTGTATGTGTAATGATTGAGATGGTGAAGAGCAAGTATAGCAGGAAGTTGATGTAGAATATTGCCGACAGGCGATGCCATTTAAGAAACAGGAAGCTCGTGATTAACGGATGTTGCAGGAGCTGGCGCAGCTCTTTGGACTCGGCTATGTAGGCAACGGGAGTCATTTCATCGTGCAGTTGCTTATTGGCCTGCAATCCATATTGGTCCTGGTGCATCAGATTCATGTAGTTGATGATGATTTCGAAGCCCGTCTCTCCTGGCTTCAAGCCATTGGTCGTGATGCAAGAGTCGAAATGTTCCTCCAACACTTCTAGCTGCAAGTTCTGTATGGGCAGATCGTTGAATGCGCTCCTCATCCCAATGTAAGCGCCGTGTCGTAGCAGTGCCTTAACAGCCTCTATATTCCGGTACTTCACTGCATAATGAAGGGGTGTGGTGCCACTCTTATCCACCTCATTGACATTAACATGCTCACTGCTTAAAAGTATTTCGAAACACTTCTGATAGTCGCAGAACTCATCGAAAGGCTGCTCGTCCAATTTACTAATGACCGTATTCAAAAGCTGCGCACGCGGGTTCAAATTTAACTCGTCGTGATGCAGGAGCTTGTCGAGAGCTACCCAATTACCCCAAATTATGGCTATTTCCACCGGTGTTTTGGTACCGCTTTGCGCGCTAATGTTGACACCAGTCCGCAGGATAGCATCAAAGGCGCGATGCAGGCCCCGCATTATCGACTCCACCAACAGCGGTAAATATTGCTCTTGGGTGGTATTTCTTTGATTGTCCGTATCGCTAATATTTCGTTGATATTCGGAAAATTGTTGCTCGAACTGGCTCTCATCATTGTTACGCAGATGCCGCAGTAAAGTCTCGCAATCGATATCCTGGCTGACCTCACGCACAGCGGGCAGGTGTAGGTCTGGATGCAGCGTCTGCAGCAAAGTCCGCACTTCCCCATTGCGGTAGCTATCGATGTCCAGTTCCGGTCGCGACAGAAACAGGCTCACCAGTTCGCGCTGCCTGGACTCATCCACATTGCGATTCTTCAGCACATAGTGCAGCGGGGTCATCTGACGTTGGTCTGGGATGTTCGTGGAAGCTCCGTAGTTCAACAGCAATTGCATGCACGTGGACACCTTGGCCGCATTCTCTGCAGTCAGGTTTTTGGCCAGCGAGTTGAGAGGCGTCAGCTGCGAGTATTTACGATCCACCTGCACACCTCGATGCCGCAGCAGGGCCGACAAATTGTCGGGGTCTCTTGAATCGGCGGCGTAGTTAATTGCCGCCTTGTTGATGTGTTGATTTATCTGAAGTGAAGTGAAGTGAAGTGAAGGCGTAAGACTGGTTTCATTCACAAATAGCTTCACTTATGCTTACATAATTCACGTTGCAGCCGTGATCGAGGCATGCCTGCACAAATTCCGCACACTCCGGCGTTGCAAGTACCTTCTCATAAATGCTTGTGTTCCTCTCATCCAGCATAGTGGGCTGGGCACCATTATCCAAGGCATTGCGAAACTCTCGCAGGTCGCGATTGGCAAGCGCCGCACTAAGTTGGGCCTGTGGGTCGATGAAGCCGCAATTGTTCAAATCCATTTTAGCAATCTTCGTGGCAGAGTGAGCATCTGAAAGAGAGATGCTTCAATGTTAAAATAATACTTAAGATTTGAAGACGTAATACACACGTACGCCTCAACACTCTGACTATGAATTAAAAATACATCTATCACTTGCTTACAGGTTTTATCACTATTTTAGCGACTTATTAATTGTTATAGGCATAATTTAATTGAGTAGGCTTATGATGAAAATATCAAGAAAGTGTAATACGAGTACAAAAGACGTAAAGATACATATACCACTTTTGCTTTGGTGCAAATGATTTCGGAAGATTTTGGTTTTACTAAGCGCCCTCATTTTCAATCTTGGAAATTGTTTTTTATATGCATATATATTCTTGATCAGCATGCCTAGGCAAGTCGCTATATATGATTGAATAAACAAATTAAAAATAAGCATGTCGTCAAACAACGTAAACCTTATTCCTCCATGTGATGTGCCCTTCCTATGTATACACTTCTATCAGAAATATCATAATTTCTATCATCATGGTCGGTCATATTCGATCATATTTTGGTAGGAGAAGTATTGATATGAGGCATTTTAGAAAAGGAGCCCAAATCGTTTGCATTTATTGGATCTTCACTGTACTCCCATTTGCTCACTGAAAGAGACGAAGAACCTTCGACTTAATTTAGAAAACAAAGCCTGGTTTTAGTTGCTTTGACAAACGCTTCATGGTACAGTGATTTTCACAAGCATCTATTCAAATTTTTACGTTTCGGTTTTAAAGCCTGCAGCTGGCTACCGTTAAAGCCAAGTGACGAGCCACTGACCACCTGGCTTCGCTGGCTGCCAAAAGCCAAAAAGCCAAAATCCAAAAGCTGCTGTACAAAAAGTGTTGAAATGCTGCGTTACAGGTTTACCTTTTATACGCATAAACATACAAATACTAATATACTTTTTTTTCTAATCTGCGCTGTACAATTTAGGAAAGCATTTTTAAGTGGTTTTTGTGGTACGCACACACAGTCATGCAATAATATGTGGTGGCATGTAGTTATTAAATTGTAACAAGCTAAGTAGAGCCAATGCCCGCAGCAAAAGTCATGGCGGGCTTCAATTAATAACACTTGTATGCTGCTTTGTGTTTTTGGAGGTGGAGGTGGAGGTGCGTGGGAGCGGCAATTACGACATTAAGTGCTCCACTAACCCTCACATCTATAAAGGGCATTATTGAGTCAGAGACAAGATCACTGAAGTAATGCTGACGCATTGGCCACTGAAATATCAAGTTTAACGATCATAAAGAATAATCATAAATTAATCGACATATCAATATCAATTAGCAATCAATCTGTTTCGCTTTACGGTTTGATTTTTATTTTTGTACCAAATTCGGCCTGTTCTGGACCAGCTAGGCCGGCTCGTCCATTGCCAAAGTCATGGGCGCCAAAGTTTTTTGAAATCGGAAGATTTATCGGCGGCTTCTTTTGTGGCAAATCTGATTCTGCGCTATAGCTTCATTCTTCATGTCTTCTAGTTGAAATGTGTGAGAAATCGGCTAATCACACGTTGGCTCATTTAAATATTCATCGACGGCTGCTGTGCGGCGATCTGTTGTGTTTTAAATTTGTAAAACGAGTATGAGAAACAAAAACGCTTGACGGCCGGCTTAAGAAGTGCTGGTAATCAGTGATCATTTGTTAGTAGCTCGTTCGGACACATGTACGAAGATGTTTATGTTTCTGTATTTACAAGTTATTAATTTCTGATACGGTCAGCCGACCCGCCTCCTTCCAAGAGCCAGCAATGGCGGCAAAACGCACAATCACCTTTACTAATTGGACAACATTTCTGTACACACTATAACAACTTGAAGGTACAAAATATTTGTCAACATTTATTTAAACTTTATTTACAATAGCAATTGCGTGTTCTCGATTGACAAACAAAGTCATTGTTTAAATATTATGCGTCCCAACCCGCTCTGTTGACAGCAAATACAAACTGTGGCGTAATACCCTATAATTGCTATGGGTAGTTGGATAAAAATGTCGGTACATACACAGCCCGTACAATTACTTCAATCCTTACTCATGCCAGCATACAAGTTTTGTGTCAGTTAAATTGTTTTATCCCCAATGCACTTCCAAGAGCTTGCAAAACCCGTTCGTCGGGTTTTGCAAAAAGTATTGGCAGCATGCGGACCAGTCAGTTACATACTATAGCTTACAGCTGATATCGGAAGTTATTCACCTTTTATTGTACAGCAATTCTGGGCTCCATTTCTTTGATAACAAATAACTGTGGGGCCTGACATACATAGCTCAAGAAGCTAGCAGGAATCCCACAATATGAGTTCGTTTCTTGAGTAGGCACTCGGTTGGAATAACGCCACAACTATCATGACGAAGAAGAAGAAAGAAGAAGAGCGAACTTGATGCTGCAGTTTGTGGGCGTAGTGAAGTTGTTTCGCTAATAATTCTTCTTAGAATAGACGGATTTGGATGATAAGTACTTAATATAAAAGTAGATAACTGGATAGAGATTACTTGTGCAAAGTTTGGTTTATGTAGCTTTTAAAATGTAGACAGTATTAACGAAATTGTGTAGCGGGGGGAGGGGGGGGGAAAATTTCAAAAAATAAAATAAACTCGTACTTTCTCAGACCTAGAAGAATGTGGATACCAATTTTGGTTTTTCCAGCTTTTATAGTTTTTGCGATCCTTGCGTTCATCCATACGGACGGACAGACAAATATAATGACAACGTTATCAGAAAGATTAACTAAAAAAAAATGTTCGTATGTCGAACATATAAAGAGACCATGTGACCACTTCAGCCAAAGGCGTGACAGCCATGACACGAGCCTTACGTAATAACAACGTTATCAGAAAGATTAACTAAAAAAAAATTTCGTTTGTCGAACATATAAAGAGACCATGTGACCACTTCAGCCAAAGGCGTGGCAGCAATGGCTGCCATGGCAGCCTGTCTACTTATTTGGAAATATGTCGTTCACACTGGAAATCGTGATATATGGTACGAGTCTTTGAGAGCGCCGCCCAAAATTTGATCATCAAGCGATCCCCATATACTATACATACATATGCATGTATGTATATACTTCTGGACTAGCAGAGCTGTGCTATTGTTTACTTTATTCCTAACAACTTTTACGTACTCCAAGCAATTTTCCAAGCAAACGCTTCTGTGTTGTTTACTTTTCATATTAAAAACGACAAATAAAATAGCGCACTAAAATGAAGAATTTCATCGTATCAATAAACACAAGTTTTTGGAGCATATAATTTGTATAATAAAGAAATACATACATATGTATATATGCATATTCTTGTACATATAAAAAACAGGGTCTCTCTGCATCTGGCTTTAACAGCATCTTTCCACATCGCTAAAATGTCATAATAAAAATGTCATAATTTAGATGGATGGCCAGAGTTAACGAACATGACTTCATGCTGTTGTGACTTCTTCGAGTTGAGTACGAGCGTAGTATCTGACAAATTTTAGTTATGAACATTGTAGCCGAGCCCGCTGGGCCATTAAATACTCTGTACCCTCGCCAAAAAAACACATTTTGTATGAAAATGTTGGCTTTATGGTCGTAGCTTCCCTTACAGTAAGCCCAACTGCATACAAATTAATATATTTAAAAAAAAAAATGTGATCACAAAGCTTGTAAGCGAATTTCAAAGAAAGCCGAAGCTTTCAAAGAACGCGGGCAGAAGCTTGTGTGTAAATAAAGCAAAAAAAACTATTCAAATTTCGTAGCTCTATTTCCTATGCATAGAGAACAGCTGGTGGGTGAATGGATAGACACGATGGACACATGGGAAAGTCTACCGATTTAGATCTGTGCTTGGAAACAGCTGACGATTTTTAGGAAAATTGCCAAAACAGCTAAACTAACTCCAATTCATTACTTGCCAGCTAACGTGTTAGATCTGATTCGATAAACGCCCTCACAATAAAAAAGAGCCTTCACAATCCAATATACTACAACCCTAAGGCAGATGCTTTCAAATCGAGCCCTGATAATAGACTCCTCTAATTATCATTACTAATGACCATTAATGAGCAGTCCTTCATATATTTTATCGCTTACCGATGATATTTCCTTTTCTTATAAAACCACAATTAACTGCAGATGTCTTCTTTGGCTGTGAGATGAACTTGCGGCAGTTCCTGACAGACTGTGCAAACTTTTATCTCGAAACTGAGAGGCTAATTTCCGGAGCCCGACGTTTATTTTAAAAAAAGCAACACAAACAATTGTCTGGAAACATAATATACTATACACATGAAAGCTGCTGTGTATAACTAAAGTGGATACAATAGATCTGTGCAGTGTGTGTGCATGTGTGTTTGTTTATATATACACATGTACACGTACTTACATATATACTCTTTGTGCACTTCATAAACAATTGCCGGACACACTGCTGACCCAAATGTAGAGCAGAGGCAGCCTTCACAAAGCTTGCGTAGGTACTGGACGCAGGGGCAATGGCAGAGTCAGTGCCCCGTTTTTTCGATGATCTCGAATAATTTAATTAAACACAAGTGTTTACGAGAGATGATGAGCAGAAGCTGCCACTCTCTCGCTCGAGCGAGCAATTTGTAATACTGGTGGGGTTGTACAATTAATTAACAGGGTGCTGGAATATCTGAACAAATTCTATCTCGTATTGCGAGGGCACTAAATCAGTTTAGATTGCGCTGACACATTATCAATTATCATATACACATATACTTGTATATACATATGTACTGAGTATCATTTTCGCTCGTTTGTTTAGGAACCAATCAACCACAGCCCCTATTGAAATATGAGCAGCATACGCCTTTGTCTTTATTGGGCGGAGCTAAAATGAAAAGTAAATACAATAAGTACGAGTATACACAAATAGCAAAATAATGATAAGAAAAAGCAAAGCCAACAATCGGGTAGCTTATGGTTAAGCACATTTCTGTACTTTATCTAGCAGACAGGCCTATTTTGTTTAAGTACCTATTATTTGTTTGTAATTACGACTCGTAAGTCTAATGGCACAATAAATTGATGCAAATTCAGGTACAAGTGTAGTTGGCTGAGGGGCGGAAACGGTGTCTGCCTTATGTCCATGCAAATGAGAATTGAACAGAAGAGGCAAACGGCTCTCAAATACTCGTACATTTGACAGCTAGTCGTGACTGCATTTTCGACAAATCTAAATATTCGTGGACGTGGGGATCCAATGCTGACACAGCTATATCGTTAGCGTAATCAAACATATTCCGTTTCAGTCGAAATTAAAGCCAAGTCGCATGTCGTATTCATAAAAAGTGCTAAGAGTTAAAACAAGCTAATTAAAGTTTTTTAAGCGTAATACTTTTGACTCATAAGAAAGCAGCGGAGAGTCTTGTTGAGTTGCCTTTTTAGGGCATCAGCAAGAGTTCGTGTCTGCCCACGATTGTTAAAATTTTCGAATGTTTTTCGATGATGTCACTCGGCTAAGCGTTGTTTTATTCATAAAATAAAATGTAATCATTTGTCAAATGCATACAGCAGTCAATTTTTAATTATTTAAAACGTCATTAAAACAAAGGAAGTTTTTTGCAACTGCTCCGGGCGTCAATTTCTGCATATTTTCAACCTTGATGCTGACGTTTCAAACTTGTTTTTTTTTCCTGTTGTTGCTTTTTACGTGGGTCGTAAGGGGGCGATGTTTGCAACTGCGGTTTTATTGATTCATTTAATTTCTAATTAAATCATTTATGAATCACAAGCAACATTCAATTCTTTTACACTTCACACCCTTTTATCACATACAAAAAGCATTACATATTTTTATTGAATTTTCTAATTGCGCCTTTCTCAATTTATGCACTTACACATTAGTTGCACTCTTTTGTTACTTAATATTAATTGCTTTTACAAATTTAAAACGGCTTACACATACAAAATAAATGGTGACCGAACGCCGTTAAAAAACGCCCGAGCTTTCTGCTTTTTCAACTGCAGTGCGACCAATACGAAGCTAAACTAACCTAAAACGAAAGATCGTGCCGAGCATTAGAACTGTTAAATTATCGATTGTTTTATATTTCTTCAACATTCGATGCTTCTCTCACTATCGATTTAGATAAATCGACTGCGAATAGACTGATCCAATATAGAAAGAAACATTAAGTCGAAACGGATATTTAGGATTATTTTATTATTTAGGATTATTCCATCAATGGAACAATTAAACATATGTAAATGTTTACAAGGATAAAGATCGTTACAGCACACTTATAAAAAAAATAAATCAAGCTTTGTCCCACACATTTGAGACTATTGCGTGATAGCTTAATCGATAGTTTAACAGTTCTGCCAAATATGTATTCCGAATATTTGCAAATTTCCAAAGGCTTTTGACTTTACGAAAATTGAAATAGCAGTACATATTAAATTAAATTTGTTAATTGCCGTTATCTCAATGCATTATACACATTTGATGCACTGATTTCTTGCTTGGTATTAATTGCCTTTACAAATTTTAAACAGCTTACACATACAAAACAAATGTCGACCGCTCGTCGTTTAAACACACCAGCGCTTCCCGATATTCCAACTGCAGTGCGAACAATCCGAAGCTAAACTAAGCTAAACCGACGGATCGTGCAAATTTGTATTCCGAATATATCGAGCCACAACATGTTTGAGCTGGACGTTGCAACAAGTTCTATTAATATGACTTTGTAGCCGCAAACTTGGGCATTTGAAAAAATTTTGTAGCATACTTTAGAGCTGCTGAACTCACCTCGGAGCTTAAGTTACCTCGTGGTGTAAAAAGTCAAAACGATCTTGATATACGTTGTTCGTTGTTAGTTTGAAAATAAAGAAGCTTTTGAATTGAATAGAATTGGAATAATATAGTAAATGTGTTTAGAGTCGAATAATTTTTATTTAAAGCCTTATCTGAAAAGTGTTACAGTAAAAATTTAGCATAACTTACTTATAGGTTTTTAATTTATACTGAGACTATTTTAATGATTGCACATTTCCGGCCCAATATTGCTGATATTTATCACAATTCGCATCTGATAACTATATAATGTAGCTGGGATATGGAATTTTGGATGAGTTGCTTGCGTACATGGACACAACGAATATTAATAGGGTGCTGTATCCGCTGATTTTGAATTCAACATTATTTATAAGTAGTTTGTGTATCTAGCAATGGACCTTATAAACGATGTCACCTTAAGTTGAGTAATATGAGTAATACGACTATGAAAACTTAAATATAACAAAATTGCACCTTGTGGTTTGGCAAGAATCGTAAAGTTATTGCACTTGTTCTAATCATCTAACCATCTTAAAATACTTGAAAGTCTTTCTTTCTGCTTGTATTGTATTGCACATCCCTTAAATGAGAACTTAACTTTTTCTAATCATCTTATACAACACAGAGTGTGTTTCTATGCTTTCGGCACCTGATTCCCACATGTCCTCAGCATTAGTTTCCTCATCGGTTTCCGATGAACCACAGCAGGTGCTGTGGCCACGTCTTCGTTCGTCCTCTGAGGAATACGAGGACATGGTGCTACTACTCCCTCGCACATTTAACCCGTTCGAGTGAGAGTGCGAACGAGTTAGAGTCTTATCAGAGTCAGCGTCACTCAGATCAGCGCCCGGATTGGACGTCGCTCTACCGCCTGGTGAGACCATATGTTCCAAGTCCTCGAAGCGTGAGGCATCAAGTATATTACCATTAGGCGTTTCTTCCTCATTCCCACCCTCCGAGTTATCTTCGATGGTATCCACGCGTATTACTTGGCCACGGCCTGCCATCATCTTGAAGTTGTAGCGATCGTAGACATTACGTTTGTAGAGCTCAGTCGAATCGGTGCTCATGTAGCCACTATCTAGTTCGCTGGGACGTACACCAATCCGCTGCTCGTAGTAGCTTAGGCTCGTTGGTGCACCATAGCTGTGCTGCGCCACAGACACTGAACCTGCATCCTCTATAATCGAGGAGATACCCTCGTCTCGATCGAGTGCTTCAAGAAAACTGGTCGGGTTCTTGTTGCCATAGGTGGGCGCTGGGCTTTGATTTGGACTGAATTTGGAAGCGGCCATTGTCACAAATTTGCGCCACGCATTTTTCAAATCCTTGGCCTTTTTGGCTCGATCTTTCAGACCTATGGCTATTTGCATGCCAGCCGTCAGTTGGGCAGGTTCGATCTCGCAGCGATAAACTGTTTGCACGTTGGTTGTGTTGGTTGTCGTGGTGGTTGTGGAACTATTGGATGCACGTTGTGGATAGGCGATGCCCACGGGGACGCCGGCATTGCGGTACATCTCCTTGGTATGCTCGGATAAGTGGCTGCTGCTGCGATTGGACCGAGAGCTCATAGACAGACCATCGAACTGGTTGAGATCTACATCCTTGATTACTTTAGAATTGTTGCTGTTGTTGTTATTAGTACTGCTGCTGAGCTCTGCATCGGAAGAAACGTCTTTTACGTTCTCCATATTGTCCTCCTCTCGTTGTTGCGATTTGCGTCGGTTGAGATACTTTGTAAGGCTATAGTCATTACGCAGGCTGTTAATTTTCTTATTATAGTTGCTATCGTAATCATTTTCGAAGCGCTGCTTTTTATCAGCCAGCGCCTCGAAGTGCTTTTTATGATCCATTGGCTCGGATTTTTGTTTTTGTTTGTCATTTGGGGCCGAGATAGCGCTTGACAGCGTATTATTGCATGAGTTCTCGAACTCTGAGTTCGCCATTGTATCCGAAACTCCAGTTATCTCTGTAATTTCGCTGTGCATACTGAATGTGTCCTCTTCCTGATTACTCAGTTTTGTCTCGCAATTTTGATACTGACGCTCGTTTTGGTAGTGTAACTGACGTTCCAGCGTTTCGGATTGTGATGCCGGTTTCGGGGGTGGTGGAGGCAGGGGTCGTTTATTTTGTACCACAGGTCCAGATACCGGTTGATTGGATGCCTGTCGTTGTGCTGGGGGTACATGTTTACCCACTCCATAGATACCTTTGCATGTTGGCGAAGCTTTCAAATCAGTTGCTGACTCCCTCTGCGGCTTCAGGCTTTCCTTTTCTGCATTTGATTCGCCCGAAGAAGAAATCCGAATAGTTGTTTTATTGGAATTGGCTCTGGCAACACTTACAACAGACAAAGTTGGGGATCTTTGTGTGCACCGCTGTCTGCGAGAGTGTTTTGCTTCTAATGTCAAGATGCGGCCCTCACTATCGTAAGTCTGCTCAGTGGCTTTAACCTTCCTCGGCGAACCCTCACATGTGCAGTTTGCATGCACGGCCAACGGTGATTCGTATATTTCACGTAAATTTCGGAAAGAGTTGCTTGATCTTAAAATGAACGATGCCGTTCGCTGTTTGCTTGAGACTGGTGTAGGGCTCGTCTGTCGACTCAAGTCCGGTAGCGAGTTGATCTGATTGTAATCTGATTCGACATACGTTTCACTCACGCCCTTGCGACTATGATTATCCCACGCAGCTATGTCACAAAAGCTCTGCTTCTTCGGCTTCCGGTCCAGTGTGTCTGGCTCGAACTGATCACTGTCTGTGCGCTCGAGGTCAGATGGGGGCTCGTGCTCAACCTCAATGGTCATGCTGCCGCGAAACGGGGTATCGTATTTGATACGTGCAGCCATCTCCTTGTTTTTTTGGGCGGCATGAGCGTTCTTGCTAACTACACGCTTTTTTAGTTCGCCATCCTTTCGAAAGCCGTTTACACGATCGTACACAGCATGGCTAATTTCCATCTCTTCTTCTAAGGGTAGCGCTGTGCTCAAGCTAGGACTCAGCTGCGAACTGACATCTGAAGATGGCGAGGACGAAGAGTGTGAACTCTTTCGTTTTGGTGGCTCCAAGCGCTCTAAGCTGTCCGTTTCGTAGTCAACAATTAAGTATTGTGGCGACTTCCGCCTGTAGATGGGCGAGTCCGGCTGAAACTGCTTGAGCGATTTGCGACTGAGGGAGCTATAGTCTGGCGTTGGCACTGATGGTATACTACTCTGGGTGCTGCTGTAGATCTCCTTGATCTTCTTCTCAATAGTGCTGTCATAGTCTGGCGTGGGGATGTCTAGGGGAAAGTTGCCTAGCGTAGTTATTCGAGTCGTATACTCGTGCTTAAGTGAGTCATATAAGATTTCTGGCTTCATGTTTCTCAACATATTATAGTGCTGGCGATCGAATGAGTTGAGTGAGGTGGGCGTCGAGGTGGCAGCAAACTGATCAAGGACATCACCACGCTTTCGAGAGGACTTCGAGCGAGTTGAGGATCCTTGACTTCGGAGCGAGGGAGTGGGCGAGTCCATAAGAATGAATTTCGGGTTGTTGTAGATCTCGCCGCCGGCAAAACCATATACATTAGCAGCTGCCGAGTAGCTTGAGAAACTCTCACTTGATGCTGGTAATTTTGGGTGTTTCGTATCGGGTGTCTTAACACAACGCTGCTGAGCTACTTCTGTTTTGCTATTTGAGGATTGTTGATTATTTGGCCTGGAATTCTGCTGGTCTTGATCCTGTCTGGCTTTTGACATTGGTGGCGGAGGGGGACGTTCCTTTGGCGGCGATATATCCTTGCGTGGAGAGCCTCTATTGGCGCCATTACCCTTCATAGGCGAGCGCGTGGGCTCAGGCCGGTCTAGAGTCTTCTGGGACTGAGAAGATTCTGTATTGGGCACGCTCTGCAACCATTTCTCAATGCTATTACGCTTGTCGCCCAAATTCTTGGCCTGTAAGTTTTTCTGCAACGGCACGTTGTACATTTGGCCAGCATTGGTGTCCAATGGTGCCTCCTCTGGTATTATGTTAAGCGACGGCTGATAGCGTTTCGCAGCCATTTTATATTTGGCAATGGCGATAACTTCACGTATCTTTTGAAGAAACTCTACAGCGGCTTGGGGTGGCTCCTAAAAAGTTTCATCATTAAATCACTGAACAATAGAAAATGTTACTTTTTCGGTTAAACTTACGGCCAACAAATGAGGCTCGAAGTAGGCCGGATTGAAATACAACTTTTTGCGTACGTTGCCATTAACCATGGCACGCAGACTCTCCAGTTTCTCTTCAGTCATCATGTCCTCGATTACGGCTACATTTTCAGCAGGAAGACACTCGTTCTCCTGCATAAAATCTTCCGTTTCCATGGATGCCTTCTCCGCGCCATTGCTGCCCTTCGGTGATCTATTGGTCATGTTCAGCTGTGGATGAACCAAGACCGATGTCTGCAAGCAGACAAAACATAATTGTGATAAGTTTATAAAAAAGATTATTAATAAACAAATTATTTCTTTCACAAATTAAGATATTTCCTAACATCTAAGAATGATTTTCTTTACTATGTAATATATAAAGGTATACCTTTATTTTATCATCCATTTCGCATTCGGAGTTCGAATTGGATATGTCGCTGGCGAATCCTGAGTTAATGTCGCGCTCACTTAGCTGGGGAAAATGTTGGAGCAGTGGATTGTTTTTCACAATGCCAAGGTCTTCCTTCAGACTGCCAATGTTGGTGCGGGCGTTAGAGTCGTTGCCACGCCCCAGGCTATTGGTGGAGTATATGCTGCCCACGCGGCTGAATGGTGCACCATAGGTGACCTGATCATTTTTAGGATAGTTGATGTCATTGCCCAAATTATCGAGCGAGTTGCGGGAATTGTGTCGACCACGACTCTTGCGCTTCTTCATGAACAGGTAGAGGAAGACTGAGGCGACGTAGATGAGGCCAAGCAGCAAGCTGCATATGCCAATGACCACATACTCCCTCATGGTCATGCCTTCCGATATGGAAGCCAGTGTGGTCGAGTTGGCCGGTTGAAAGAAAACCTCTGGTACGTCTAAAGCAGAGCATTGTAATTAAGAGCACTCGGGCTATGACATCTCACTTACTATGGGTGTGCTTCACCGGACTGCCATTGACCCGAAAAGCCACGCAAGGCGAGTGCACATTCTTTGGCAGCATCAGTTGCTCTGAGAGGCGCATACGAGGGGTAATTATATATAAAACGAACTGAATAGTGCTTGCTTCACTCACCTTTCTGGCTCACATTTAATGCCACAGTCATGTCGCGGCACACCAAATGCACGACTATGAGGCGGCCCTGCATCTTCTGGCGTAGCTCCGCTTCGCCCAGCCACTGTAAGAAGCTGCGTCCCTCATCGCGAAACATGCGAAACGGATAATCCGTGTCGATGGGATTGCGCAAGTCTGACCAGCCATTCGAGCTCAAATACTGGGCCCCAGTGACTGCGCAAACCGGCGTATGAATATCTGAGAGCAGCACGTGTTTTATAAATATGCAATCAGAGGGGCGGGAAATGTGTCTGTGTCTATATGAACTACATTTCCGGTTGGTTACTTACTGGGAAAACTGATTTCTCTGCTGGGGTATATGATTTGTCCACGCAATGGCAAAAACACAAATGGTATTTTCTCTGATGATGAGCCGCTGACAAATGGCGAAAGAGAGCATTCTGCGAAGGCAAAAAGCAAATGCGTCAAATGAGAAAGTTCAAAGCATAATGGGCCATGGAGTGTTTTCATTTGGCTCATGATAACATCATCTGCTAGCATAAAGCTATCAATTTCGTCACTACAAATTGTCCAGCACCAGACGCACAAACAATTCTCCATTGTGAAGATCTGGCGATATTTGTTTTATTTTCCAAAACTCTTACTTTCAATTTGCAGTGTTTTTGTTTCGAGACCAGCGAAAGTTGACTGAAACATTTTCTTTTCTATAAAATGTTCGCCACTAAAATGTTCAATAATAACATTTTTTACCCATACGTCAAATGCCAAATGGCTGTTAGTTTTTGCCTTTGGTTTGCGTCACGTTGCGAGGCAGATATTTTCATTTTCATTGCCGCTGTTCTGCGAGATATGCCAGCCAACCAACCTACCAGCCAAGTCTATCAACCAGCCCGCCAGTCAGCCAGTCAGCCAACTAGTCAACGGGCTCACAGCCCTATACAATTTTGTTATTACAGCATTTCTTTTTTTTCCATCGCGTAGTTGAGCAACTATTGTGGTTGTACGAGTGTGTTTTTTTTCCACACTATTCCAAACTCTTCAATGTTTTGACGCGAATATTGCAGTTCGCATACGATACATTCATAAGACCCCCAGACAGACCCCCTGAGCGAACGGACTAACAACAATGCTCGGCAAAAATGCCGTTGACTCCCATAGGTGAGAAAGGTTCCCAGACCCAAATGAAATGGAGCACATTTTTGGTATGAACTAGCTGCCTGCCTGCCAACCCGTAGCGGCAATTACTTGTGGCAGCAATCACTTCCGCGACATTTTCGTATACCTCTCAATGGTACTTGACGTGCTGCTGTCAAAATTTATTTGGATGCATGCAACAGAGCCACTGTCTCATCAAATGACTAAAACCTACCATGAATATCATCCACGCATATGCCCAAATCCTCCCGATAGGCTCGCAAATATGGCAGACAGCGGCAGGTGCAGGCTTCCTCATTCCCCAGCTCGCTGCCATGCGCAGACGCAGCCGCCGCTGCCGCTGCCGCATATTTCTGTTGCAACTTCAGACGACGCGTTAGCAGTTCTAGTTGGCCGTTGCTGCCGCCGGCTAACGATCCAGCCACCGATACCTGACCCGAGCCATCTAGACAAAAATAAAAAAGCAAATAGACAAACAGACAATGGTAAAGAACATGCGAAATTAATTCAAACAGAAAACAATTTTCCATATTTAAAGACGCGCTCAATTACCGTTTCCATCCGCGCCCAGGCGCACGAGTCCCGCTGTGCCGCTGGATAGTCCGATGCAGGTGTCCGCGTTGCAAGTGCTGATGCCTGTTGAGTAGGGTAGACAGGGGAGAAGCATTATATACTGATTTGGGCCGTCAAAACAGAGCTTGGCATAAAAAGTGAGGAGAAGACACTTACTTCTTAAAAGCTTACCAGCAATACTCTCTAGGCTTCATTTTGAAGCCAGTTGTATTTATTTTTCATACTTGTCTTGTGATGCTATGCGATTTACATATTTTCAACGGAAGAAAGCTATTTTTTTCTTTAGAAAGAACATTCTTCGGAGACAGATATAAGTTAATTAAGTTGTGATTAAAATCAGAAATCAACATCTAATTCAGATTGACAAAATAAACAATTTATAATGAGTGAATAATTAAATTCTATGACAATATTTATGTTTATTTATATGAAGCCTGCCTATGAAACATTTAAAGGCAAGTTTAAAATTCAAAAGCTTAATGGTAAAGTTAAAAAGGATATTACAGAATTGATTGCGATCAAAAAGTCATGGAATCAGATAATAAATGCTGCCGTATGGATACATACTTGTATAGAGAAATAATAATTAGACGATCATTTCATGTCACAACATTACTTCTCGTTTATAGACTTAAGTATGACTAAACCTATTAGATATGTGTATATGCACTTGTATCGAAACCGATCACAATTCCATTCAGTTCGGTCGTAAGTTGCAGGGGATTGTAAAGAAAAATAAGAAACTGTACTTTCTACCATATGTAAGTATATGCGCTTTCGCTCTGCACATTACAAACTTCCATAAAGAATTCATAATACCATTTGCCAAAGGGTATGCAATTTATAAGAAAAAAACTCGTTTCTCTCTACATGGCTGGCCAGGCACTTGGTGCTCCTCACGCGGATTGACACGCCTGCTACTAGCCTCAGCCATGAACTGACCACCACCATCACCATCACCACCACCTGCACCGCCACTGCCACTGCCACCTTCTGAACTCTTCAACTAATAAGCTCTCCTTACTTAAAATTAATGCGCTGTCCAAGCTGGCCACGTACGAGTTAACATGCCACACGCCAGCTGACTGGGCTACTCACCGCTTGTACGGAAGATATCACCGTCGTGATGCCTTGTCAGATTGATTAGTTGTCCGTTAGGCTGCTGCAGATCCTCTAACAGTAAATTGGCGCTTCGCGTTAGCATTAAATCGTCAAGATAGTTTCTCTTATTGTCGCTGTCGTTGTCGCCTTCACGATCGCTGTGGTTGTTGCTTTCGTTGCGGCTAGATGGCTCCTTTTTATCCGTTGCTGATGATGCACTCTTGGCCGCATACAATGCCGCACTTGCGGCAGCCAACGAGGTGGCGCCAATGACCTCTCCCGTTGTTGTGGGCGTAGTGTAGTGTGTTGTTGTCGTTGTTGTTGTTGTTTTTGTTGTTGTTGCTGCTGCCGATTGTCTGTGGGGCGTGGGTGATGCTGTGCAATGCAGCGGCAACAACAGTGGCAACAGCAACAGCAGCGGCAAGCAGAGGGGTATGGAATTGCCAACGGTTTTGTGCCACATATTAAAAGCAACATTGCTAATGCATAGGCTGGCTGTTGTTGTTATGCTGTTGTTGTTGTTGTTGTTGCTTTTATTTCTTGTCTTGCAGTTGGCCGCACAAATTGAGTTATAAGTATGTATTTTTATGATGTTGCTGCCACTAAAACGATCAAGAAGACGAAAAGAGAGAGAGAGAGAGAGAAATATCATTATAAGCGATAAATGCCATAAACTTGGCCATAATCATGTTTCGGTGTTGCGTGGAGAAACCTCCGACTAATTAAAACAAATCCTAATGCAACAAAATACGCATATCAAAGCAAAAAAAAAAAAAAAAAAAAAGCAGACAAAGTATAACTAAGGTAAACAAAATCTAAAGATTTCCCCACTGGCGACTGTCCGCGACCACTTTAGGTGACATTCTTTGAGCGGCAGTCGTAAGCTGTAATGAGGCAGAAATAGTTTGACTTGCTGTGGTTGTTGTTGTAGTTGTTGCTGTTGTCCGTTTTTGTAAATGGAGCAGCATCTACGGCAACGCTTTGGCCATTGAGTCGTTAAGTGGCACCAACTAACGGACAACATTTAAAACAAATGTTGCAATTAAAACTCGTTCTGCGCTCAAATATATACTTATAAAAAGTCTGAGGCGTAGAATTATGCAGTAAACAGCTGGGCTGGAGTGCCAGCAACAAGAACAACAACAAGAACAACAGCTAGCGACATTAACACCAACAAAGCTCTGCATTTTCAACCTCCATGCAATTCCCGTGCGTTAGAATCGGTGCTCGACTCCACTTTCAATGTGTATTTGAAAGCAACTGTTTGCTGTTAGTGTGTGTTGTACCGTTACAAATGTGCACCATAATACTTATAATATGCAGTATGTATGCATGTATCTGTGTTCTGCTTGCTTAATCTACATACACAAATACACAGAAAACCCACACACTCGTACACACGCATGCATATGTATGTACTTGTACATATGTATTTGTTTATACCGCTAATCAGTTGCATTTTAGCAGGTTTCTAAACACGATAAACAACAGAGCTTAGACTAAAGCAACAAGACTAAACAAGCTGTCTGCCCCATCTATTGCTACTTAGACCCACCAGCCAGCTACAGATTCCACAAAGTGACGGAAAATGTTTGTAATTTACATAAATATTTCACACAAAACCTATTGGGGACTTCTAACTGTTCTTAACTTATTTTTGGTGTTTGTGCTTTTCAAAAGAAGAACAGCAATGGCAACAACTTGGCCCAATCATAATGTCCAAGAATGAGAAGAAAGCGATAACAGCAACAGTTGCGGCCTAATTTGAAAGTAAAATTTCTACCAAAAATCTTCGCCGCTCTTTTATACAGTCTTTTGATTGAACACTCAAGTCCATCAGTCGGCATCAGTTGATTGCTCGACGCGCGCAACGCAGACATCTACAGTTATAGCTCTTCAAATACAATATATTATTTGTTGCTGATGTTGTTGATTTGTTTACGGCTTTGTATCGCTTGCCAGCCACCACTTGCCACACATTTCCATGCATTTCCATTTTGAAACAATTTAATAGTAGGTAATGACCTGGTTTTTGGGTTAAACAATAACTGCGGCTTTTCTGCTGCAACAGCATCAACAGCAGCCCCAACAGCTCTGCCTCGAGCCCGTGTGAGATTGGCTCAGTACAGTTGATGGTGCAAGTATGTGGACAAGGGTTTGCATTCAAAACTGATTAATTACAAAATTATAATTTTGTTCATAGTGTGATAATATCATCGAATTAATGGGAAATTAAATTAAATTAATTAATGTGAAAGAGTGATTGCATGAATCCTTAGACTCAAATATACTTAACTCATACTTAATTTTTGAAATATTTTATGTAATATAGTATGTATGTATCAGCTAACAATTTCTTCAAAATTTTGTTTCATTCTTTAATTAAATACTTTTTAGAAAAACTGCTATTTAGAAGAATTTCTACTACAAGAGAAATAAAAGAATATAAATCAGCAAATATTTAAGAACAAATTACTTTTAATATATTATTAATTACAATATTGAACTATTTTTTATTACTTTTACAAAATAATTATTACAAAATAACTATTACTATTTATTCTCTGTTTTTGAATTAATAACGAATTTTTCGATTTAGTTTTTATAGCATTCGAATAAGATGTAAATAAGACTAATTTAATTGGGGACAAATAAGCCGACAAATAAAAGTATTGCTATTTAATGTAAAGAAAAAGATATTCATCGATAATTAAACTTGTTGGCATTTTATAGTAAATTCTAATGTTATGGATAATTCGAAGTGCTTATATATAGAATTTTGTTTTCGTATATCTAATGTTATCTTTTGTTTTGCTGCTTCTTTGAATTTCTCTGTTTCTCTTATTTGTTTGTTAGTTTTTATTCGTTCTTCTGTCCTTAATCCAAAAGTGTAAGTAAAAGTGTAATGCTTGTAACACCAAGAATAATAAGTTGTGTATTATGTTATCATGTCTGTTCTTCCGCCTTTGCAATAAAGCTTATCTTTAACAGCACAGGTAATGTATTGAGATCTATTACTCTAAGTTCTATGTAAGATCGCTGCGAACGTAATGTTAAATAAAATACAAAACAAACTGCACATTAAAACTATTTTCGCAAACACCTGAACATAAAAAGAGATGAAACTAAATCTTAAAATTATATGTTTATACATGTACATACAAGTATGTATGACATGTACATGACATGATAGATATGTTCCCCTCCTTCCTCATATTAATTCTTATTTAGAAGTTGTGCTGCGTATAAGATAAGATTTGCTAATCGTTCCCCCTAAACATAATAATAATATTATTATTGGGTTGAGCGAACTAACAAAGTTCCCAGCACTTTTTAGAAAGTCTTGTAGTTTGTGCGAAATAAAATAGTAATAACAAAAGTGGCAACAGGTTTAGGTTTTCTTCCCTTTTTGCATTTTCAATTTCATTCTCCATAAATTGACAAAAGGCATAGCGAACAAATAGTAATTGGCAGAATACTTATGCCATATAGTGTGCTTTGCTGCTGTGGCAAAGTATCGTGAAGTAATGGGCAAACGTCAAATAAAAATTTCAGTAAGATGCAGCAGAAATAATTATTTCGTCACCCTTGCAGCTTGATTGCAAAGTTACAACAAAAAAGTGGATTTTAGTGGCAGAGTTAATGTAAAAATTTGTTTCACCTGCGAAACGGTACTTCGCGTCGACTCTAAATTGGCTATCGCAGCTGGGATCAAAGAAGGTTCTGCATTTGGCTAAATTCAATTAACAGGTAATTGAACTCTTTTTGCACACAAACAGACAGGCAGTAAATAGCGTGTTCGCATATAAAACATACGTACACATAGTACATACATAGATATGGGCATGTGCAGCTACTTATTAACATTTTAAATTTTCATTAATTATTAGGCAACACGAGAGCTATACTAGCGCTCCATCCCCAACTCGATGGCGTGTGCATTGTTCTAAGTCTGTGCGCATAAATTGTCTGATGAAAAACAGAAAAAAAACTGAAAAAACTGAAAAAACGGAAAAAAATTAAATTACCACAACGCATTGTAACCTGTGAGCGCCAATGGCGGGCATTCACATGCACGCACCCCTCCCCCTCCTCCAGCTGCTCTGCTCTGAGGCTAGCCTTTACACAAGTAGATACAGATATGGCAGAACTGTATGGTGGGCTCGCTATTGTATTATCGCTGCAACCACTGCATATGGCCACAAGTACACTTCCGACTCCGACTCCAACTGCAACTCTAACTCTGACTCTGACTCCGACTCCAGTCGAGTGCAGTCGACGTCACACTCGGCAGAGTTCTAACACTTAGAAGGTACGGGCACGGCATGTGCTCGTATGGATTGGCGTGGCAGCCACCAAACATAATAACAAATTTGAAAATTTATTCCATTATGGGGCTGGCGTCGTAGTCGTTGGTCCATTGTGTGGCCACAAGAGCGCATCATTTGCTCGCCACTTAAATCTACTTTAATATGTATTTGCGCTTATGCTTTTTAGCTTTTAGTTATTGCTGTTATTATAGAAGAAGGGCTACACACAAACACCTTTGATTTTATGTATGTGTGTGTGTCTGTGTTTGTGTCTGTGTCTGTGTGGTAGCAACGGTTCAAAATGGTTGTTAAAGCTTCAAATTAAGATCTAAGAGAAGCAAAATTACGACAGTGCACTGAACGCTGGACTGAACGCTTCAGTCCAGTGGCCATAGCAACGAACTCTAAACACCCGGGCCTATGCAAAGCTGTTTTTTTTTTTTTTTGTGATTTTTCAGACCCAATGGTGTTTTCCTTTCTTTGTTTTTTTTTGTTTTTTTTTTTTTGGAGCACTTTGCCTGTACTTGACCAAATTACTTTCACCTCACAGATCTTCATTTGCAGCGCCTTGCCACATGCTGCATGCCTGCCCAGTGACCTAAACTCAATGGTCTAATAAGTTTAATTTCATTTAAATGCGAGCAGCAAGGGCAACCCCAAAACCCAAAACCAAAACTCGCTAGACCCTTGGCCAATTGGGAAATGGAAGTGCGAATTTCCGGCTTGGGGCAAAACTTATTCTGTAGTTGTTGCACTTACTTAGCACAGTTGTTGCCACTGGGAAGAGGGCCGAGTGCTGCAGGTTCAGGTTGCTAGTCTCACTTTAATTAACACAAATACTAAGTATATAAACAAAAAACCAACACACAATGCATTTCGTTTGTAACACTTTTTGTTGGTTAAATGTGCTGGTTCCATTCAAAACTTGGACTTTTTGTTCACACTTCAGTTGCAATTTGGCATTCGTTGCTAAGTATTCTCACACATTTCAATTTCTTTTTGCATATTTCACAAATTTTTCATATCTTTTTTCGCCACACATTTTTCGAAAACACTTCGTGCCAAACACATTTTCAAAAAACTGTTTTGCAAAGAAAGCTTAAGCTTAACGAAAGGCAGACCAGGCAGCCCAGGCAGCGATGGAGTGTTTATTTTTTTCCCCCTCTGTTTTTCTTTCTCGACCGCTTTTACGTCTATCAAGGTCGCCGTCGTCAGATCGACTGCTCGGAAACTCTACGATACTCAAAACATCAAGCGCCGGAGCTCTTCGTCGTCATCGTCGTCGTCATCGTCGTCGTCGTCCGTCGTACGGAGCTGACTCGCTGGCGAAGGCGAAAATTGCGCGTCTGGCTGGATTTACTCTTAAACGAGTTTATCTTTTGTTTTTTTTCTTGAGGTTGTCGACGACGCATGCGCAAAAGGCCTAGCTGAACGCTCTTATACCTCAAAACAATAAGCTGGGCTTTGACAATGCTTAAACAGCCGAAGAGAAAAAACTAACGCTATAATAAAAAACAATTAAAAACTGTTCGTTCTACTCTTTCGATGACAGGTCCATGTGCGTGCCAGAGTCGCTATACGTGTGTATATATTTATAGTATGTTGTATCTGATGTTGCAATACCGTTCAGTTAAGGCGGCATATCAGAACATGGAAAAATCGGAACTTCGCGTGCGTGAGCTGTGCACCAGTAACGGCAAATTGAAAAGAGAAAATGCCGCAGTTCGGATTTCCCAGCTAGCTGACACTCTGCAGGGCGGTCGAGACGATCGATAAAGATATAACAACCTGTCTGCTCTACAGATTTACAGCTCATGTAACAAATATAGTAGAAGGCCTATAAGACGCTTGCTGTATTCGCTCTGCTCCAGTTTTTGTTTCTGTTTTTTTTTTTTTTTGGTTAATAGGAGTTCGTTTTAACCTCAGCTTTGAATTAGTTTAGCCTGTCATTTGTTCAGCTTAAATGTGTACTCTAATTTGCCCATTTTAGTCACACTCAGCTGCAGTTGCAGCATAAAATTGTATGCTCGGCTTGCGCCTCGAATTGTTGCAATTAACTAGAACAAGTGAAAACTTTCCAACTTGAGTCAGGTCTGTCTTTGGCAGTCAGTAGTCGATCGGCACCTGTCTTGCCATATCTTTGCTGCATGGTGCCTATTGGCCAATACTTGTACAATAAATAAATTTGCTGCGACAAAGTTATGAGCCCCGTTGCTTAAAATTACACACGCACTCACACGCTCTCGCGCCCGATTTGTTTGACATAAGCGAGTTATAGTTATAGCATACATATATGGCGGACACTCGCGAACACGCCAAAAACAATTACACAAACTGGTTCCAATTAAAAACAGTTAAGTAGTCGGCTGGAGCGCTCAAAAAAAAATATACTATATAGAAAAATTGGCATCTTTCAAACGTGCCGGAGTTGCAGCTCTTTGCTCACTCGACGCACACACAAGCCAATAATTATGTTTTAGTTTTAGTGGCGACGCTACAAATGCATACTTACAGCTACACTGCAAAAAACAAAAAGACACTTAGTCGGGGAGGTTATCAACGCTCGTGTCATATTTATTTCGAGAGGATTATATTTTAATGCATTAACTTTTTCAAAACATTTCAGCTATCGTTTAAAATTGAGAAATCAATTAACAACTAATACAGATTATTTCAAATTACAAATTTTAAAATGCTTAATATAAAAAAAGGGTCAAATGGGTCTTAGGTAAGAATTTGAGTTTTTTAATCAGAGTCGAATTTTAATTGACTTAATAAATTAATCACTTAAGTCTTTCCCAAATATTTGTTTATTAACACAAATTTTTCAATTTTTCGAGTTAAAAATATCACAATAAAAACATTTAAAATTATGCATTTTTGAAATTCCATTAACACTTAATTTCTAATTAAACCAAATTGTGTTTCAAAAGTTCTCGTCGTTTGAACATGAGGAGCTTATCACGCCTCCTTCCATCTATTGCATACTTTTGGAAGCTTCGCCTTCTCGAATAGTTTTTATATTTAAATATTGGTATTTCCGTATCAGTTTGACATCTTTTTTGTTCTCTGTGCATATTAGCTGCGTTTACAGTTCGAATGGCTCGCTGCATCTTGCCGGCTGTCTTTTAGAAAGTCCCTCCAACATACCCGAACATAACATTTATACCGGCTTTGTGTGACATTCTGTGTTGGTTATTCAGTTTTTATGACCGAGTGAAAGAAGTTTGTTTATTTTAATTTTGCTTTTTAGTTTTATGCTTATGCATGAATTAGTTTTGTGTCTCCGTAACGGTACCGTTTAAATCAATGCTTCTATGTCTATAAGTAAATACACGTATCGCAAGATTACTTATAAATATGCGTACATTTTTGGCCACTGGGGCGACTATATGCCTAATGCCTACACACGATTACCCGCGTATCTGCTGCACTTCCCATAAACATGGCCCATAAATCTTTAGCTGGAAAAAATGAAACAGCGAAGAGAAGCCATTGGCAGACTTATGCAAACTATGGGCACATGTCCAGCCTGCCAATGTCGACGCAATCCGATACCAGCCTCTAAGCAAACCAGTTCATGTTTGGGATGCCGCCAGTGCTCCTTCCGATCCATGTTCACAGTTACTGGCTCGTTATAGTTGTTGATGTTGTTTGTGTTGGTTTTATTGCTCCATGCACTGCGGTTGTTCGACCTGTTGTCTGCCTCTACAAACTTGCAATTGTATTCATAAATAATGCCTGAAAAATGTTTGCATTGCCATGATATTTCTGTGGTCGGCACTCGCACACTTATTATCAATTGCGCATGGGGCGCATGGGGCGCATGCGCGACCGCAATGGAACATAAAAAAGTACTTATAGAAGTGGTACAGACGTGCGGAATCTGCTCCTGCTCCTGACCATAACGGTTGCGAGTGTTACTAGCTGGGGCATCAGCATATGACAACAGTATGATTAGGTCGCATGGTAGGCCTTGTGCCACATGGCCCCCGGGCAGATGGTCCCTGCCAACAACTTCATTATTTACCAATCGAAGGGGACGGAAGCTGGACTCGTCTCTGGCAACCGCATTTGGTCAACACTGATTGACAGCAAACAAGCTAAATGCATTTCAATTAAACGCTAACCGCTACAAATATTCGCATTTGTGTGCCGCTCAGGTGTGCTCGCTTACTACCGCCTTTTTTCGTCGTTTCACAGTGGCTCCCATTGCTAGAAACTGTTGACAAAAATCGAGTGAGTTCAACTGAACTCTAATTATTAACTATTCCTATCTTCCAGATCCGCAGAAAACATCTTCATATCAGCTTATAAGTATAAAAAACGTATTTGCCTAAATAATAATATTTACTTTTAGGTTTAATAAAAGATAATACCTCTTGGATAAATTTCATGGGCCTATTAAGTGTTGTAGCAAAATATTCGAACAAAAGTTTTGTTTACTATAGTATAGCGAATTAAAAAAGTACATAGAATAGTCAGCAACAATTGTTATTTCTTCAAAAGATATTCACAGCTCCATGTTAAACGTCCACAAACATTTTATAAATTAGGAAACATTTTTTGATCGTAGAAGATAGCTATATTTATTTATACAAAACAATTCAGGTAATACTAAACAACTTGATTTTACTTGTCAGCTATAATATATTTGTTTGAGGTATAACTTTAAATAATTTATAATTATCAAGCGCACATTTTCGTTGCAATAAATGAAGAATTTCAAATTATGTTACATTTCACACCAAAATATAGATATTATTGGGCTTAGATTTATGTTTAGGGTATACCCATAAGTGAAAAAATAAATTCTCAAGCAGAAGCAAAGTGGCTTGTGATGTATTAAGGCTTAACAATTATTTTTTGTTTTGTTATGTAAATGATGTTTAGAAATTGTTTATTTTTGACAGCGCCCATTGTTCATGTCGTGCGATCCACTGTGCGTTCTAAACGCTCGATGCTAGCGATTGGAACTCGCCTTCGGAAAACAATTCGCAGCGGTCACCTCATCAGTATGCTGTATAAATTAGAGCATCAAACGGCGCTTTGCAAACTCGGAACTGGTCTATACTGTTATTGGCCGTCGCAACAGATGCAAGCGCGTCCGTTGGCCACAACATCTGTACACATATATATAAATATATAAATGTATGTTTCTATGTATGTGTGTTTGTGTCTAAGCTTGTTGCATTGTACTGTGCGTTTTTGAAGAGTTCAGGCCGCTGCAGAAAACAACTTGCGATTGCAGCACCGATCAGGCAGGTAATCTGCATAACGAAATGCTATACTTGTATATTGTATGCATATGTTGCACTTAAATTGTCAATTTGTTTTAATGTCTGTACCATTATAAGGCGATTATATTGTTAAGCATGGTCAATGCTAAATAAAACACTCCATTTAAGACACGCTCTCCAGTCAACAGCCGACGGGTGACTATTATGCCATCGGCCGTACAACAAATACTTTAGTGCGAGTATTTTAAAGATACTTGTAGTATTAGAATAATCATAGAACCAAATTCTTTGGCGCGTGCTATCCCCTACGGTTAAGAAATAGCATACATAACCAAAGTGTTTAACGGTGCTCTCCTTTTTACGATATTCAGCTAGATATTAGTTAGTTATTTATAAATCACATTTGATTGATAAATGTTTCGAATTTTACTGAATAGAAGATAATTTCTATTTAAGCATAATTATTTAATACTATTTCACGGAACTTTAAGTTAATACTTATGCTACCAAATGTTAATTTAAAAAAAGAGTATTTTGTATAGATTATAAAAATAAATATTTGTTATAAACTAAATTTTGAAATATAATTAAAGCTCAAAATATATTTTCTGATACCGGATCGCAGTTTAATTATCGTCATTTAATGATGTCTACACATGTTTACACATATTACTTAAGATAGTTCTCGTTCATAAAGAATTGAAGACCTGTAAAGTGTATGAGATGGCTCGGTACTCCTCCCTGAGTCACATTTTTTCTGAAATAATATATCAGTCAACAGTCCCTTGAGAGTTTCTCTTCGATGTCATCATGTTTCATTGTTAATTGCGAATTTAGGCCTCGTAGTCTGCAAAGACACAGTTTTGAATAAATTTAGCAAATTCTTTCATTGCAGATACGAACACAAGCAAAGTCTTATAAAATTTATAAAATGTGGGAGCAACTTTTCTGTCAAATTTTGATTCTATGAATAGATGTTTATTGGAATAAAAGAAAAATGTTTACCTAAATCAATTTTCATACGCTTTGCTGTTAAAATATAAAATATATTAGTCAAGGTTACAATGCATAAATTATTTGTATTATAATTAAAGAAGAGTAAATTGTGTGTATTTGTAAATGAATACCCTCAATATTTGTCTAAGAAAAAGTACAATAATGTCTCCGACATAGAGGTGAAAATTTATTTGGCATCCGGCTAGCTCTCCCAAGATTCACAACCAATTGTGGTCAGTAGTTTTATTAGACATCTTATTTAAACAATAGTATTTTAATTTTAATTAATAGCTAATTTTTATATACTACTTATATATAGTTTCGTCAAGCTTCTAAATTATACGCAAAATACGCTAGGAATTTAGGAATATAATAAAAACCGAATAGATATGCTACATGCAGCTAATCAATCATTCATTTTGGCTGGAAGAGCAACAAAATCTTGATTAGTATTCCCAAACGCCGTTATGCATGCCGCATGCAACAAGTTGTTTAGAAACCTGTATCAATACATCTTATAGGCTATGACGTTAAATAAAAGTGTGCTAGAGAAATTTGAATATTACCAATACTAGTTTCTTTTTTCCTTCTTTCTTTTTGGGATTTATTTACGTGGCCAGTTGCCGGGCAGGTCCCGACTGTTGCAGGAAGCAAACGGCCTTATTAAGACATAACTCTTGCTACACATGGCCGTGTCTCGTTTATGCAAATGGACGCAACATAAATTAATAAAGGTGCTATTTGGTCTGAGGTACATAAATTTAGTGAGTAACTATATTTACAAATACATGGATAGATGGTGGTAAAAAGGTATGAGGTAAGCGGGCGTGCAAAGTTCTGATTGCGAGGCAGGTTGATTGAACTCTTTGGGCAAAATCGGCACATGTGTGTAATTTCTGTTTTGCTATACGCTTCAAAAAATGTGAATAAATAAAACTTAACATGAATTTAGTTGATAAAATTCGTTCATTGTTGTTAATGATGTTGATGATCTAATGGAGTCACGCAAATCCACATGCTCCGCTTATTTATTTCACCATGAGCAGAGAGTTCATTGAACGTATTTACATATATACAAGTATACTAACATATATATAAGTATATAAATTTATTGTCTTATTTAGACGTGTTTCCGTCCTGCATAGCTTTAATAACATACCAATGCAATCGATTTGCAATAAACTAATTGACCTAATAGTAGGCTTGCAGATATTTAATGGAAATCATAGGCCTGCGATTTGTTTGCGTTCTTGAAACGCGTGGACGTTCCCACTTAAAGGTACAATATAAATATTTTAGTCGATTACAAACGAGTATATAAAACTGCAGTTTCGAGATTGGTCTGCAATCCTAAGGTCTAGTTGGAATGGATAGCTACGATTTTATTGCAAATTGGCGCCTGGTAAAAGGACTCTTCGCTGATGCCTGGGCGGTCCTGCGTAACAAAGCTCGTCCCCAGCAACTAATGCTGCATTATCACAGGGCCTTTATGGTGTATGTCTAAAAGTAGTATCTTACTCATACTTGCCAATAATTTAATCATTTTTCTTACAGCATATTGGGCATATATCCAAATAAAAAAATGCTATCGAACGGAGTATATAAGACAGTTCATTACTTCATTTTGTTGAATATAACTCTCTTTCTAATACCGGTTTTGTGCGGCGCCTACGAATGGAATAATGCCATTGATATGGGCGGCGATTTTGTCTGGATAATTGGAGTTAGTTGTGGAGCGTGGAGGCAAGCAAATTTCCTTTTAATTTCCATCTAACTTGCAGATAAGCCTAATACTAACAAAGATGTGGTATGTTCACTTTCGTGCTGATGAAATCGATAATGTTATCAAGAACTTCGACTCTTATTACACGAATGCGCAGTCAAAAACAATCGACCCCATCATCTTGGGTTGGGAGCGTTTTTGTTTTCTCATCGAAATCGGCTTACTCTCAAGCTCTATTGTAATACTGTTGTTCTTTTACTTGGCCATTTGTGTTCCACCACTTTTTACTGACCAAGAGCTGGTTTATCATGCCATCTATCCTTTCGAATGGCATCGCCCTGAAAAGCATCCGACAACGCACATGATCATTTATGTACTTCAGACCATTACTTCATGGCACAATCTGATGTCCATTCTACAGATCGAGCTACTGGGCATACATATTATGTTGCAAACAACTCTGAATCTGAAGATTCTTTGCATTGAAATTCGCAGCTTGGGAGAACTGGAAGGTGGCGATCAAATATTTCACATGAAATTCTGCCGGGTTGTAAAGTTACATCAGCACCTTATACGGTGGATACCTTCTGATATATTTGGCCATTTCTAATTTTCATTTTCTGCAGAACTGTGGAGAAGTGCAATAGTGTTTTCTATGGATCGTTTGTTACCCATCTAATAGCTAGCTTTGCTCTAATATCGGTGTCAACTTTCGAGACCCTTGTAAGCGCAGACGACCCAAAGGAGTCTGCCAAGTTCTTACTATTTGTGATCGTTGCATTCCTGCAGTTATCCTTTTGGTGTGTCACAGGCAATACGGTGTGCGTACAGGTGAGTCTTTCTTTTTAGCTAACTATTAAGTTTAAAATTGTACATTATGTTGCAAAGTCTTTGGAGGTAGCGGAGGCCGCTTTCGATATTAAAGACTGGCACACTAAATCCGTAGATATACAGCGAAATATAATGTTCGTCATACAGCGCGGTCAGCATCCGTTAATTTTTGTTGCCAAACCCTTCTTGCCCTTCACACTGGTTACCTATACAATGGTAAGATTAACATTTTTGTGGCTCAGTTGTTGATTCAATTCCTTTTCCAGGTTCTCAAGCAGTGCTTCAGCATTCTGGCCCTGTTGCGTGAAACCATTTAGAGAAGTTAGTGGCGACACAATCTGGACAATCTCATTATACATAGTTAGCTTACACCCACGTTCGCATATTAGCCAATCTGTGTGTGTGTGTGTGCCTTATTAGAGTTCCGGCGCACCCATGACATGGAAATTTCAACACTCAACAATAGCCAAACAGACCCACACACACCCAGCAGCGACAGGTACAACCTCCAAACAGCAAGTTTCGATAATGCAGATGGTTCTTGGTCGATGGCCGATGGTCGATGGTCGATGGTCACTGGTCGGTGGCAGTCGCGACTTAGCTAGCCTCGAACTTATTCAGACGTGAAACCCAACAAAATAACAAAAATAACAATAAACACATTGTCATGCTTGCAGCAACTGAACAATAAAGAGCGTCGATCGTTTAGCTCGGCATGGACCGAAATGTTCATGCCCTTCACCACTGCCACTTGGCCATACGAGGTCTTTTTTGGCCCCGAACCTAGAATTTGTGCCCATGAAACCGACCGGGCACTGTTACTACGCCCACAGGTGTTGCTGTGCTCAGCCTTTGCGTTCCCATGTACATTGGGGCAGAACCGACGCACACGCACTCACACCTGCGCAAAAATCACCCCCATGGTTAGCACACCCATATCAAGTACCTACCTATAGTATAGTACATATATGTATACGAGTATGTCTCTTTGCCGATGTGTGAGTGCTTTGGCCGGTATTATGTTTTGTCAACTTTTGGTCGCATTGGTGGAGTTTCGTGCTTTACAGCCGCACTGATTAACATTTGAATTGGAAATGTTCGTATTTAGAACTTTGTAGTTGTTGTTGTTGTTGTTGTCTCCACATCTAATTAATTCCTCTTTTTTGTCCATTGTTGCTGTGGAGTTTCATGATTGGCACTGCTGCCCGCACTAATGGTAATGGGCCGCGGTACTGACTGATCCAAATGCAGCCATTACCAGAGTGTGTGTTGGCCCGCAACGCGTTCAGTTTGTCGCAAAATTTTCTAACGATCGGTCAAGTCTGGTCCGGCGTTATCCAGGCGAGTGTAGTTTAGTGATACAGCCTGCAAACAAAAAAATTATATAAATTATCTATCAATTAAACTCAATAAAAATTAATTATCCTTACAACGTTCAAGGTCTGAATAAATGTTTTCTTATTTAATTAATTAACGCAACATTAATATGATAATTTTTTGTTCGGTTAGGTGATTGAAAAACTGTTTTTAAATAAAATAAATAATCCTCACACAAAATAAGCAGATAAATGTAATTGTGTTTGAAATTAATACCACTTTATAGACAACATATAAAAACGATTTGAATTCAAATAAAAATGTAATTTAAAAAATGCCAATAACGTGGAGTTAAAGTTTCCTTGCCTGATATTAATGTGAAGTGATTGCCCTTGCAATAATAATGACTTCTCATTTCATTTTATAAATGGAATAATTATTAGTACCTATTCAAATGTGAATTGCGTATAAAGGATACACACGCTTAAGTTATTGTTAAAAATTTGCAAAGTGCTGATGCGATTTAATATAATATTCTAAAATCTATAAAATAATCAACAGGATTAAAAATGTTTCGACCAAATATTTATTTCACAATAACAGCCATTTGAATCGAGGACAATGCTTTTGTTTAGTTTTATTTCCAAAAAAAATATATGTATGTTGTGTTTATTTTAAACATAAATAGCTCCGCAGACAATAAGCCGGAAGTAACATCCGGAGTTGTGGATCGATAAAAGCAGAACCACTACACACACCATTGTTGTTGGGCTTAGTTTAATGATCAAAATTTACGTTACGCATTGTGCACATTGTGGCTTTGGTGACTATATCTAGTTGGGCGCAGAAATATTTAGCTATTCATGTGGTTTTCCATTTCAAATCTGTCGCCCAGCGACAGGGCAGTGAAATTTCCACAATTGAGGTCATATAGTTTTGTCAGCCTATGGACTAATTTGATCAGCTCAGATAAACAACTAAATGTGTTTTTTTTTTTAATTTTTAGAACACTAGTCTGAAAACACGCGACACATACGTTTTTTTGATGAGGCCGCGCGGTGCCTATAATGCCACGCAAAAGTTAAGATCGGACTTTACAAAAAACCGTGACAGAATGAGAGGAAACCTAAAAATGCGTATAATGCTGGCGATCTTTTTGCTGATCAGTTTCAGCATTAGTACGACAAATGGTAAGGACATACATATAAGTAAACTGAAGGCAACATATAGTATTTTGAAAATACTAGAAAATCGTCCTTAAATTTAGCAAGCAGATTTTTTGTATTATAACGAGTTTTACTGTGTTTCTTTAATTTGGAAAAACATTTGCCCAATTTTATGGGTCTTTTACAATTTCTATGGCAAAACCCATAGTTGTTTTAAAAAACCGACTTTCAAAAAATGGGAAAATTATTTTGCTTACACATTTATAATTTGCAAATGACCCCCACTTGGGGGGTCCTAACTGACACACACAACAGAGGAAAGGCGATGGTAAAACCCACCATGAAATAGATTTTTGAAACTAAAATAAAAATGTGATACAAGAACATGAAGTCCTGTCAGAGTTTTTAGAAAACACGTGTGTACTTTGCAGAAAATATTAAAATTTAAACAAATATTATCCTAATTTCCAGAGCAAAGTTCACTTAATATTAATAAAAAGAACACTTGCTCTCAAATTTGCGGTTAATGGTCTTAGGTTCTATTTGACGCGCCTTTTTAAATTCATGGACGAATTTAGGTTTTTTTTAAATGTAGCTAAGCGAGTATTCAGGCCTAATTTGCCAATTATGCGAAACTAATTCTGCAGCTCAAACGACCTGCAAGAATGGCCTTGGGCGCGTGCTCTACGAAAGACTGCCGAATCAACAGCTACAAGGCTACGACGATGATGTGGTTCGAGACACGGCGCCCCCTTTTCGCGTACTGGAGAAGTGCCAGGATATGTGTCTGCGTGATCGCACTGGTCCCAATAATCTGGTGCGGCATTGCAAGAGCTTCGACTTTCAGCCCGGCAGTCGCATAACCTCGTTTGGCGGCAACTCTGAATACGAGGAATCGTTGTGCTACTTGACTGAGGAGCAGGCCGGACCAGAGGGCATTGGCAGCCTGATGCTGGTCCCAAATAGCGTTCACTTCAACGAGATTTGTTTGACATGTGAGTGTAGGTGTTGAAAGTAGATGTAATAGGTCTAAAATTGCTCTCCGATTGCAGCTAGTCGCCCGGAGCGTGAGTGTCCGAGTCGTCGGTATGTGTTCGAGCGGCATCCGCGGAAGAAACTGAAACTGCCCATAAGCGATATTAAAGAGGTGAGTTGCTCCACAAATTAGGGCATCTCTCACTCAATGTGCTATAACACTTCACTAGATAACCGCCGCAAATCGTTCAGACTGTGAGGATAAATGCCTGAACGAGTTCTCATTTGTTTGCCGCTCAGCCAATTTTGATTCGACGATGCGTTCATGCACGCTCAGTAGATTTACGAGGCGCACGCATCCAGAGCTCATGGAGGATGATCCCAACTCGGACTATCTAGAGAACACTTGCTTGAATGGTGAGACACAGCTGGCTAAAAAGTCCACAAAAAAATAGCCAATAATATGCAATATCTTTCATTTACAGCCGAGCGTCGTTGCGATGGCTTGGCGGTATTTGTCAAAGAGGAGAACAAACGACTGGGTGGTCCATTCGAGGTAGACATATTCAACAACATGACACTGGAGGAATGCCAGTCGATGTGTCTACGTGCCGAAAAGTACTGTAATGGCTCACACTTAGGCACAGTTTGCTAATTGAAAAATACTTTTGCAGATACTTTTGCCGTTCCGTTGAATTCGATGATCAAAGCAAACAGTGCATACTCTCTGAGGAGGACTCTATATCGCAGAAAGATGATATTAGCATCAGTTCCAGCCCCACACATCATTTTTATGATCTTGTCTGCCTTGATAATCGTAAGTAGCTACCGTAGGCCCAAGTTAGCACCCAACATACAAGCACACACACACACACACACACGCACACTTAGCAGAGGCAGACAGAAAGCTAAGTGCGCCATTAAACACAACTCCAAGGCTCATCGTCGCCTCATGACGCCAGCGAAAACACAAGCAACTGCCACAGCAACAGCAACAACCACTGTCTGGTGAACCGACATTTAGATTACACAGCTCTGCACAACGGTTGCTTCCACATTCACAATCACATTCGCATTCGCGTTCGCGTTCACATCCATGTCCATGTCCACATCCACGTCTACGACTATGTTATGTATTCCCGTTGCAGAACGCGCCAACGATTATCCAGATAACTCAGTTACCTCGCACCTCTTTTCGAGTGGCCGTCGGCCAGATACAGCATTCCAGCGGTACCGCAACTCGCGGCTGGGCGGCGAGTTTCACTCAGAGATCACGGGCCGTTCGCTCAGCGAGTGCTTGGACGAGTGCCTGCGCCAGACGAGCTTCCAGTGCAGGTGCGTTGCCATTGCAATTGCCATTGCCGTTTCAAGTCTTCTAGTATTTCTTGTTTTTCATTTTTTTTATTTGTTCACTCAACGGTTTTCGTCGATTTTCCGCTCGGCTGTGTACAACAAATTACAGGTCTGCGGTATACAGCGATCGTTTTCGTACTTGTCGCCTGAGTCGGTACAATCAAAAGGATGGCATGCGTATTATATATGATGCTGATTATGACTACTACGAGAATCTAATGTGTAAGTGGGGCGAAGGAGGAGGTGCTAATGAAGTAGCTGGTAGATTGTAGCCTAATGTCTGTTGTATTCCAGTGAACGTTGTGGGCGGTGGCAGTGATAGTGATGGCCATGGAAGCAACGATGGCAAGCGACCTGGTGACCAATCTGGCAGTAATTGGCGTCAGCCAAACAAGCATGATGATCGGTATGGACCTGGTGGTGTATCAGGCGGAGGAGGCTCTGGAGGCGGTGCCGCTGGCGGTACGGGAGGATCGAGATATCCGCCGGGCGATGGCATTGATTATGGCAGACCCTACGATCGCTATCCGGACCCTGCTCCAAATGATCAAGGTAGGGTTTGGGGTAATTCGAAAAGGTTTTAAGTGAAATAACACCATCCCATTTAAGATCGTTACCCATGGGGTGGAGGAGAACGCTATCCACCCGATCGCTATGGCTCGGGCGGTTCACGCTATCCTGGTCCTGATGGTATGGGCTATGGGCGACCTTACGATCGCTATCCCGACGAATATGGTAAGTGAATTTTAAATATTTTTCCCTTACCTTAATTAATCAATTTCACCAACTCACAAACAAAAAACCCATTACATCAATGTTCCACAATATAACTCGTATACTGACAACTAATTAACTAACCTACCTACGCCACGCGAACATCTTTAGATCGCTATCCCTTGGGTGGAAGCGGGGACCGGGACCGGGATCGGGATCGTGATCGATTTCCTGGCGACCGCGACCGATTTTCGGCTGATCGCGATCGCTATGCAGATCGTTTTGGCGATCGTTATCCTCCCGACCGATATGCGGATCGTTATGGAGACAGACGCTATCCCGATAGAGACAGACCACCATATAGACCACTGCAGCCATACCCGGCGATAAATGATAACACACTGCCAAGCGATTTACCGCACACGCGACCATTTCCCCCCGACGATGATGCGCCATATCGACCATATGGTTACGGCGGTGGTGGAAGCGGAGGGGGTCGCTACGGTGATAATCGATATGATAGTCGATATCCCTCACGTTACCCTCCCAGTCGTGATCCAATTGGTGGCTACACAGGACGAGATGCACCAGATACCATTTTCCCCGACAGGCGCTATCGTCCTTCTTCTCTGGACTCTAGATATGGCCCATATGGACCTGATAACCGCGCTCCTTTGCCACCGGGTGGACGTTATGGACCCCCGCCTGGCCGTTACGATGACATTGTTCACAGCGCACGGCGCCCTGAGCCGGATTCTGCCAAACGCTACCCACCCGCACCATTAGCGCCCACAGGCAGTGCGAGTAAGTACGCGTCTACGCCAAATCGTTTCCCGGTGGGCAACGAACGTTACCCCATTGATATCTACAAGCACGGTAATCGGTACGGCAGTGGGGACAGTGGCAGGCGCCCCGGTAAGTATTCGAACTAACAGACTACCAATATAATCATAATCGAAGCAATGTTCATTAATAATGGGGAAAAGTGCATACTTTTTACTAAAATTAATAATAACACCTATGTATATGAATATACTATATATGTATATAGGTTTGGATCGTCCGCCTCCCTTTTATGACTACGACTACGAGGAACGTTATGGGGACCGTTTTGGGCCATATGACAGGGAATATGATGCTCCCATTGGCAGGAGACCCGCTCCTGGAGGCTCATATGGTCGTTTCGACACCCCTTTCAATCGTCCTTATGGACCTGGCAGCGCAGACGAACGACCATTGCCATTGCCTGGCCTTGGACTGCACCATCAACCCACGCCATACGGTGTCGGCCCTGTAGGCGGTGGTGGGGGCGCAGTGGGTCCCCCTCGTCCGCCCATTACACGCTGCGAAGAGAGCGACAACTTTAAGCAGATAGCGGCCAGACACAAGATGCGACGACACTATGTGCGACGTGCTCTGATTGTGCCCAGCTTGATACAATGCGAGCGCGAGTGCATCGAGAGTCGAGACTTCGTGTGTCGCAGCTTCAACTACAGGTAACAGATGGCAGATAAAACGGTTGTTGCAATGAGTTAAACAAATATATACAATTTGGGCAGAGATACGGCCGCCTCCAGCTACGATGACCGCGAGTCGCCAAATTGCGAATTGAGTGATAGAGACTCGCGGGAACTTGACATTCACGACCCCGGCTCGTTCGATGCATCGAACTACGACTTCTATGAGCGCAGCATTGGGCGCAGCGATGGCGAGTGCATGGATGGTAAGGGGGGGAAGGAGTTTGAAATACCAGTGGCACATTCGCTTAACATGGCATTCAATTTGCAGTTACGCAAACGTGCAACGAAGAGGGTATGGAATTCACAATACGCACGCCGGAAGGCTTTCTTGGACGCATCTACACATATGGCTTTTACGATCGCTGCTTCTTCCGAGGCAATGGCGGGACTGTCAACGTGCTGCGTATTAGCGGACCCCAAGGCTATCCCGATTGTGGCACACAGCGCGTAAGCTGAAACAACAGCAACAAAATGCTGTAATACTTATGATAAAATCTTGACACATATCTTATAGTATGGCGACACGCTGACTAACATTGTGGTTGTGCAGTTCTCGGACAACGTGCAAACAAGTCGTGATAAGCGCTATAATCTCACTTGCATTTTTCGGGGACCGGGCGAAGCTGTTGTTAGCTCGGGCTACATTGGTGCGGGGTAAGTAAACGGCCAGAGATTGGCCAACTAATTTGATTTTTATGTGCAATGGTCATGTTTTGTTATACAGCTCTGGCAGTCCCATACCCATAGAGTATCTTCCAGCTGAAAATACGCTCAGCTCGAAGGTGCGATTGAGCATCCTGTATCAGGGTAGACCCACCACGACTATAGCCGTAGGCGATCCCTTGACCTTCCGCCTTGAAGCCCAGGATGGCTACAATCATGTCACGGACATTTTCGCCACCAACGTTGTGGCCCGAGATCCCTACTCAGGTCGTAGCATACAGCTTATTGATCGCTTTGGGTAACTAGACTACAATTAGATATAACTAGAATTATAATCGTTTTTTTCTCGGTTAGTTGCCCTGTTGATCCGTATGTCTTCCCTGAGCTGGATAAGCTACGCGATGGAGACACATTAGAGGCACGTTTTAATGCCTTTAAAATACCAGAATCGAATTTCCTTGTCTTTGAGGCCACTGTGCGGTCTTGTCGAGAAGGCTGTCAGCCTGCCTATTGTCCAGGACCTGCAGGTCGCCAAGAGCCATCGTTTGGACGTAAACGGCGCTCATTGAACCAAACCGAAGAGGTGCAACAGCAACTAGAAGGCGTGAATCAGTTAGACACTGCAAATTTACGAGATGATGTCGTCGTTCTTAACAGCACTGTCAGCGCCACACTTGGCGATTTCAATGGCACACAGGAAGCCGAAAAGTTAAAGGAGACTGAGGAACCCGAGCAAGTGCGCGAAATGATTGAGGTATACACAAGCGAATACACAAGCCCAGCACATGCGAATAAGTTCAAAAATTATTGTAGGTATTTGAAACACGCGAAGAAATTGAAAAGGAATCATATCCACGCAAGTTGGTGGCACCTGTCGAGACGGTGTGCATGACACCTGCCGAGTATCATGGCCTCATAACAGCCATAATATTGCTGATGATATTGCTTTTTAGCATCACCCTCGTCGCCGGCTTGGGCTATAGACGTTACTGGAAGTCCATATCGAAGAATCGTTTAGTGGATCGCAATTCACCAATTCACTCACTGGGGCATTCCTCCATACGCACCCATGAACGATTCACTGAAATTGGTAACATGCCTAATGGTACTGCCCAAAGTATGCCCAATCGTGCGGCCAATACCTTCCGCTCCAATATGTCCATGTTCGGAGGCTCACTACACAAGACTTTTGCCACTGGGTGAGTGTAGGGTTAGCTTTACTTTCAATATCCATCCTATGTAAATCTGGGCAACATTATTTTATATTTAAACTCAAATTCATTTCATTACTCCAGCAGTACTCATAACCCTTGTAATATAACAATATAAGCTGCCTTTTTTCAAAATCAATTCAATTCAATTTTTTTTACTATAGCTTATAACTTTGGGTATTTACAACTGAGATGAAGTAATCTTACTGTGAAGAGTGCTGGCGACTTAACCTTTTTTTCTTAATTATGCAAAATCGAGAAAAATAGTTTTAATACAACAATAACCAATAGAAAAAATTTTACACAAAAATCACATAAGGCTTTACAATTTGAACCCAAGCTAATAGCTACCTATTAGCCTATCCTAATATATTTGAAAAACCTAAATTTTTCAACTATTTACCGACAAACATCGCTTTGTCGCTATGTTATGTTAAATTATATAAAAATATAATAAAAAAAAAGTAAGCGTATAAGTTCAATCCACCTATTTAGCTGCTAGTTCTCTGTCAAAATCTTATGTTTGGAAATGTTTGAGATACATGATACTATTTTGTTGTTGAATTTTAGAAACTTGGCACGCATGTGTCAGCTGCCCGTCATAAACCCCATGCGTACTTCAGGAGGGAATAGCACTCATCAGTTTGAGGACCCCAGTGAGCCCATCTACACCGATCCATCACTGTTTGAGCGCTCTAGGTAAGTGCTATATAGTATTTGCAATTACGCGGAGTGTATCGCCATTTCATCACATTTTACAACATTCTTACCATGCCTTGGCTCAGGAATCCCCAGATTGCAACGATTCTCAATTGTAAATATATACTTGGTTTTATGTATGAACACTTGTTTGCGTTAACAGCAGAATTAATAGTAACATAACTGAACGATCATCTCACAATGGGCGGCATATGCAGAGATGCACCTTGTTGCAAATTCCGTCACGTCCGCCAGCTATTTGGCATCTGGTCGAGCACCAATCACCGGACAGTTGGCAGACGCCTTCAAACGTCGGCACTTGGTCCAAGACTAGAATCACAAGAGCTTACTAATTGCATTATTTATTTACTTAAAACTCACATGCATATGCGTTTGTCAGCGAGACGAGCAGAAATATGAAAAATAAAAATAATGCTTTCATTATAAAATAATTTAATCACGACAAGAAGACCACAACTTTTATACTAATGCCGAGCTGAGCAATGTCGCGCATTTTTTTGCTTTGGCATGCACCGAACAGATAACGCTTATCTGGCATGATTATTAATGAACTCAGCTTTAAATAAAATAATAAAAATAATAATAATAATAATAGACAAAGCTTATCATTTGTTTAAAGTTTTTCACAATTCAAACACAGTTTTTAACACAATAACTACGTGTTTGTGATTGCATGAATCACAGATAATTTTAAAAAATGTCATGCATGATCTTTCCTAAATATCTCACAATTTTTTTTTTAATTCTCCACAACAGATCGCTGCGAAGTCTAACCATGGTGGCCGAATCTGAAGATAACCACGAGGTCTAGACATGGCGATGGACACACAAGAATTTTGCTCGTCTTCTTGTGACTAGTTGTAAATAAGCTAATGTTTTAAAACTAGCTAAGCAAGACCAGAATAAATATACGTATAAACAAATTCAGTTCTTATATCATGCATATATACATACATACATATGTATGTATGTATGTACGTAGCTGAATGTGCAAATCGCATATAATATATAGTCTACAAATTTCACAATTTCTTACTAATACGTTGATATCCGATAATTTAAAACCTCATATTTATGTTTGGGCCTAGATTTAAATCATGCAATCAATACATATTGATATCTAAACTAATTTTATTGAAATCGTACATTAAATGCAATATACCGAAAGTAATTACAGATACTTACTATTACTTAGAAAAACATATGCACAAGAACAAAATACGAAAACACGTCTTAGGCTTGTTCCGAATTCCGATTCCACTTCAAATTGAACGAAATGACACGCATGCTTATTAAAACAATACAATTACTTAATGAATCTACACTTTACAATTGTAAAAAGTTGCTCGGAACTCGGAATATGTCTGCTTCTACTTATACTATATATACATATATTTATACAAGTATATATATATATCTGCAAGCAGTTTAAAATATGTAAGTTATTGAAATGCAATAAAGCTTAAACCTATCAGTAAATGCCAAAGTATTTGGGTGCTCTCTCAAGGGCACACACAGTCGGTTGGGGAACTTACATAAATACCCTTTTCGGAATATACTTAGCCTGGCTAATTGCGTGCCTTAATGCCACTTGAAACGGCAAATACTTCTATGCATAACGGCCTACGTGTAAAAATGAGACACATATGAGTAAGTACTAGGTAGTAACAAAATCATTTCAACGGAATAGATACATACAAGTACATATGCATACGTAGTACATGAATGTATGTATGTACGAGTATACATCAATAAGCTGCATATTCAACAAGCGCGGCATGCATTTTTATTATCATCAGCTTTGTTTTTATTGCACGGCAAAGATACATACATTTTATGTAATCATAACTGAGATTTTGTTCCGGCTTGGCTGATGCCGAAAGACCAGCCAAGAGACTGCCATCACGTTTGATGCAGCGGCCAGAACTAAAACAAAAATTACTCATACCGTACCGTAGAAGAAGAAAAAAAAAGAAGCTACAAACTGCAGCCGCATCGGAAGCAACTGAACACGCTATTGCCGTCTTATTCTGTACGCCGCCGCGGCCGGCTTGCCAAGCGATTTAGCGCTTTAGTCATGAATTTTTGGCGAAGAACACGGCTGTGATAGCACCTGGGTAGTACCTCGTATAGTTTTCCGGTCACCGACGCACGTGTGCAACGGCTTGAACTCTCGCTTATGAATTGACGCGTCGCACATACATAGACTAAATATGAATATGTATGCATACAAGTATATGTATATTATTATTTATATTTATTGCCACAAACATCGCTTGTTCTTACACATACACTATACACATATAGCACGCACTGCTGGTATTTAAATTATGCAACAATTTTGGGCCCAGCTAATTGCATTTAAACGCTCCGCTTACCCGCTAGCCAGGCACAGTCAATCGAAGCGCGCACGCGTCCGTAACTGCAATTGCAACTGCAACGACCTGCAATCGAAGTTGAAACGGCGTCGACTGTTCCGTGAAATTAATGAGGCGGATATTGAACTAGTGGAAGTGGCAGTGCAACGCGTGTTCCAATAAATGTGCAATAAATATAATACGGCGGATTAGTGAGCTATTGCAAGAGTCAATCAATCAATAAATCGCATTAATCGATCGATCTAGTGACTTGAAAATGTTCTACCACAATCGGCTGTTGGCCATTGTGGCCCTCTGCTGTACCGTGCTTCTACAAGCACAACAGGCCAATTCTCGCTCCATTCGGGTGTCAGATGGCTATGGACAAGAACATCCGATAATGCCCAATGGTTACTACAGTCATGCCTTTGGCTATCAAGCACCCTTCGGCTATGCACCCGCTCCTGTTTTCAGTCCGCCGGGCGGCTACTACGACAGGGACTATGGCGTCTATAAGGCTTTCCCCGGCGGTGGCATTCCTGTGCGCGTCGATTATGTAATTAGAATATTTTGGGATATTTTCGTTAGGCACATATTGATCGCTCACTATTATGTTTTTAGAACAATCGATGTTCCAGGAACTATGTTGGCATTAAACCGCATCCGGATCAGCAGCAATACTATTATGTTTGTCAGCCCAACTGTGTTATCTTCAGCAAATGTCAAAATTTGGAGGTAATTAGTGGAGTAGGTCCTTTTAAATTTTTGCTGACAACTCATTCGTAATAAATAGCAATTCAACTCGACGAGCGGTCGTTGTGATGTGCAGCATGAGTATCCTCGACTGTGTGTGAAGGAGGGGCGGTATCCTTACCACTACAACTGCAGGATTTACTACAAATGTGATAAGGACTTGATTCCTAGCTTATATCGCTGTCCCACCGGCACAATATTCTCGCCACATGAAAGAAAATGCATTCCCGGCGACGCATGCCCATCCACCGAAATCTCTAACAGTGGCAGCTACATTCCCGAAAACTGTGAGCTAAAGTTTCCACAATGCACAGAGGACGGTACCTTTAGATCACCCTCTGATTGCTCACTTTATTACACATGCAAGCTACAGAAAAGTGGAACCTACTTGCAAACGCGTTTCAAGTAAGTATCAAGAGTAGAGCTCTAAGCCCTACGTCTCGACTGTAATGCAATTTAATTCTTCAGGTGCCCCGGCGACAACAGCTACGACACAAAACGAAAGATCTGTCTTCCACACCGAGAGGTCAAATGTCGGAACTATGTTCGAGTCCCTAATTTGGGCTACGCGTCAGTCGTGCCTTTATATCCCTATATAGCACAGCCCAGAAACTTGGCTCCTTCATTGGAGAGTGACTACGATGGAGATGATGAAGAAAAAGTAGAAGAGGCTAGCGTCGATGTCGATGGCGAGCCCACAGAGCCAGAATCGACGGACAATAGCGATAAGGAAGCAGAAATAGACGAACCAGCCACTTCTGATAAAGTTTCAGCATTTTCTGCAAATACAAACACATTTGCCCTTCACAGCCAATCAATTCCAGAATCAAGGGATCTTATTAGAGAAGAGAGTGACCTATTCCTAACCACTAACACTATACCAGAAACACCAAACCCACCTAGAGTGCTTGCACCCTTTTCAAATTCAGGTGGAAATAATTTTCCCCCTAAAGTTACTCGATCTACACCAAGTAAACCAAAATCACCAAATCCGACGACTATTATAACAACAATTCCGCCATGGAGCAGCAAAATTACAACCCCGACCACCACAAATACACATGCAATTTCGTCAACAACGAAAAAACCAACTTCCGTATTTACAAGTCTTCCCCCAAGTACAACTCTAACAACTTTCGAACCATTAATTACAACAGTCAACTCACCTCCTCCAACTTTGCCAACAAATCCGACCACAAAAATATCGACACCAAAAACGACAACACAGTTTACGACTACCGTATTCACAACTCTACCACCAATATCGTCGTCCACCTCCACGACCACCACAAAACTGCCTACGACCCCTGAAAAGACAACTCCGACAAAGACAACACCAACGACAACAACTATAACAACAAGTCGTCCACCAACAACACCAACAGCGTCGACAAAACTGCCTACAACCCCTAAAGAGACAACTCCGACAAAAACAACTACAACGGTAATACCAACTGGCCCACCAACGACGTCCACCACCACGACTTGCGAACCATCGATGCCGACCACAAAACTGCCTACGACCCCTAAAGAGACAACTCCGACAAAAACAACTACAACGGTAATACCAAGTAGTCCACCAACAACACCAACGACGTCCACCACCACGACTTGCGAACCATCGATGCCGACCACAAAACGGCCTACGACCCCTAAAGAGACAACTCCGACAAAAACAACTACAACGGTAATACCAAGTAGTCCACCAACAACACCAACGACGTCCACCACCACGACTTGCGAACCATCGATGCCGACCACAAAACTGCCTACGACCCCTAAAGAGACAACTCCCACAAAAACAACACCCACGACAACAACAACGGTGGTACCAACTGGCCCACCAACAACACCAACGACGTCCACCACCACGACTTGCGAACCATCGATGCCGACCACAAAACTGCCTACGACACCTCCAACAAAAACAACTACAACGGTAATACCAAGTGGTCCACCAACAACACCAACGACGTCCACCACCTTGACTTCCGAACCATCAATACCGACCACAAAACTGCCTACGACCCCTAAACAGACAACGCCCACGACAACCACAACAATAATAACAAGTCGTCCACCAACAACACCATCGACGTCCACCACTTTGACTTCCGAACCATCGATACCGACCACAAAACTGCCCACGACCCCTACAAAAACAACGCCGACAACCACAACGATTATAACAAGTCTACCAACAACACCATCGACGTCCACCACTTTGACTTCCGAACCATCGATACCGACCACAAAACTGCCCACGACCCCTACAAAAACAACGCCGACAACCACAACGATTATAACAAGTCCACCAACAACACCATCGACGTCCACCACCTTGACTTCCGAACCATCGATACCGACCACAAAACCGCCTACGACTCCTAAACAGACAACGCCCACGACAACCACAGCGATAATAACAAGCCGTCCACCAACAACCCCATCGACGTCCACCACCTTGACTTCCGAACCATCAATGCCGACCACAAAATCTACGACCAAACTGCCTACGACCCCTACAAAAACATCGCCGACAACCACAACGATAATAACAAGTCGTCCACCAACAACACCATCGACGTCCACCACCTTGACTTCTGAACCATCAATGCCGACAACAAAACCTACGACCACAGAACTGCCTACGACCCCGAAGAAGACAACACCGACAACAACCCCAGTATTCACAAGTCTTCCCCCAAAAACTACGGTACCAACTTGTGGATCATCAATGCCGACAACAACATCCACAACCTCAAACTGTCCAACAAAGACGACACCGACAACTACGTTAAAGACAACTGAACAACCTACAACTCCTCCTCAAACTGAAAGCACAACTGTGTCCATGCCTTCCACCAAGCCTCCAGGACCCTGCCCGGATCAAACAACGGAAGTAAGCCCAGGAACAGGTAAGCTAAATTCCGAATTTTTTCTACATCTTTTACAGTACTCCATGCTGCCAGTTACACTTAACACGAACACCTTTTAACAAAACCTTGCAGATACACGAATACCAAACGAATGCACACAACAAACGCTTACACAACCAGAAAAGTTCAGTTTAGGAATTCCACTTTTCATACCTAACAAAAATTTGTTGAATATTGAGAGCCAGTTGAATTTCGAAAAGTCTCAACTACCATTGGAAGATCACGACATCATTTCAAACGATATCAGTCCTGATTATATAAACGACGAAGGCGCATCAGTTGTCAATGAAAATCTTGAAATTACTTCTAAGTTGAACGAGACTAAGCCTCTGCCTAAGTCCGCTGCACTTCCAACCATAGCGGCGGCTCATCTTCTGCATAAGTTGTTTACATTTATATCGACCACTCCACCAAATAGGGATCCACTATCCCAACCTCAACAATTTGAGAATCCACGAATTAACATAGAACCTCCTCACCCAACACTCAAGCCTGTTAAGCCGATTAAAGCTGAATCGTTGCGTATTCTTAGCAGCCAATTCATAGCAAACGAAAAGCGTATCCCAAATTTGCCAGAACAGAAAGACACTACACCTACACCATTGCCATTATCCGATATTACGACAGATGAAACAGAATCAATAGATTCCGATTATTATGACAATAACTTATCTGCGGATTATTCAGAAGAGCAAAAGGGGGTTTTCACAAAAGAAAATCTAAAATTATTGCCCAAAGCCACTAGTGCCAAGAATAACACAGTAGTAGACTTACGTCATCTGCCTAATACCCAAGAGGTCCTTCAAAAAGCCTCTACTATGCCACAAATCGAAAATGAAACTGAGGCTGCGGTAAATACAGCTTCCTTCCTTCAAACCAAAGAGTTGGTTGGTTCTGCACCAGAAACGAAATCGGAAAGTTCCGAAATACCACCGATGGTAAATACTATGCATCCTGTAGTCGTCTTAAATTCTATGCCGCAAAATCAGGAGTCGCTCATAGAAACATCTAATGTGTCAACGATCAAAAGCACAACTGGTGGTAGGATAACTTTAGAGAGATCACCAAAAACCACCGAAGGCTTTAGTTTACCAGCCATGTCAAGTGAACCTGTTTTAGCTGCAAATCCTGTGCCTCAAATCCAGAAGTTGCCTGAGATGGCACCGATGATAAATAGAAGCAGCCCGGTTGTGCCATTAAATACCTTACCCGAAAATCAGAATGGTTTAAGTTTACCAACCATGGCAAGTGACCCTGTTATAGCTATAAATTCTGCTCCTCAAAATCTGGAGTCGCTGGGAGAGATCTCTGATGTGTCACCGATGAAAATTACAACCAGTCCTGTAGTGGAATTAGACACCTCACCAAAATCCAGAGATTTGCTTAAGGGAAGCTTGAGTTTGCCTGAAAATCGGGACTCGCTTGGAAAGGTACCTTCTTCGTCACCGGTAAAAATCACAACCGGCCCTGTCATAGCTTTTAAAACGTTCCCCGAGACTAAGGACAGCTTTAGCTTACCTTTGCCTGAAATCCAGAAGGCGCTTGAAGAGAAGTCTAATGTGTCACCGATGAATAGTAAAGCCGGCGCTGTGGTAGCTTTTAAAACATTTAGTTCACTAGCCATGACAGCTAAAAATGCATTGCCTGAACAGAAGAAGTCGGTTGGAGACTCCTCAAATGTGTCACAGATGAAAAACAAAACTGATCCTGTGGTAACTTTAAATCCATCACCCGAAGCTAACGAGAGCTTTCATTTGCTTCAAAACCAGGAGCACCCTGGAACGATCTCTAATGTTTTACCTATGAAAAATTCTATCGGACCTGCAGTGGTACGAAATACCTTACCAGAAACAAAGGATTTGCCCACCAACACACATGATTCAACTACTCTTACTGCTGCTAAGCTCAATGAGCTAAATGATTCGGAATATGTAGATAACTCTGCAGACTATGACGACTATGCGAATGACGGTACAGCAGAAGAAAATGAAATAGGAAGCACATCTAAGGAATTAAGCATTCAGAAGTCAATGCTTACCAGTCTACTTAAACAGAAGCTAACCAGGGACATCATATTGGAGGCAACAACACAATCGGCCACAGCCATTAGCACTAGTCCCAGGTCTACAAATATTTCGAAAACAACCACAGAAACCACATCAGCACCCGACGCTACTGAAGCCGCAGAGAACACAACAGAACAACCTATTTTAGTTTCTGAAGTTCCATTAAAGACGACAACACAGTCGACTTTAGTTTCCCCCACTACTTCGAAGTCTCTTGAAGGTACACCAATGAAACCTGCGCCCACGGAGCCAACCAAAGCGCTGCAATCAAAATTAAATGAAACCAACCAATCCGAATATTCCGATGAATATGCATATGATGACTATGATTATATGAGTGATGCAGAGGCAGAACCCGTTACAGTGGCAAACGGTGCAGGAGCAACCATTACTCAGGATAAAGTAAAGCCGACAAGTAGTCTGTCAGCCAATGCGATGCAGCCGACGGCCAAAAGGCATTCCATGCCGATACTGCCAGTGAGGAGTGGCGCAAGCGCAGAACCAATTAAGGTACCCAACGATGTAAGCGGCTTAGCTGGCCACAAGATCCAAGTCGCCGATAAATTCCCGTTCAAGTCCCCAAGACCAAATGTGGAAGCAATGTCTGTCGCAGAATTACTCAAAAAATCACTAGAAATGGCAGTGAAAAAGGCACAACATAAATCAAACTCGCACGCAAATACCCTAACGGCCACAACTATACAATCGCAAGCCATTCAAGCCCCAATAGGCTCACCCGCACGCATGCCTCCGACCACAGCGCATGTGACAACACCGGTAACTGTAACAAGCACGCAGATACATCCTCATCCTGTGTTAGTCCCACAGACACACAAACAGCCACATACAACAGCAAGAACACCAAAACAGCCAACAAACATCGCTACAGCGACACGGCAACAATTCCTCACAGTGAATAGCAAGCCGTGGCTGTTGCAAGCTCAAAATCAGACCCTACACTTATCGCCCATATTAAATACTGTTAACACAACGAGCAACCCAGTGATTAAATCTAACCGTTCGTTGTCAGTACCGACCGATATCACCGATAAAGTGCCCGAGCTCATCCTGAAGGTTTACGAGCCCGTGGATCTGAAAATTGTCTTCTGTCCGAGAAATTGCGAGGAAGATCATGAGCACAAGTTCGGTAAGTTTTGAAAACATTCTCATGCTTTTTACAAGTCGCAAGACTGAATTTACTTAATTGACTTTTTTCCACAGACCCAGATGATATTAATAAGCACAATAAAACGAATAATCAACTACTTGAACATAAGCCCCAATCTAAGCACAGTGTGGATCTTCAATGGAAGCCTCGGACCATCGACGACACCTTGGGTTTTGAAACAATGACATAGGTCAAGAGATATTCTGACTTAAAATGTTCGCGAAAAATAGTCTGCTTTATATTCAAATATGATAAGTTAATTGAATTATATCGCCTTTAATAAACACTTTAAACAAATTAAAATTTACTGTCTTTAATTCTGCAGAAATACAGAATAAATACAAAATATGCATCCTATAAAAAAAGGTATAGGTAAACCGAATTAAGACTTAAACTTAACATATACATTAAAATATAGGTTACCCTCTATACTATTTATCTGCATAATTTCTGAGAAATTACAATATAGCCTTAGTTGCTAAAATTTGTCTCCGCCTACTACCCACCAAAATCATATCTTTAAATATTAAAAGCAAAATAGACAAGGATTCATCCAACAATTTCGCCTTTTCAATTCAGTTTTTGGCATGAAGTTTGTAAAAGAAAACAAGTCGAAAAGCTAAAGCCGCATGTGTAAAATATGTAAACCTAATATACTCTTGTACCTTTTAGGTACAGCGTATAATAAATTAAACAATTACGTTTAACCTCACTGATGAAAATATGAAAAACTTATATGATGACTAGCAAAAATAAAAATAACTCAAACGATATAAATAATAAGAATAGAACTTTTTAAATGCCTTGGTGGGATAGAGCTTAAATGATCTCCTAAACGATAGCCAGTTACGAATAGGTAAATCAGGACTACATCGCACTCTTTAGCCTTAAAAACTTATGACTGCTCATGATTGGAATGATACTTTAGTCATCGAAAAAAAGGATTTCTAATATTCGTTTCTGAACATTTTTTCTGCGATCTTTGCTCATTTTTAGTAACTCTGTTGTCACCAATTCGCCCAGTAAATGCTCTGACGAACGTTGAACACTCGGCGGGTTCGGTGGGGTCTGGAACTTACTAAAGTTTGACGGGTGAGACGTGCTAGCTTGTTGTGGCAGCTGTTGATAAAGCTGGAAGAGGAAATCCGTATTCGATGGAAACATGTTCTGGTGCTGCTGCTGCTGATGATTATTATTGTTATTATTATTTCCATTTCCACTGTTGCGCTGCATGTTCATTGAATTGTAGTGATTATCATGCTGCAATATGGTTTGCGGCTCGAGCAGATCGTTGCTATTATCATCGGAATCTTCATCAGTCTCATTAACAAAGTTGCTGTTTGGCGCATTCACATTTACCATACTGCCATTGGTCGAGTGCTGCGTGTGATTGCTGCCATTCGTGTTCAGCTGCACGCGTGGCTTCTTCATGTGATAATTGCTGGACGTGGACGAATCCAGATCATCATTGCTCTTATCACCATAGGTATTGTTTTGCATTTGATTAGCATTAGTACTAGTGCTTGTGGAACCTGCCACACTAGATGAGGAATGTACTGGTGCCTGTTGATTTGTTGTCGATGACTGTTGAGGGCCAGCAATGCCTGCCAAAGGCGATGATAGCGGCGATTTCATAGATGAAGATGTAGATGTGAGGCCGCCTGTGCTACCGGAACTATTTTGTGCTACACCCACGCCAACGGTACCGTCACGGTACTGATCCTGGTATCCTTGTGATGAATCTGCCATTACTGCTGCCACCGCCGCTGCATGATTCTGCTGCATTTGAGAGTGCGATATTTGTTGCAATTGCTGTGATGCTACAGCAGCAGCAAAATCTCTAAAGACCTGATCGGCCTCGATTTTCACCTGTCCATTAACATTTTCCAACGCCGACGCGGCTACATTGCTCAAAGCATTCATTGCATGCTGCTGATCGGGCTGGTGGTAGTGATGGCTTTGCGTGGCGCTGCCAAAATGCGACATGTTTTTTATGGAACTGTTGGACTTCGAGTCCACATTGTATTCACTGTAGTTGGAACTGTTTGCCGACTGTGGGGACGTTAGGAAGCTCGGTACACTGCGATACGACTTCCTGGGTTGTATATGTTGGTCGAGAAATTTCATTTTCTCCAGATACGGTCGCGAAAGATGTTCATAAACAGGTGGATCCCCTTGTTTTCGCTGCGACACATACCGTTCCCGCAGATATTTCCACCGCTTCTTACAGGTTTCAACTAAAAAATACAAATTTTTATCCAAAGTCTATAAGTCTCAAGTTATAATGCACTTTAACTCACCATCTGTACGCAATTTTATAGCAATTAATTGCCAGGCCTCATCCTTTGTCTCGTACTTGCCGCCGGTTGTGCTGCCGTTCAAGTAATACTTCTGGCGATTGTAGATGACTCCATGTTGAGCAACTTCATCAATGAGTTGTTCATCCATCATTTTACCACAATTTTCAGTAATTAATTAACTTAATTTGTCCCCCAACACATATGTGTAAAGTGTACACATCCACGCCGAGCAAGCCGAAACGGTCACACTGAAAGCAACCAGCTGCCAAAATGACGGAGCTGCCATCTATGTGTATTTTGAATAGAGCTGTTTCGAACTGTAATCAGTAGTTGCCTTCAGCTGAAAACTTTTACGGTACCGGCATCCCTGTAAAAGTGAAACCAATGATATCAGTTCGTAAACCAAGTCCCTCAGTCAGACTTCTTGTGTTGAACTAAGAATACGTTTAAAAATATTTCGTTATAATCATCTATTTACAATTACTCCCAACAATGTTTAAAGTTCTTCGCCACCTGCTGCCACAGCAGCAGAATATTTTTCGTAGCTCAAGCTCAGCCATCACTACCTTAAACAATAATTTAAATCGCCTTATATCTACTAGTGAAGTTAATTCGGAACCAATGGTCAAGTCTGTGGAAACAGTTGGGGGGCTCCCTGCTGATCTAGTCAACGAACAGAAGCTGAAGAAAACTTCTAGGTAAGAATATCCTTTTTTTAAAAACAAAAATGTTGATGCAATGGGTGGAGAGAAAAAGGCGTGTGTATCTGGTCACGTACACCAATGTACAGCATCTTTTAAAAGTGCGTTTTTTTTTTTTTTTGCTTTGACCTCTCAGAACTTTGTCAACGCTACAAAACCATTCAGTGCCTATAGCCGCTAGAGTCACAGTGTCTAAAGATGAAAGCCGCGATTTCATGGCTGTGTTCCCAGGTAAGTTTTTAGATTGCCTTTTCGGTTTTGTATTCATTAGCATAACAACACTAAAACGTCATTATACATTTGTTTGTCTTTCCAGATCTTGTGCGCGATTTGACAACCGTAACAAAGTCATATAACTGCAATGATGCTGCTAAATGGTTAGCCAAGGTTTTGCAATATAATGTGCCCCGCGGTAAAAAGAATCGTGGAATACTCACTGTCCTCACCTACAAAAACCTTATACCACCAGAAAATCTGACACCCGAAAACATCAAACTGGCCCAGTACTTGGGCTGGTGTGTTGAGATGGTGAGACTGACATAATATTCGTTAATGTGAGAAAAAGAGATAAATTAATGATTTTACAGCTTCAAAGCTTCTTTCTTATCGCTGATGATGTTATGGACAACAGCACTACACGCAGAGGTCAACCATGCTGGCATAAAGTTGAGGGGGTCGGCTTGACAGCTATAAATGATGCTCTAATGATTGAGAATGCCATGTACTCCATACTAAAAAAACATTTTAGTAACTTGGACTGCTATGTCGCGCTAATGGAGCTATTTCACGAGATCACCTACATTACAACTTGTGGACAGTCATTGGATCAATTGAATTCAAATAGATCAGTGTCTGAGTTTACAATGGAAAACTACAAAGCAATTGTGGATAACAAAACAGCGTACTATTCCTTCTACCTGCCATTCGCATTAGCAATGCATTTAGCCGGGTAGGAAAATTCCGTTAATTTTCTGTGTACTGTCTAATCCCATTTTTTTGTACAGGTACAAAGATGCAGAGGCATTCCGACAATCTAAAACCATACTGCTTGAAATGGGCCACTTTTTTCAAGTACAAGATGATTTTCTCGATTGTTTCGGCAATCCGGAAATCACCGGCAAAGTAGGCACCGACATTCAAGACAACAAATGTTCTTGGTTGGCTGTTGTGGCAATGCAGCGTGCCAATGCCGAGCAAAAACAAATCATGATAGACTGTTATGGAACAGAAGGTAGGTAGTACATATATTCAGAAAAACATATTTAAATTTCGGAATTTTAAAAATAAATACTTTTAACAGATCTTCAGAAAGTGGAACGTGTTAAGGAACTTTACAAGGAACTAAGCCTGCCTTCTACGTATGCCACATTCGAAGAAGAATCTTACAATATGATCAAGACTCACATACAACAAACATCACGAGGCGTGCCTCACCAAACGTTCTTACAAATTCTCAACAAAATTTATCAACGCGATGCGTAAACGAAACAGTTAATTATTCCTAGTGCCGAATCCTTAATTTACATTCTAATTCAATGGTGTTTATATTTCAATGGTGTTAAAAAAAAGTACAGAGATTTTTAATACATATTATTTTCGTACGTATGGTATGCTCGATTTTTTTCCTATTAATCTTCTGTAAAATCAAAAGGTGCAAAATTCTTTCGAAAACTTTTTACAAGTGCAAGCTCTTCGTCTTTATCCAGCTGGCATTCTCGCCAATTTACTTTTTCATCGCAGTTCAACAAGTTCTCGGAACAGAAAACATCTCTGTAAAGAATATAATTAAAAACATACAGACATATTATTTAAAAGTTGAGACGCACCTGGCAAAATGCAGCGGAAATTGTTTCATGTTGCGTGTTATTAATGTGCTCTCGTCAGGCAATTCTGCTAAAAAATAAGGTCCAAGTTCTGGCAACATTTCCGGCGAAGTCAGTGCCGGCATCGTTTCAAATTCCAACTTATACTCCTCCGCTTTGTCCTAAAATCAACTTGAAACGTATTAATTAGCTATATTGTCTATTTAAAATTTACCTCGAAACTATGCTTTATCTTCCAAGCGTAGCCTTCCTCAAAACCCAAGACATTGATTTGTAGGTGGGGTGACTTATAATGCCGTTCAGTGAAGCAGACCGCCTGACCAATTGACTTAAAGAATTTTCGTAAAGCAGTCTTAAATTTGTTCAACTCATCCCAATCTTCGGGGCTAAGACGGGCAACGCATGGTATATGTTCGGTCGACATTAACATTACATGATGGTCGTTAATTGGGCCTTTAGCCAATGCTAGATAAAATCGATCTCCCACCGTAATAATCAGGTGCTTTTCAACATCCGGCGAAGATAAACAGAACCAACATCTCTCTGAAGTATGTATATGAAAATATATACATCTTTTTAGGAATGTGTTATTATTTTCTTTAATACCATACCTTGTTCAACGGTCCATATTTTTACACGTTTAGACTTTTTGTCATGTTCGCCGGACCGTCTTTTGCCAGCATCCATATCGAAAAAGTATTGATGACTCTCAGACTATAAAATTGTGCGAAAATGCGAAAAATTAAAACTAATTAGTATTAATATTGTGAATTACTCACAGTTTCGTTTTTGCTAATGGTACCACCCAAATCAAGGCCTATAAACGGGCAGGGTACTTCGTCAGTTGTTTTCTGCACCAAGTCAAGCAATCGCGACTTATCGACGGGCTTTAAGCTGAGCGCATAAATATATTTGGATTTCGTTGTATTGCCAACCCCAGATAAGGAGATGAAGCGGGTACAAAGCTCGAACTGTGTGGTCTCATCTTTGGGCATTCGAAACGGTGGACACTCATAGTGTATACTATTAATTGCACAGAAATGATAACGTGGCTTGATTTCGCGGCAAAGATGAGATATTAGCTTGGAGGCCTTTTCCTACCATTAAATATACATGTTTTTATATAGATATACCAATAAAATACAAATATAATAACAAATGATATTTACGTTTTCCTTTTCCTGCATGCCATATGGCCACTGGGAAGTCAGTAAAACGTCCACACCTCTGTAGTCAGTAGCACAATTCTTAGAGATCAAACAGGAATTGCGTACGGATTGGACATCGGCTTTAGTAAATTGATAAGCGTCGTTGGTGCCTGCAGAACACTCCACACCACTCAAGTAAGCTATTTTAACGCCACCGCTCAGTGTGTATACTCCTCTTTTGCCCAGATATGTTAAATTTGTGCATATTTCTCCGTGATTCAAGTCCAAATAGTGTTTCTCATGCTCCTTCTTATTGGGACCAAGTATATAAGTAGGTACTGGAACTGGACGAAAAAAGTTAGACATAAGATAAGATGCAAACGAAAGTAGTGCAATTACTATGTTTAAATCCATTCCTGTACGCTATAAGCTCCTCGTTTTGTTTATCGTCCCCAAAAAAGTCTCCGACGCAACACAACATTTCGAAGGGCCCGGCTTTTTTGTTTACGGACTCAACACGTTGGAAAAGCTGCTTGAAGCGGCCACACACATCACCCACAACCAGTCTGCAATGGTTCCCATTGTTTGTTAAATAGTTTAATTAAAAATTTAATTGTTTATATTCTTACATTTTTGTGTTTACGTCCATGGCGCCAGCTGATTATTAGCGGGAGGCTGCCAACTCGACTAAAGTAGAATAAAAAAAACGATAATGCACGATAATGCATTGGGATTCGGAATGTGTATGTATGTACTTGTATGTTCGCGGAAGTTGTTATTTTTAAAAATTTTCCATTTAAAACACTCTATTGGTTAATTGGGCATTAAACCGAGCTTATGCTTCGCTCTTTTAGCTTTAGACAGCCCTGACATATGTATATGCATGTGTGGCATATGTGTAACGCGTGTTTCTGTTATCAATTTATATGTTTAATTAAGCGAACAACAGCTAATCATATTGAAAAGTCACATTTCTGCTGTACCTATACGTTGGCCTTATTTAATGTCAACTACCTAATAAATGGTATTAGAAACGGCATTGGCCTCAAATGGCATCGAGTTGCAACAATGAACCTGTGGTAAATTTTTAAGTCATGCGTGGCTGGCGCTTATAAGTGATCATTGGCTCTTCACACAGATGTATGACCATGTATTGCATGGAGTATATAAACAGAACAACTATTGTAAATTATAGTATCATTTTAGTTTAGATCGACCACTAATATACATCGAATTTCAAGCAATGAACGCGAGTCTGCTAATAGTTTCATGTGTTTTGCTTGCAGTAATGTCTATTCCAAAAATAGTCCTAAGCCAAACGATAGACTGTAGAAAGCCACCGCAATTGGTTGTAAGTACTGAAAAGGATAATTCAAAACTCAGCGAATTAATAAAGTAACATATAGGATCCAGCACGTTGCTGCCAAGATGGAGGGCGCGATCAAGTCACAGAGAAATGTGCGCAGAGAGTCGGTATAAATGGACAGTCAAATGGAGGACCTCCAACTCTGGAAGCGGCCACTGTAATATTATAAGTCTAAAAATAATGAAATTTTACTATTAAATAATTCTTGTGCCCTTTTCAGTGCCTAGCTCAATGCATTCTTACGGATTCTCGTTATCTACAACAACCGCAGAGCCTTAATTTGAAAATAATAAGAGAGGATTTAACAAAAAAATATTTTAATGATACCGCATATGTGGAAGCGATGGTGACAGCATTTGCGAAATGCGAGCCACAAGCGCAACAAAAACTGGTAGCCTTACAGCAATTACAATTTGGGAGCGCCGCTTCACAATTTTCCCAAAATCAGCAACAGCCACAGTGTAGTCCTTTTAGCGCAATGCTACTTGGCTGCACATACATGGAGTATTTCAAGAATTGTCCGTCTCATCGTTGGACGGAGAACAACGACTGTGCATTAGCCAAGGCTTTTGTAACCCAATGCGCTCTAGGAGCTTGAGCTATTTTACTTCATGGTATATTCTATTAGATGTAGTTATTCAATAATTAAACAACTTAAACAATTTTTTGTTTATTGTATTATTAAGACAAATCGTTTAAGACACCTGTTAAAAGATTATTTGCCTACCTGAGTCAATAATATTAAAATAAAGCTCTGAAGTATATTCCGCAATATTCAAAAAAAAGGAATAGAGGAAAGGAAAATTAAAAATCAGAGCGCTGCTTGTGTCTAATTGAGCAACATTTAAGCATAAATTTTATAATGACCAAGATTCGGCTATTCCGAAATTATGCAGCCCTACGTTCGGAGCTGCCAACCTCTGCAATTGTTGCTTTCGGACAAACATTAGCCAGGTATTTCCAACTACATGAAGTCCATCGTTCGAAACTGCCAACTTCTTTATTGGCGGTGTCAATTTTATATGTGTGCGGGGCATTTAAATGAATTGCAAGAATAAGAAGCGATTACACAAAAATGGCTTTCCTTGAAGAAATTGAGGAGTTTCGCTTTTGGGCCACAAGCTTGGGCTGTACGCCAGATGTTCTCCCTAACGAGGAAGCGCTAAGATCGTAAGTTGTGTGTAGCAATAAATTAAAAATATTACAACAACAAGCACAATTGCACTTTGTAGCATTTTTAAGTCTCGTCAGAGCCAACTGTTTGTTCAAATGCAGAAGCGCGTGCAGCCGCGGCAACATGTACAAGAGACTCGCGAAAATTTACTTATAGCCAAGGTCGCGCAACATAAGGACAAGCCAATCCCAGCCTGTGGGCGAAGTTTCCTGCCACGCGAGCTCCAAACACATCTCATGATGCAGGACTTGCAGCGGAAAAAAGAAAATGCCGAAGTGTGTTTGGCTGAGACCAAGAAGGAGTTTGATGCCCTTGCATCATGCATCAAAACAAAGAGTAAGTAGTTAATATTGTGTAAATTATGCCATTTCTGAAGCTTGGCTTGTACTGCAGACATGCAGTCAATCAGTACGAAGCACAAGAAGGACCTACTTGAATCCAAATACAATTTGCTGAAGTTCAAGCTGGAGTCCTTGGGCAAAACTTATGAGCAAGAATTAAAAAGCAAGTCGCAAATACAGTCCACAATGCCTGTTAAACTTAATGCTAAAAATACTAGTGAAAAGAAAGCTGCTGAAGCAGTGGAACAAGCTCTCAAGGAGCTAGAGAGCTTTTACAACATTTGTGACGGCGGTAATAGCAATGGATCCACTTCCACCGCTTTCGGCGACACCAAAGAGCGTCTGTGGGCACAAATGCGTACCATCTTTAGCAACACGCCTAATTTCCTGGTGTTCAATGCAATCCTGAAATTAAAAGAGGAACAACTGCAGCATATTATGGAGCTTAACAAGACTTACAACAACGCTGATCCGCACTCAACTAGTAATGCGGCATACGTGCGCCCACCGCTGGACAATTTCGAAGTTAAGCTTCTGCGAACAAAGGCAGACTTACTGGGTTTGGTAGCCAAATATGTGGGTGCTCAAAATGAGGTCGTCCAATTGGAGGAGCGCTTTGCCAAGACCTATAGTATTTTCATTAATGAGCTTCAGAAGAAGGTGAATAATTGCAATGCCATCACCGACGATGAAACCACCGAGGACATCATTTCCGACTTTATTGTGCAGTACAATATGCGGAACTTTAATCGGGCTCGCAACGAACATCTGACGCAGCAGATTGAGGAACTGCGTCTGGAACTAGAGTCAAATGCTAAGATCTTGGAAAATCACGAGATTTTGCTCGGCTCAATCAAGCAGGTCTATAGTGACATCAATCAATCGGTTAATCGCATACAGTACGAGATGTTGCAATTGTCACAGATCAAGGAAAAAATAATGTATTCCAAAAACATGCTAAAGAACATCCTGGACGACATGCAGGCAGCTTCGCACAACCAGAATGCCAAGACGCAATTGCTCTCGACTAAGCTAAAAGTAAACAACATATCAATGATGGGTATGGAGAGCTTTAATCTGGCCAACGACAGCGTCTTCTCCAGCACCAAGCTAGACTTCGATGCAAATGCCAGTGCCATGAATATCACTTTACGTCGAAGCTTCGACAACACCACACTGGTGCCGGGTAACACAACATCTGCCACCGCTGCCTTAGTGGCTGCTAATGCTGGAGGGGCGCCTACACTGCCGTGTCATCTCACCGAACTGAATACATTTACTGATATGCCATTGGAGAAATTAAGTTGTATACCGCGTGCCTGGTAAGTGAGAGAGACGTGACTTCTACCAACATATCGTGCTATTTAAATTACTCGTTTACTCTCGACATTTTCAGCTCCTTCTTATTGTCACCCAATCCACTCATTGTCGAATCGCATGAGCTTGCCTCCACCATACAGCTGGCGCCTGGCCTGTTGCTAACACCCCTGGGCGCTTTGCAGGAAGTACGTAAACGTATTTTGTGGGCGTCATCAATTGCTGAGCACATGTCTGACCTGAAATTTAATTTGGATGCAATAATTGGTAAGCTCAGACTGCCTTGTCCCATCCGCTTCCGTTGCACAAGTTGTTTTAAATGCCACCCCTCACTGCACTTACAGTTGATCCACATGATTTTAAAATGAAGGCCAAGTGCCAAAACGAGCAAGTTGTGCAATCGCTGGACAACTTGGAATCTACGGGCGCAAAAACGAAACATTTGCTACAGAGAGCCGAACGAATTTTCCGATTCATCCTTCACAATCCCCTGCACCACTATGTGCCCCCTAAAAGATGTTATAATAACGCGACGTATGCAGACTATGAGTCGGAGTTTAACCTATATCATCGTATTGCCACCAATGGTAGTTCTATAAAGTAAACACGGTTATTTGAAGCCCAGTAAATAAATATTTCCCTTAGTTTTAGATGTGAAGTAAACTTTTTACGCTGATGATTGTTGTTTCATTGATCGAAAATAAAATATTAGAATTTGTAAAACATTTAGAGACAACTTTATATATTTACTATTTATATTTATATATAGCATTATATTTCTTCTTTTAGAAGGAACGTGTTTCTTTCTTTCTCTAGACATAATGTGATTGGATTAATTTCGATCATTTCCGATATTACGCAGGTACTATTGGCCTAGGGGTCGATCAGATAAGTTGCTTTCATATACCACACCAGAAAATGTCAAGCTATTGCAGTTCATCCAATAAATAAAGAGCGAGTTCTGGTTTTATTATTATTTTTTTTTTATTTCTTTAAGCTTTATTACAAAGTCGAAAATTTTAATATTTACACCCATAAAAAATGGGTAAAAATTTGTCGTTATTTTAAAGTATTTCGCATAGCTTAAGAGCTAAATGATGTACACAATGTGGTTGCTTCGTCTATTTTCGGATTCTCGTTCGATATTATCGTTATTTTTAAATGCACGTACATAATTCGAATTTTTTGAGATACGCCCTTATGACTAAGCGGAATTTCAGTTTTAGATTTGACATTGCTGTTGAAAATACTTTATTGTTTATTAAATAAAAATAAAATATTTTCGTAATTATGCACAAATAAAAACGGAAAGTATTTGGATATATGTTTGTATGGTATGTATGTTTATAATTGTGATGTTGAATTAATTGTTTTCCATTAAATTAAAAGTACATACAAATATAAAAATAAACGACGGACGGGTTTGATTTAAAATTGAAATGCTTAATTGAGTCTGTTGAGTTAACGCGCTAGTTCTTTTTTTACAAATAAATCGCTATTTGCTTAATAAATAAACGTTCTGCGCAAATTTTGGTGAACTATTCACTTAATTAACTTAACATAACACATAGGATGGACTTCAAAGTTTGGAACGTGGCGACTGAAATAAAAACAAAAACTTAAAACGAAACTAAAATTTTCTGTTGCTGGAATCTTGCGACACATTTTTGGAAGTTTGGAACGTGGCGACTGAAATAAAAACAAAAACTTAAAACGAAACTAAAATTTTCTGTTGCTGGAATCTTGCGACACATTTTTGGAATGTAACTCTATATAGACACCTATATATATGTATATGCTATATCTGTATTCGAGAGCGGCTTAATGGATGTATGTGTGTGTGATTGTTTGTATGTGCATGCTTGAGCATTAGCTTCGATTTTGCTCTGCGCACTTATCTGGAGAAGATTAGTGCGATTAAAATGCTAGCCAGAACAAAGGAAGTGCCCGCAACATGCTCGGCTCCGCCATAATACGCCTGACCGCAAGCCGGCGGGCACACTGGAATGATGGTCTCAAATAGGTTAACACGCGCCTCGGCCTCTCCAAACCGATTAGTGGCCTTGCAGACATAATCACCGTATTGACGCTTCTCGATGGTGATTACACGAAGTGTGGAATCGGTGTACTCATCGGCAGTGGCAAAGTGAGAGATGCTGTAGTGCTGGTTATTCGCCAGCTGGATGTCATCCTTGGTCCAGACAATGGCCGGTGGCGGATAGGCCTCAATGTGGCACTCCAAGTCCATGTCGTATTGTAGAGCCTGTCCGAGACGAGGCCTTGGCACAGTAATGACGGGTGAAAACTCCACCTCGACGTTGATGTTACGACGATCGCCTTTGCTCACGCCATTGTCAGCCACACAATAGTAGGTGCCGCGATCTTCCTTCTTCACCGACTTGATGCGCAACACGTTGCCCACATAGGTAGCGCTATCTGCAAAAAAAGAGGGGGAGGTATGGGCGGCTTAATAAAGTTTCCGAATGATACTGAATTTTGATGTTAAAAATGTTTCGTTCTACAGTCAGTTCTCGCCTCTGGTCGTGTCTAATGACACATTCAGAAGCGTGACAAGTGCCTTGTAATGGCTGATAGGTACATACATACATATCAATGCGACACCGACGCATATAACGGTAAATGATGCTCTTTTGTGTTTGCACAGCGAAGTGTGCAGACGACCCAGCAAGCAAGCACCCAGATTCAAATCTGATTTTAATGAGCCACCGCGGGTACATCCGTAACCGTTTACATAGTTGTGGGTGACCTTTTAATTGTCAATGCGTTTGTGTTGGTGTGGCTGGAGTGGCTGCCGGCTGGCGGCTGCCGTTAACAACAATAGCAACGTTAATGACCTTTAACAAGCAAACCATTTAGTCGGGCAGCTGCAACTGCCATTACTTCCCACTTAGGCCTATGCACTAAGTATATAACAAATACAGTTGTGCTTCTATAAAGCCAACTCGGAAAGGAAGAAGAATAGATAATGTGCGAAACAGTAATAAACTAAATAGTTAATGGTAATCAGTTTAAGAGATATATAGTACCATAATCAGAAGAATACAATATATCCATACACAATTTGGCCAGATTTCTTTCCTTATTTCAAAGATACTATAATAATAGTTATATAAATTTGAACCAATGTGGTTTGTGCGCGTTTTTCCAAGCCTGTACTTCCATTCCAAGCCTATATTTTCTTTCGGTGGCTTACAGGGCTTATAGTTGAATTTTTGTGAATTTGAATTCCGTTGCAACGAGTTTTGACTGTGAAGTCAGGCGTATGCGCCTTGGTAGCTAACGCTTTTCGCAACTTTGTTTTTCAGCGCTAATTTAGAAAAAAAAAAGAGCGCACGCACACAGCATACGTAGGACTAAGTGCATGTACGCCTTGGTGGCTGGTGGTCTGGTAGCTGAATGGGATTTGGCTTATATTAAGGTAGTGGTTGGGGTCGGGATTGTGCGGCGCCTGCTGCCTGGTTTTATTGCACAAAATAACTGAAGCGTAAACGTGAATGTGAATGCTAAGGTGAGCACCCACACACAGACAGACATACATACATACATATATAGATTGCTACCCCTCACCCATTTTCATAACCGGAAGTTGCCACTGCAGGCGAGTGCAATGCGCCTAAGCCCCTGTTTCACTTACACTCGCTTGTTCGCTCGCTCTCTCTCTCTGTTATCGTGTTATGGCGTGTGTTTGCGCTCATCAAGCTCGATGTTGTTGTTGTTGCTGTTGCTGTTACCGTTGCCAGCCTCTTCAAACATTTTTGAAAACAATTCAAGCCAAAACAATTGACACAAACTACACTAGCAACAAACATACCCTCTCCCACCACCCCCTTCCCCCTGCTGCTGTTGAAGTTGTTGTGTGCAGCGTGCGTTGACCAGACATTTAAGTTTTCTGGTGCTGCTGCTGTTGCTGCCTTCGCTCAACTGGAATGCCATGAAATATGCCTTATGCAAAATTCATTGCATGCGGGCGGTTGGGCGGTCGTTTGATTCCTTTTGTAACATTTCAAATTAATTGCGCTTGGGAATCGAAATATTTGATTAAAATTGGATTGACAGCACATCGTGCAATTGACGACGGTGGGAATGGGTTAACACACAATTGAATTGCATTTCTGGCATTTAAGTTGATGAAATGCTTAAGTTTAAGTTATCCGTTGGTGTAGTGCCTCTCATGCGGGCGACAAAAAGACGAAAACAACAGCCATGCAGGTCAGCAGTCTTAACAGAATGTTAATTAACAGGCAGAGTGTATGTGTGTGTGTGTGTATGGAAGACGCGTGAATGCTTAATTAGTTGAATGACTCACTTAATCCACATTGCCATTATTTTGTTGCAATGTCTGTCTAGTAATTTAAATTGCAGTAAAACCTCTTTAAAACAATCGTCTATCCATTGATAATTCTTTAAAATCATGAATTAAAATTGAATAGAATTGAAAGTCTTATAAAAGACATGGAGAAAAATCCCTTTTGTAATAAATAAAATATGATTAATTTGAATTTTTAATTCTATACCTAATTGGCACTAATTTGGAAGTCTATATAAATACTATATGTAGATAAATATACACCATCTCGGCTGGAATATCTCATCTTTAATAATTGGAGATATTTCAGTATTTAGGCAATATTATTAAAATAAAATACGAATTATTTTAATTTTTTAATTCTTCGAGTGACACCAGAACTCATCTGTTTTAACTTATTATTTCAGTTTCAATTCATTTAAGAATCATACTAAGCATTTCTTCTGGTATTTTCTAATAGATGTACTTTTGTCCTTATAGCGATGTTCTATAGTCTGATTGTAGAAACAAAATGAATGACATGTGAACTGAAATGAAGTGAACTTACCACTAACTATATTATATACGTATGTATGTATATACACATACATATATATGTTACCACAAACAGGTTCTGACTTGTGAAGAAACTCTTGCTTCCATTTCGACTTGAAGCAGAGCTCTCTAGCAGGCAAAGCATTTTGAACTTTAAGTGCATAAGCGTGACTTGCACGGACGGCCCTAAAGGGACGTTTCTAAGAGCAGCTGCAATAACAATAGCACAGTAACAATAATAGTTAAGTCGGTGGCACAACATGACAAATTGTGGGCCATAAAGTGTTAGATTCGAAAATGAAAGGCCTCATAAAATGCGTCAACAAGAGGCAACATTGAGCTGCAATTGCTGTTGCATGAAATTACATGCAAGTCAGGTAAGTAGCGCTGCCAGTGCCTGGAAAATATCCAAAACGAAGTCCAAACAAACATTCTTGGCCATTATAACGAGCGACATGCCCATGTGTGCTGTTTTGTTTACCAATTGAATGTTGGAATTTCTCTGATTTTGGGGCCACCGTTCAAGAAATGAATTTGGGGCGTATGCCAGTGGCAATTGTCTCGACGTATAATACTTAATTAGTTATTCGAGATCTTGAGACGCTCAAAGACGCAGTGAAGTGCGTTACTTTCTTTGTTTCGATCAAATTTTTATATACATACATGCGCATAATTAACATTAAACCAAAGAACTGCTGGCTGCGTCGGGGGCTTGAGTTATGACTCCATGTGGACGCGCCCATAAAAATAGCGTCCCGCCATTTCTGAATTGTGACATTTTGGGTTAAATTTATTAAGCGCATTTACACAACACATCAGCAACAACACCAACAACAACTATAACAACAAAGACAGCAGTAGAGGCAATAAAAATAAGTAATCAGAATGAGCTGCGCAAGACTTATTACATAAGTGAAGCGCGCACTTGAAAGCTGAGCAGCCAAAAAATTGCGCTCATTTTGGTGGCAGCTGAGGCAGAAACACAAATGCAACTGATCTACATAATACTATACTCGAACAAATACGTGTATGTATGTATATGTACATATGTACATGGAATGATGAATGGCCTTGCGGGCATGCGTGGAGTGAATTTGATATATAGGCATGTTTATATGATGGCGCGCTAATTAGTAAAGTAAATGTTGTATACATTTAGGGGTTCTATTTACATACACAATCAAGTGTCATGCCACCACGACAAGAGACATTCTGAGTGATAGAGTGTGAAAATAAAACATTTTTAAGGGTTAAGGCAACTGATCAAAACAGGGTCCAAACTAGCGTCATAAAGGACAGTAAAGCTAGTTCTATACCTGGACGTATGTTAGAAATTGCTAGCGTTTTGAATGATATAAATGTTGACACTCTGACTAGTATCGCTTCTAAAAACAAATAAAATTCGTATAAGACAGAGTTTCGACAAGAATAAATTATGTACCTAGTTAAAATAGATTTGAGATATTTTTTCCTTAGAGATGCAGTTAATTTTCAGCCGGCTTCTATCGCCTATGCAATCTGGACAGGGTAGATCGCATTGCCCCTAATCATACATTATTAATATGACAAATTGCGCTGGTGCTGGTGCATCCAAGCGGGATAGGCAGGCAGTCATCTCTGCTCTACTCAATTGCAATCAAATTAATGAGGGTGTTGAAAACATACCCGTGCCCGTGCTTGTGCCCGCATTAAAAGTCAGTTGAAAGGTATAAATGCATTGCGGCCATGGGGAGCATGGATATGGATACAGATACAGAAACAAAAACAGATACATGGGCATAACCGGAAATCGTGCGCATCCACCATATGCATCGTATGTATGAACATTTATTTGTATAAACTGCAGAGTAATTTCAGTTACTAATGAGAGAATTAAAAACACTTTGTAGCGCTAGGCTAGGCAGGTATAGAAGTACATATTCCTTGGATGCAGATGCATCAAGATGCCGTCACGATGACGCTGCTGCTGCTGCTATGAGTCTAATAAAAGAAAATGATGCATAAAGAGAAAAACAGACGGGCGCTGTAATGAAAACTCTGACAGCATTTGTTTGGGCCAAAAAGAAACCTGTCTCTGTCTCTGCGAGCCAACAACAAACAAAAAGCAAAAGAAACAGCAAGAACAACAGCACCAGCACCAGCCAGGCAATGTTTACGTCTCGGAGTCCCCTTTGGACAAACAACCAGATAAATTGTCAGTTAGAAGAGGCAGCAGCGACGAAGACAGCACGAAGAAATGAAAATTGTTCAGAGTGCAATGGCAAGTGCGAAGCGGCAACCTTTTGTCGACTTGTCTTATCACCGTCCGGCAGGTAGAGGCAAGCAACGTCTGCCCCGACATTGAAAGGATTCTAAAATGTAACAAGGCCTCGAGGTGCCGGTGACGATGTCGGTGTCGGTGCCATCATTGCACAAACAGCCTAGTCAGAGGAAACGCATTCAGGCAGGCTGCCCTTTTTTTTTTTTAAAAAAAAAGGGGGAACGGGCAGTGAAAACAAATGAAAAATTCTACATCGGTGCAGGTTCCGATGCACTTTGTTGAGTCTATATTTGACGACCGAGTGCGGGGCAGCTC